GCCCGCCGCCTGTTGGTGCCAATCACCGCGGTCGTCTTAGCCTGCTTTGGCCAATCAGATTTCACATCAGCGCTTACTAACCCGGTTTGCCCTGGTGTGGGGTTATGGGGTCTGTGCGTTTGTTGTCAGGCACTCACCATATCAGGCATCAGGGAGCATCAGAAGAGGGCATCAGGGCATCAGTGAGAGTGGCTGGTAAACTGGTAAACCCGTAATGGTAGTTAACGGCGTCCCGTACCCCCGGGTTTTCCGGCTTAACTACTCCATGTATGTATTTTCAACAAACTCAACATCCTACTTGTTGAACTGCACCGCCCGGACGTGTGTATCATGCACGTACTAAAGAAAAGACAAGTGTCTTTGGCCAGCCTCTGGTTTTTTCAACGCATGTTTCTTGGTGGTCCTGAAACATCAGCCCCACTACCAAGAAATACACTTATCGGGCAGTGTGGTGTGCAGAATCCCCAATTTCAAATTTCTGGCACTCTTATCCAGCGAGGTTGATCCAGATAAATGAGTCAACTTCATCCATCATCCAATCCTTTTGTCTCTATCGTTCATCTAGCATCTATCATCGAACCGAATATGGATCCATCCCATCTATCCGGTACTGTGTCTTCCCAATAGACGGGAGATCTCGAGCCACAGTCAGTTACACTGCAAGTTAGACAGAAAGGAGCGAGTGATCTCTGATGATCTCTGGCGTATCTTCCAGTGGCTTAGAGGCAAGCATAGTTGTCGTTAGATAAATAAGCTCCTCTTCCCTCTCTAAAACACCACCTTCGAGCTTTTTTCTCAATACTCATGGTGCTTACAAACTTTAATACATACACAGCTCTCTCTCTCCAGACGAATATTAAAGGGATTCGTATCCAGTATCATTTCCCGGGGAAGGAATCTCCGGGATATTCTCGCTAGATAGTTGCATGATGGCAAGAGGGCACGAGGACATTTCTTGGTAAATTACATCCGAAGTTGCAAGGATATTATTGGAAGCGCTCCCATGAAACAGATCACCAGGAGCGCTAAGAAATTTCGATCAAACTTTTACTCACGACACAAATATTCGAATCAAGTTCACCCAGATGGAGAATATAAATCATAAAGAGTTGGCCGAAATTCTCTTGAAGGACTGTGAAAGCTATGAGGAGACAAAAATAAATGTTCAAGACACGAGGATCGACGCACCAACATCACTCCCAGCTGTATTAGTATATGGCGATTGAGGTTTAATCTTATTACGTTGGAAGGGGTATCGGGTAGTGGAATGGCGTTTGATTTTGATGTCGCAGAAACAAATACAATACGACCCATATGCCGAGGGAGATAAGACTCCTACCGTCGCCACACATATTGGCACGGAACAGAACTACCTATCATTTCCATGTTTGAAATTCTTCTTAACTAACATGATTACAGATAAAAATATTAATACAGCCACAGAAACGTGTGACGTTCGTGGCTCGCGTTTTGTGCCATGCCAGCAACCTCTTGATTAACTGTCCACCGCTAAACTCAAGTTCGGCACATTGGCTTGAAGTATGATATATGCATTTACCATCGCCACTCTTTCGTTTGTTGAGGGAGCTATGCATTGAAATTCCGGGAATCAACTATTGCAATAAGAAGCTTCAGCCACCTCCGACGATACAACAATATTATGCAGGGCACACATGGCCCATTTATTTATCACTGCTCATATTTCTATTCAACCTTAAGTTATCTACTAAATCTCATTGATTCATATCGATTGACGGTTGATAAAAAAAGACGTAAACAAATAGAGCTATTCCGAAAGCATATCCACTAGAGAGAGCCGGAAACGATAAACCCAATCAGGACTATCAATATTACGAGGTTCAAACCCGATTACGATGTTTGGTTACCCTTCAGGACCCGAACAAAGCCTGACCACATTTAAAGGCTTCCTGGGGTTGTGTTTATGAAAACCACTACCCTGGAAGAGCACTTGGGACAATTAGCGAAGGCATTCATGGCATATAATTTATCTCTTCTATTGTATTCTATTCTAGCGAACGAGCTATGAGCTTTTAATCTTTACGAGTCTGTTCACAGTTCACCGGTGCTATTGGAGTCATTCAATATCACTCGACCCCCATTAGCATACGATATTTGATATTCGCTATTATTTACCTTTACGCAGAAACATATCAATTACAAGTCCCTCGAGTATAAATAACTTCGAATAAAGGTTCTACCTTGCGACCTTGCTCTATGGTTGCCGTCCTTGGGGCCATCGAGTCTGTATAGTATCCCAATGTATTCAATGCGACGATGGGTCAACGACGAAAAATTTAGTTGGCGAGGAATTCTACTTCAGCGTCATTTTAAGTTATTATATCTGGCGAAGTGGCAGTATTTTAAGAAAGCAGCCAAGCTACGACAAATCAATTAGCTAGCTGTAGGTTCCGGCAAGGCTAAAGGCTGATTTGATGTAGCACACCCGTGTTCACAAATCCAAATTTTCAAAACCTTATTTTCCAATAGAGGGGTAATTTTACAGGCAACCCACCCCCCTCCTTGACCGTCGAAAATACCCGCGGAGGGCGATGTGTCGCATCAGGTGAAGGTGGTGCCGCATTCTGGTTCTGGCTTAGGAAACGACAAATTTCTACAAAAGGTTAATTCACCCTTACAAGACTCACTTAATTCGAGTCTTTACATCTGCCTCAATGTATCTCAGGATACGTTTAGTTTTTCGCCTCGCTGGTCACTGCAAGAAGTGTCAGAAGGGAATCACCGAGTGATCGTACATGACAGAGCAACTCTGGTAAATAAAGAAAATGAGAAAAAAAACCCACTCCGCGGTAATATCCTATCATTATCGATGAGCCATCATGTGCACGAACCATCCACACATAACCGAGTAACCTCTTGAGATTCCGAGTCTGGAAGTCAGAACGGCCCGCGCCGATGTCTATAGCTCCGCACGGAACTTGCGCTAACTAACCGGGGGCGGCCCGTAGAACCCCAGTTAAGTTCCGCCCGACCATGGTCTACTTACGTCTAACATCAACAAGATTTCCCGCCTCCCCTCTGTGTTCAACGGCTTCCTTATAGGACCTAGGAGAGGAGACGCTCTTAAACCATTTTAAAAGAAAGAAAGACTTATCAATCTGTTGATACATAAAAACGATAGCCTTAGGCCCCCCAGATGGGTTCGACACACTTCACCGATTATCAACCTAGGAGTTGAACGTTATTATCGACTGTTTACCGCGGCGAAGCGAATATCGGCGATCGAAGCGCTTGCTACAGAGTTACCAAACATGGGGAATCCATCCGTGTATCTGCCATCCCCACGAGCAGTGTGCGTCCAACCCCACCAAGTCCATCCGGTGATCATGTATCCATCTGTTCCCCAAAGGTTTTCCCCGCAGGTAGTACTCCAGTCTATCAGGTGGGGTCTGTCCGAGAGATTTCTAGGGACCGATTATCGCCCCGCTATGCGTCTATTCCGATATAGAGCCTCATAAATCTACAATCGGCCCGCATCCCGCTGCAGGGTCCAAATTCTCCAATCCTGACATGGCCCTCTTATTTCTGTCTACTTTCTTCTGAAAAGAACACGTCGTAAAACGGAAAATTCTTTTCTGACACCCCCTCATCCCATCCCCCCCGTTCCCGCTCCCGCGTTTCGGTAATTTATCTCTGGAGCAATCTATCACCCACTCCCCCTCCTTCCTTCCCCGTGCGTGGCCGTTCCTAACCAACTGATAAGATGATGATGTCGCCCATCGAATTCCACTCTGTGCATGCCCTGTCATCTGCCGCCGCCCATTTGTGTCACTGGCCCCATACACGAATGCGTGAGTGGGAAACAAAGGTGGGGTAGCGATCGTGGGTGCTCGTGGCGATATTCTTTCCACCTTTTTTTTTTTAGATTACTTTCCCTTCCTCTCGGAGGATATACTTGGACTGAAGCCGGGGAGACACATGGCTACAAACTAGATTAAGGAGGAGGAGGAGTGGCAGGTTTTTTCTCTTCTTTTTTTTTCCCACTCGGTCAGGAGGGGGGGAGGCAGGCAGGCAGGCGGGTCAACACATGTATTTCCTACATGTGTTAACTGCACAGCTGCTACCTACTAGTTGACAGGGCAGGTGATTATGGTCTGCCTGACAAGTAAACCCCACCACACACCTGCTTGCTCCTCCACCATCGAACTCCGCCGGCACCATCAAACGATTTCACTTTGAAAAGGTTTTACAGGCCCCAGCAAAAAAGCAAAGGAGCACGTGTGTCCCCTACCTAATCGATAAAGGAGAAGAAGGAGACAAAGAGGAGGAGTGTGAGTGGGAGTGGGAGTGGGAGGGAGGGGGAAAAGAATGATTAGATAGTTATACCTAAAAAAGAATAAACACCCGTAAATCACATATTTCGCCCATAGCCATAAAAATAAAAAAAATTGCATCATAGGAACGACAAACACCCCACATCACCACTTCCTCTTCTTCACTTCCCCGCCATATCTTTTTTACAATCGGTTCGGTCCCTAATAGCCTAGCTCTTTAAACAATATAAAAAGAAAGCTAAGCAATTTTCCATTTAAAGAGGAGAGTGAAGAGAGAGAGAGAGAGGAAACACCACATGGAAAAAATGTAGCTTAAACCGAGAAGAGAATAAGGGCTTTAAAAGTGATAATTTTTGGTTCCATAACTGTCCGTAGACACTTTCGCCTGTAATTTCCCAGTTAAAAAAAAAAGTAAAAAAAAAAAAAAAAAGCAGCCCGAAACCCCGAATAGCAAAAAGAGAAAAAAATATCGTTTCCAACCACCGGTACACACTGACACATTAAGATCTAGGTATGCAGGTTATGAAAACCGGATAAAAGAATTACTGCAGTTTTCAAACCCATACTGTCAGATATAATAATGGCAATGGACACTTTATTGCCCAGAAAATAGCTAGAAAAGAGACAGTGAACTAAGTTAATTCAATCCCCAATATTTTTGCCCACTTTGAAAAATCAAAAAAACGCCTATTCGTGACCAGGGCTCCCCTGGGCAGACCTCCTAATCTTCTCGGCCTCCAAGTTCTCGTAAAGCAGGTAAAGAGCCTTTTCATTCGCAGAAGGGGTTCCGATGAGTGTGAACAGCCTCTCGCCACTCTCGTCGTGGGCGGCTTTAGCAATACTGATCTTTGCTCCAGAGCTCCTACGGATTTCCTGGATCCTGGATCCTGCACGCCCAATGATGCAACCAACCATATCGGCAGGGATGGAGATGTTCTGAGTTTGATACTCTTCTCCATCCTCAGAAACCATAGGTTGGCTGGGCGCTGAGGGAGAGCGGTCCGAGGTACGCATAGACGTGGGAGCTCCAGTGCGGCGGTAAGAGCTGTCCGAGAAGTCGGCGCCGTTTCCAGTGCGAGTGTAAGAGCCTCTGCTTCCGCGCTCCTGGTACCTATCACCTCCCATACCACCGTTGCCGGACCTCATCCGTCCTCCTGTACCAGTACCTCCTTCAAGCTCAGAGCCTTGAGAACGAACCAAGGGATCGTACAAAATTGTTCCATTCCCTCTCTGCCAGTCGTCAACGAGGCACTTTCCGATTTCCCAGATTGCGAGACGGATGGAGTTGGCGTCACCCTGAACCTCGACGATACGCTCAGTTGATTGCGGGAGCATCTCCTTTGATGCAACCATGCGTGCACCGGAAACATCTTGGATGTGCTTGATTTTGAAACCCTTCTGACCGATGATGGTGCCCATGTGGTTGTGGGAAATAAGCAGACGAATGGCTACAGAGAGATCTTTGTGTCAGTGTTTTCCAGGGGTAAAATGTTTGTTCCTGACAGAAGGAATGTTTAAAGGGAGAGGTCAAAACATACGATGCTGTCCAGCAGGCACAGAGGTGCTCATCGTGCTGCTCAACGGGCTCTCCAACAAAGTGGCAGCAACCATGGCATACGCCCTGGAAACTCCCTCCAGTGCTCCAGTGACAGTAAGAACTCTGTCGTGGACGCCAGGCACCACCTTGCTGACACCAGCTTTCACACCAGTCTCATCTCTGAGATCAGCAACGTGCTTCCCAGCCTTGCCGATGATGACACCGGCTTCTTTAGAGGAAACGATGGCGCGGAGAGTTAGTGTTTCCTGGGCGTACTCGTCCTCGGTACGGATCCTTCCTTCGTCATCGTCATCATTCACGTTGAGGTCACGGAAGGAGTTCTCAAAGAGAGAATCGTCTGCAGTGGCTTCTCTATCCTCGTTAGACATAGTTGGTCAATGCGGGGTTGCTGCTTTGCTTGTTGAAGTGGTAAGGTGGGGCAAGAAGGTAATTGGATTGATGACGGAGGCCGGTGGAGGTGGAGGTGGGGGGGAGTAGAGGGTAGAGGGGTGGGGGGGTTTGTTGAAGAAACGGAAAAGAGGAGGAGGGGAGAGGGGAGGAGAGGTGAGGTGAGAGGAGAGGTGGGAGGAGAGGAGAGGAGAGATGGGAGAGATGGATGGTGGGGTTGTTTTTGGTGGAGATCGAGATGATGAAAGTGGGTGAAGAAGAGTGGAGGGGTGAGGGAAGAGAGAGAAGAGGAAGAAAACCAAAGTGGGAAGATGGTCTAGTTAGCTAGCGGATGCGTAGGCGAGAGAGCGAGAGAGAGAGAGAGAAAAAAAAAATAACTGCTGCCAACCCATAATTCACCCTACGAGTACAAGGGTGTTTCGCTTGGAGAAAGCACTTGAAACGACTAAATTGGCCAATCAGATTGCTTTTTGGGCTTAGTAAATCGACATCCGCTGCCAAGCAGTGGTAGGGATAGGTGCCACAGGACGGCCCAGACAGCTCACGAACCCAACATCATAGGTCGATTGTTGTAACCACCTGCATACATATCACGAATACCTGGCCCAGAGATTGCAATGGCTATCGAGCCTTCCATTCGTTCTGTTCGCACAGGTCCGTTGGGATGCCCATAGTCAATGCATCCCGCATCCGTCAGAGTTTTTGGTGTCTTTTGGGTCACCTGATGTCCGAATGCCCACCTCCTCCCTCTGAACATCCCACACACATTCACTCACTTCAGCACCTACGGCCCTTTGTTGATGGACGAAGCTTAAAAACAAGGCCCCCCCCCCTCCCTAGAACCGTTGCAGATCATGATCGTCGGCTTGTTTTCTGGAAGGCCGGATCTCGCAAAGCTCTGCCCCGGCTGGCTGGCTGGATCCTCAGATCCGAGAAGAAAAAAACCAAGTTGTCCCCTTATCCTCAAAGTAAATTCCTAGAATACCAGGAACCACATTTCCGGAATCAAAAAGAAACTAAAATTCCAAATGATGCACTGAATTCCACCTCCTGGAGATGGAAATGATCTACGGGGGAAAATATCGTCTCATACTATTAATTATTAAATCAATGAACGAGACCAGTTCACCACTGATTGCCCCGAAAGAAAAGATCATGGAACAGCTGAAGTTGAGATGACCCTGGTTGCAGGATTCTCTCGCTGTCCTCTGGTATTGGGGTTTTACCTTTGATTCAACTCCTGCAATTGGTCTTTTATGGCGTGCCTACTCTATCCAGAGTGCCGGGGTCTCGATCCTCCAATTAAGAACCTTGTCATATTCGACGATGTCTGATTTTTTCTACGAACGTCGTTGAACGTGCATACCAACCATCATGACGTCGGAGGAAATGTAGGAAGTAGGTAAAATTAAAAAGCACGTCATCGATTCCATCAAAGTGGTTTCATAAAACACACTCATCACAGCTGAAGAAAAAAAAAAACCATACATGTAACAAAGCATAACACGTTTACCCCCCCCCCCCTTCCTCCCCCCCACGTCCCTCAGTGTAAGGTCCATTTAAGCTTTCTTTTTGTTTCATCCAGAACGCCGATCGCGGTACATCCCGCTGTTTGGCCCCCCCCCCGGTCCCCCCGGTCTACGGCCTTTGTTGTTATGTACCACCGCGACCTGCATAATGCTCTAAGGAATCTACTCTAGATTCTGTTTTATCCGGGGAGGCATGCTTTTTTGCTTTTCAGCTCTTTCAGCGAGTAGGTTGGGAGCCATGTGCGTAAGCCTCTAAAACTCTGGCATGTAGACTCGTTACTTGAGTCTTGGCAGACCAGTGCTGGATTGACAGCAGCTGTTGTGCTTGTAGAGCATTGAGATATTACCTACTCTATGAAACCTCGTCCTGTAAGAGTACATGCGGTCTATCTGGAGCATAGACAGAGTACCAAGATGCTCTACACACGTGTGTGGGCGGGCATTCCACCGGTACCGTGCAGTCTTTATGGTTCGTGAGGGTTTGAAACCTCACCAAGGAGGCCGGCCCTACATGAGCAGGACACAACGGCCATCCCCAGTCTCGGGTTAATTACACTCTGGAAAAGTTTCTAAAATGGTTTGTGTCGTCTCGATCCTATGAACTTCACACGGTTGTTTATTGTGTTGGCTTGGCGAAACGTTGGGAACGTAGCCTCAATCATGTGTTGTCACTCGGTTTCGTCCATGGTACCATATGAAGTCCTGATTGATTGATTGATTGATTACTTCATTTAATTGTATGCAACCCAGAGGTTATGACAATATCTGACGGATCCAATTCCACAAAACAGTACCAATAACACAAACAAAACAAATAACAATACTAACAGCGAAACCATAAAGAAGTTCGTAACAATCTCTCCCTTGCTTCACCCTATCTCGTCTTTTCCATATGCAATCTGTTGTCTATCCTTCCCTCAGATCTCCCCATCCCATTTCTAATTGCCTCGGTTCACTTCGTATATCACTGTCTCCCCTCTCCAATTGGTGCTTCCATCGTAGGAACTATCTGAAGTCCTGTAGAGAGCTCCGCGGCCGCTGTTGTTGTGCTGTTCTTTTTATATTAGAAAATTCCACATGTCTTTATAGATCACTAGTTATGCCTTCAAATACATGCATGTGTGTAGGTTATATCCGACCAAGAGCTTGCTCCGACAGGTTGATAATTCATTTAATTGTATGCAGCCGTAAGCTATGACAATCTGACATACCAGAATAATAGAGTCAGTGCGTTTGGAAATATATTTGGGTTGTATTTACCGGAGTATAAATGTGTTTTTAAAGCAAATGCATTTAACGAGATTTTTGGATCGTTTGGGCTACCACTATTGCAATCGCTTTAAACATGGGTTTATGAAATACGGGAAAAGTGGAATTTTAGAAGACACATTTGCACTCGGCACAATCCCCTGTCTATCCCATAGGCTCATCTCGGATAGGCAGTGGAGGGTACTACAACTGTTTGGATTTACAAAATGCAATTCTGGACGATTGTGTTTTTCATGTCATCAAATGCATTTGCTTCGACTAACCACGTTTACAAACACCCGTATGATCCAAACGCACTTAAAAAAATAACACGACAAGTACATAAAAATGAGAATGAACAAGATGAAATGCATAGCAATAAATAAAATGAAAATCCTTCTGTAACACTCTGCCCTTTGCTCAACCAATTTGTCCCCTCCCTGTATCCATCCTCTTTATCGTTCCTCCCTGAAGTCCGGATGGTTTTTGCGATGGGGATGCCTGTCTAGGCAGCCCACAGTAGCTTTTCCACGGTATCGTGTTGGCCATTTGCTTCTGCTGACAGCTGCAGGTCATGTCTGTATTTGAAATTCAGATTTAAATATTAGAAATCATGTAAGATTAATCACTCAAATGCATGTAAGCCGTACAATCCCGAGGAAATCTGCGTGGGAATCGCGCGTCTATTCGAGCAGAGTAAGAAACTCCTCAACCGCGCCGAGGAAGCTAGCGACTAGACTATTCCCTCTATGTAAGAACATTCGCACTTGGCATCCATACCACAAACTGCGCACCCCTGCATACACCTCAGCACTAAGGCGTCATCCCCGAACAAGCCAACCGACCTAGCCACCCACGCACATCGGCGAGCGCCTCTGGGGTGCGTGCGTCTCCCATCGGCGAGGACGTTTGTGGACAGGGAGAGCAGGGCCTAGGCCCCCCCCGACGGCAGGTCTAAAACACACAGAGACGCCGAACACGGTCCACCCCGGAACCCCCACTAGCTAGCACTCACTGCCTGACATAATCAGATTCCACCCCACCATCACCACACACAAAACGTCATCCATCGCCGTCGTTGCCAAATCTCATCAAAAACCGGTCGGCGAACTTGACAACTCTCTCTCTCTCTCTCTCCATCACTCATCTCCCCACTTATACCTATATATACCCAGCATCATCAACTAGAATAGTAGAGAGTTCGACCAGTTCTTCCTGCTCGAACACTCGCCGCACACACCGCTCTTCAAAATAACTTCGATATTCAGACGTCTTTTCGGAAGCTCGCAGCCGACAATGGTTTCCGCAGCTACTAAGCAGAAGGTGCAGGGCATCATCGATAGCAACCCCGTTGGTATGCTTCCTTCCCTCCATCTCCATCTTTCCCTCTCTACCTCCTGCTTTATCACTGCTTTTGATCATTTTGGAGGTCATAGTCATCGTCAACGTTGCTTACCCGAGGATAATGTATAGCCGTGTTCAGTAAATCATACTGCCCCTACTGTCGGGCCACAAAGGAAACCCTCACCAGCCTCGGCGCAAAGTTCCATGTCCTTGAGCTCGACCAGATTGGTATGTGCCTCCCTTATCATATCTCTTCAGTGCCCCTCATCCCTCCCCCCCCTTCCCTCCGCCTCCGAGAATAAGATACTGTGTAACTAACCAACCACCTACTTCAAATCCAACAGACGACGGAGCCGAGATCCAGGATGCACTCCAGGAGTTGACCGGCCAGCGCACCGTCCCACAGAACTTCATTGGGCAGGAATTCATTGGTGGTAACTCGGACCTGCAGGCTCGTAAGGGCGAGCTGCCGAAGCTGTTGAAGGCGGCCGGCGCTGTTTAGATGATGGGTTTCTTTTTTTCCTTTTCGGATAGATAGCTTTGTGATGGCTTGATTGGAATTGAAAGAAATTGATTTGCTTAATGAGGAACGAGTGGTTTGAGTGATTGTGATTGTGATTGTGATTTGATTGTGACAAGTTTGATTTTTAGAGGCCTGGGAGTGTGGGGGCTGGGAGGTGTCATGGTATCACCGATGACTACAGTAGACACATCCGGGCGGTTGTTTCTCGCGGGATGTCAATGATCATGTTGACCACTTACACCCACTAAGGTTTGTGGAAACAGACACAACCGGAGGCTTTAGGAGGGTTATTTTGGGACACCTCGTGGAACGGGAGTAGACACAGTAATATTCAAATATCAGAGCAAAGGAGTCATTGGGATCCCATACAGGGCTTATGAGAGAGAGAGAGTTCTAGTAACCCGATTCCGAAACCAACTTTGCGGAATAGAAACAGTTATATAAAAGGTTCCGGCATGGCTAACTGGGGAGCAGCTATGTTTATTTACATCCTCATACTATGATCTTAGCGGGGTGGAATCGTTGCTGTTTCGAGTTGGTTCATGATTTAGATTAGTAGGTAAATGGGGGTGTGAACGTGTAGAGCGTCGATATATGAGGGCTGTCCTGTGATGTTTCTGGTCAATGATTCCCACCATCACAGGGGAATTTATAAGCTTTTTTGATATCGGCCTGCCCACGGTCTAAATCATTCTTTCCAATGGCATTGTATCTTCTTGGGCGGTCAGTAGTTGGTCGATTCAAGTGAGTTTGTCAGTTTCAATGATTGACACCTCCGGGCCGTCGTTGTGGAATGTTTACTGAGAATTGGAGTCTCTGAAGATAAGCAAAACCCAGCTATCATGATGCACGCCAAGGCTCTACCCAACACCACCCGGCTCTCTTCCTCCTCACCTTCACCTCAACTTTCCAACATCCCAACACCACAATTGAAACCCTCACGATACCCACAACAATGTTCACCCCACGCCCCCTCCTCCGCTCCCTCCCCCGCGGCCTCCGCCTTACCCCCCTCCCACGCACGCTCACCACCGCGCCCCGCCGTCCCCCCACACCCCACACCTACACACACCCCACCCCCGCCTCCATCCGCTCCGACCTCGCCGCGCACAAGCGTCGCCAAACCACGCTCATCGTCTGCGCAGCACTGTCCATGTCCGCACTCTGGTTCCTCGCCACCTCCATCGACATCGACCTCGCGCACAAGACCGAGTCCCCCCCCGGCACCACCCCGGCCATCAAGCCCGGCACCCCCGTGATCCTGCACAGCGCCGCCGAGAAGGCTGCCGGCGTGGAGCTGGTCCCCAGCGGCACGACCAGCGTCCCGGCCTTCCCAAAGACGCTGAGACTGGGGGGGACGGAGTATGCGCTTGTCGGCTTGGGGATCAGGACGGTCAGCTTTCTGGGCATCGAGGTGTATGTCGTTGGCGTGTATGTGGCGGCCGGTGATCTGGCGACGGTGCAGGCGGCGCTGGCGCGGCGCGTGGGCGAGGGGGTGACGGCGGCGACGGAGGGAGAGAGGGATGTGTTGAGGGGGGAGTTGGCGGTGGAGGGGGAGGCGTTCTGGCAGGGGTTGTTGGTGGGCGCCGAGGGGGCGCCGGGGGTCAGGTCGGTGTTGAGGATTGTGCCGACTAGGAATACCGGTATGTATCTGTTTTCTCTGGGTGGGCGGGAGGCAATTGCAGGCGTGCTAACAAGCAAAACAGACTACCAGCACCTCCGCGACGGCTGGATCCGCGGCATCCAGTCCCGCACCAGCAAGAACGCCGCCTACGACGACGAAGCCTTCTCGCACGCGCTCACGTCGTTCAAGCAGGCATTCGGGCAGAAGAAGTCCGTGCCCAAGCAAAAGACGCTCCTCCTCGTGCGCGACGCCCACGGCGGCCTCGAGTGTCTCTTCGACCCCACGGGACGCAACGACGGGCGCGTCGGCGGCGACGCCGACAAGGACGCCGTTGTGGTGCTGGGGAGCGTCGCGGATGGCAGGCTGTCGACGGCGCTGTGGATGTGCTATGTGGGCGCGGGGAAGGTGGCGAGTGAGCCTGCTAGGAAGAGCGTGGTGGAGGGGTTGCTGGCGCTTGTGGAGAGGCCGGTGGGGACTGTGGGGGGTGGGATGGCGTAGTGGGTGGGCGTGTTTTTTGCTTTTGTATTGTATTGTTTGGTAGAGGGAGGGAGGGAGGGAGGGAGGGAGGATTCGAGAAAGGAAAATTTTTTATTTCATCCCGGTATTGGTGGGAAGGAATTGATGGTGGGAGACTGTAATTGAGTTTTTAGTTTGCGGTCCTGCATGGTAGTTGTAGTTGTAAAGTCAATCATTTCCAGTGAAATCAATCATTGCCGGCACCCAACCACATTTATGCTTCACACCTGAGAATTGCCTACATATAGCCAACACCACCCCACAACCACAGTCTAAAACCTAAAACATATCAATGATTTTTAGCTTACCCCCCCCCCCCCATACATCCGGAACCACAATCCACAATCTAGATCTCAGCATCGTACATATAGTTTCTCTTACCTTGCATGACCAAGGTATTTACAGCCATAGCGGCTGGTATTATATCGTCAGTAGAGTAGTGCGCTATTATATACCAAACTCCATTACCAGGTGTATATATCTACAAAGCCCACTACTCCACCGTGCCATACACACCGCCGAAAACCCAATAACTGATCAATCGATCATTGACACCCCACTGATCGCAGCTATTACAAGCATAAGTACAGGAACAGAACTGTAACTCCAGTAACAACCGTATCGTATCTCAACTAGTCTTGATTTTGATTTCTCATTACTCAACTCTACTTCAGACTCTCCATGCATAAAACTCATTGCATTTCGTTTTTTCCCTTTTTTGCCCCCCCTTTAGAATTTTTCCCCCATGAATCGACCGACCATCTATCTATGATGCCCTTATAATCTCTAGAGTAAAAAAAGCAGAAGAAAGACAGACAGAAAAAAACATAATCGTGAGAAGAGAAACACAAAGCACACACACACACAACCACCCCAATTAATAGGAGCTATTTCTACTACTTTGAAGAAAAAAAACAATATATAACCAGGCTCAACTCACCCCGAGGAGCCCTCCCCCTCCCCCCCTCCCCCCTCCCCCCAACCCACCCCCACCTCTAATCCAGATCAAAATCCCCCACCTCCCCACCCTGCTCCTGCTGCGCCTTCAGCACCCTATCCAGCCCATCCAGCACCCTCTGAATATCCTTGACAACGCCCTTCCTGCGCGCCCTCACCTCGGGCTCACTGCTCTCCACCGAGTCGAGCTTCAGCAGCTCGCCCATCATCGTCTCCGACAGCCGCCTGTGCACGTCGGCGCGCTTCGCCGCGTCCGCCGGCGGGCTATTCACAAACTCCTCCATGAGCGGCAGCAGGTTCGCTACGATGCCGTCCCACACGGCGTCAATCTTCTGCATGGGCGTCAGCACGGGCTTGTTCTGCACCTCTGGCGTCACCGCGCCCGAGCCCGCACCACCACCACGGGCCTTGGCGCCCGACTTTTTCTTTTTCTTCTTTGACTTTTCCGCGCTGCCCGGGTCTGTGGCGTCGGTGGTGGTGGTGGTGGCGGCGGGGATGGGCGCGGAGGAGCCCATGCAGAGGATCTTTGCGGCGGTGGAGATGCCGAGCGAGGCGAGCGTTGCCGTGTCGTCCTTGAGGTTCTTTCCGGCGCAGAGGAGCGAGATGCGGGTTGGGTCTGCGGCGATGTGGCTGCTGCAGTCGGTACGGAGGTCACCGACCGTGAGGGTGCCACCCGTGATGGCGTTGGCGGCGTACGTGAGCGTGAACTCGTCCTTGCCGTGCTTGATGGTGATGGTGTCTGAGGTGCGGTTGGGGTCCGGAGAGGCGTCGCCCGAGATGATGGGCGTGGCGCCACCGCCGGCGACGCGGGCAAAGAAGCGGCGCATGAGGAGGAGGAGGAGGGTTGAGGTGAGACCGAGGCCGAGGAGGACCTGCGGGAGGAGGTCGGTTAGGGGCTTGGGGGGGATGTTGGGCTGGAGAGTGAGCTGGAGGGAGGTGAGGAGTTGGTCGAGGGGGTCTAGATGACCGAGGTAGGGGGAGAGGAGGGACTGGAGAGGGCTTGAGGACGCCAGCTTGGTGGTGAGGAGGAGGAGGAGGAGGAGGAGGAGGAGGAGGAGGAGGAGATATAGCGAGAGAGTAAGCGTGTGAGAGAGTGAGGGTGTGAGAGGGTGTGTGGTGAGTGGAGGGATATTATTTCCTTCTGTCCTGTGATGGATGGATGGATGGATGGATGGATGGATGGATGGATGGAGGATGGAGGATGTTGTGAGGAAGAGGCTACGTTGTTTCCCTTCAGCGAGTGTCTTTTCCTGCCAGCTGCACGCGCAGGAGAGGAGAGGTGTTTTCTTTTCCCGCGCATTTGTTCCGAGCTAGGCCGTGACGGGACGTGGGCTAGGGGTCGGTGTGCAGGGATTGCTGGGGGAGAGAAAGCGAGAGTGTGAATCTCGAGGAGAGGAAACAGACAGGCCCTCGAAGAGAGAGCCAGAGACAGCTCCATGCCCTCCCTGGGCAAGAGAGATAGTGACTTGCCGGTACCTGCTGTAGGTACAAAGAATACTGCACCCTTCTAGAAAGTGTAGGGTCCCCGCCCAGCTGCAGCGGTGTCTTTAGCCGATTGGCCCACACAGCGTCAATGATCGCTTTGCACTTAAAACGGGCTTACAGCAATTGTCACAATGCAGACACAGGAAACATCTACAGCGGGACGATGCTTGACCAAGGATATATTGTGCACACGATAGCTCTATGAATACCCTCAGCAGCCAGCTACAGCCCCACGAAGGGAACTCGAATCACCACTAACTAAAGAAAACCACCCGAGCTCTCACAAGGAACAAACCAAACAGAGATCTGAGAGCTGTCTACAAGTATATCATCAGAGTAAAGAACCACCCATGCTCTTCCACTAGACGTTCTCTACTACGAGTGGAAATGCATCAAGAAATCCATCATCAAAAGCTTAAATTGGGGTGAGAGCACAATCAAATTTGATGAATAAATAAAATTAAAATATAATGCTAACTTAATAAGTACACAGAAATATTTAATTCCGCGATGGAAAACCCACAGAAAAGGGGGGATTTAAATAGGACCTGCGGGATTGTCAGTTTGCAAAAGACATAGGAAACGCATACAAAAAGGACGTACCCCTCCCTGTAAGCACATTTATATGTGCATTTTCTCAAAGTTTTATGTGGAAAATATGTTAATCAGTGGATTTCCACTCATAGTAGAGTGGGCCACCAGGCAAGGGCCAGAAATATACTCTCACTGAAAGTTGAGGCCCTAGGACAGTTTTTTTTAGGGCCAGTCCACTGCATTAGTCTAAGCTACTAGTTAGCAATCTTCATGACCATAACTGGATAACAGAACTGTCGTCTTACTTTAGTCCCTCTGCCCACCAACACAGGAATAAATCCAATACTGAAGAATCCAACATGAGTGTAGCAATTGCACACCCACCGAGAGCTACACCCATGAATTCTTCATCTGTATCCTCGGCATGCTCTACCCCCCTTGGAAACGATGCCGGAGCAGCATACTCCGGGGGTAGCCAGCCCTCTTGGTCGACGAGGCCTCCCGGGGGGGGAGGTCTAGACAACTCATGTCTCTCTTACTTAAATTCCTGGGGTTCCGCCATCACAGGCGTTTTTATAGTTGCATGCCTATAATACTAGTGTCAGCTCAATTGCTTATTTGCTTTAATTTAACCTTTGTAATTTCTAAATCACCTACAGGATGGAAAACATCTCTCTCTACCTCCTGGGGTTTCCACCAATTGTACCTCCTCCTCAGCTGATTTCTGTCTGTTTGATTTCTGCCTGTTTTGCGGGAGGCGGTGGAGGTAAGCGGGAAGTTCAAGGCCGGGGCTTAGTGCGATATTGCCATAACTATAAGGTTACACGCAATTAATGAATTAATCAAAAAAAAGAAAGAAAAGAGAAAAAACTACCTTCTCCTCAGAACCTCCCCAATATGCGGGAGTGATGTTGGGGAGACAACTCCGATCTCTTTTATTTGTGGAGAGCAAACAAGAATGCCAACTAATATTGGGCCCGATGCCTATATAGTCACATGTTGCATTTATACCGAGGACCGGCAGCAATAGGTCGGGCTGCAAATGCTCTCCTTTGTGGAAGCTGCAGTGGTGCCCCGATATTTCTTGATGTCTAGGAAGAAAAAACGATTAGTACCGGCACTTGCTAATCACTAATGATATAGACATACTAGCAGAAATAGATGTTGATGGGCCAAAAGCAAACCCCAAGCCAATCGCGTGGCTCAATTTGGAAGTATCCACAAAAGCATGGGTGGCATGCGCTCTATGCCTTGAGTGTTAGCAAATATATATATCAACACCAAGTTCTGCACGAATTATACTTACCAAACCCCCAACCCGAGCGTTACCAGGGCCGCCCATGACGTAAATTGCGTTGACTACATTCCCCACCCAGCACCTGCCTAGCTATTTAGCAAAGCCCTTTCGATTCCCGTTTTGGCTTTGGATATAATTACAACTTACATAATTGCTTCCCAAACTGGTCACAGCAATCTGGCAAGTAGCTTTTTCTCCTAATAGACGGGACGCTCATTAGCATCGTGCACCATAATCACCTGCCGAAAATCAATGTTCACCATAGAAATAAACTTACTGTTCACCCGGACAGACCCTCTGACTATGTAGCTTTGCTTTTACCAAAACAATAGTGCCCCAATGACGCCGCCACTAATCAAAATACCGGCATTTATTGTAACCCACCCCGTAGTACCACTACTTGGATGGTCTAACAGGGGTGAAGCCGTTCCTAATAGCCACGAAGAACTACTCGTCAGCAACTAAACACTCTGTTACAATTGGGGTGAGAAAAAAAAGAGAAAAAGAGAAAGAAAAAAAAATAAGAAAACACTGACTTCTCATATGCCGTGGCCGGCAGAGCACCACAGATTGAGCCTCCCTTCTGAGCCCGGCGGCATGATGTTTCCCCGGGGATCTTGCAGCACCCTATGCCCTTGCTGCACCCACGCAAGCAGAACATCCTCCCCTTTGAGCCAGGTGGAGCGATGTTACTTTCGGGGGTCTTGCAGGGACTCAAAAGCGAGAGGAAAGGAAAGAAAGAGAGAAGGAACGCGAGGAGAGGAAGAAGAAGAGTCGAGGGGCAAACAGACAGAAATAACCTGGTTGTTTGCAGAAGCAGCAACGCCCCTGCTTTTCCTCCGACGTTTGTTAAAAACTGGGAGGTTGAGGAGGAAAGAGAGGCTGGGCTCAAGAGACTCCTGGGACCCCCCCGGGGGACCGATGGAGTGTGTACATATTTAATACCACTACATGTAGACCCCCAGGTGCAAGATAGCGATCATGAAGAAAAGAGGGGAGAGTGGGTGTAGAAAGCTTTACACAAAATATATTTATTGCATGCGAATACTAGCGGGATCACCATGTCCCACTCGGCTACGTATTCCTCATCATAAGCACGCACTCACTTACGCAATTAAGTGTAACCTACTCGAAGAAACTCAAATACAATTGAATCTACAGCCGTGAGCAATGTGAATAAGGTTCCGAGTCAATCTATAGAACCCTGACTAGCGCCACTCATTGAGGATAAGCGGTTTATCCAAGCGTCGTGACACCAACGCCGAGTGAGAGCCCATGACTGTTTCAAATGCTCAATTTAGACCTACAGTCGACTCTCGTTACAGTGATGAGGTCGGGACCGGGAAGTGGCATCCTTATAAAGAGAGTATCACTATAACAAGTACAGGGTTAGGTTTTTTCGAAAATGTAATTAAATTTCTAACTAGCTACTAGGGATGGGAAAAGACCCGGTTGGTAGGTGAAAAAAAGTCTGTGAGTTTTTGCTGAGGTTGCCGTAACAGTTGCTCTTTTCTTTTATCTTCCAACACCCTTCTCGCATTGGTTAGCCCAGTTAAGACAGCTGAGACCGAATCAGAGTCCTCAGATTGCAAGAAGTAAAGCTCTAGTTGTTTGAGGTGTTCAAAGGCAGCGGGTGTTGTGACTTTGAGCTGAGGTATTTCTTCAGGCTTTTCAGGCTCATCCGAGTCGGCTTCCTCCCAAATTAGTTGCTCCTCCTTGTTGATTGGGAGATAATGGTTCAAGATGCTAGGCTAATATAAATGTTAGATAAAGAATTACTAGTAGCTGCCGAGTATTTTTTACCTCTATTTGATTCAACTCATCATCCACCCGTTCTTCAATTGGATTGAAAAATTCATCAAGGTTAATATCATCTCCGAGAGGTAAATGATTCACCCCTTGTAGGAATTCCATATCCTGTTGTACTTCCGCTATAATAGCTTCAATTTCCGCCCCTTCTACGTTCAACAGTGGTTCAGGGTTGTCTCCTTCATGTCGTAGTTGAATAGGACCGAAAAATTTGACGGTGCTTTTTGTAAAACAGTTGAAGATAGTAGATGGTTTAAGGTCGGTATTCCATGCCTCCACAGCCCAACGGATAGCTTGTAAAAGTGTTGCTTTAGGTATCTTTCCTCCCTCAGGTGTTCTTTCAACCTCTCGGACTAGATGTCTTATTTGATGCCGTTTCGTATGAGCTTTCCAAGCCTGTATAATCCCTTGATCGAGCGGTTGCCAAACTGATGTAGTGTTCGCCGGGAGCCAGACAATTAGAGTATTTTCTAATGCTTTTTCACCTCCAATAAGTCTAACTCCTAACTCGTGGGCTGAAAAATTATCCATCAATAATACCACTTTCCGTCCTCTCATTTTACGATCGAACCAATGCAAATACTCCACCATAATATCATGCTTCATCCAGGCTGTCTCGTTGAAGCGATAGACAGCACCTAAAGAGTCTCTATTGATATTTTTGAGGCACCTCGGGTTTTCAGCTCTACCAATAATCCAAGGCGGTAGCTTATGAGATCCAGTACCATTGCACGTTAGTGCAACAGTAATCCTGAGTTTATCTTTTTTTTCACCCTCCATTGAAGTTGTAGAGAGCCGCCTATCAGGCTGCATTCGGAAGAAATATCCAGTTTCGTCGAAATTGTAAATATCTTGTAGGTGGTAATCTTCTAATAATTGACGTATGCTATTCATTTCATCGAGAGCAAGAACACAATGGTGTCGAAGTGCATCACTCGCCTCCCCATGTTGGACGATCTGTTTGACTGAATGCCTCTTTTTCCAGATTGTAAGCCACCCGTCAGAGAATTTAGGTGCTTCCTCTCCTATAAAAGCACTTAGTACATATCCTATGTCATCAACATAGACACCGTGCCTACGTACCTGGATAAATCAGAGGAAAAAATTCCGCTGCTTTTTCTTTAATGACCAGCCCGGTGATCGTTACACGACCTTGCATGCGCATGTGCCATTCAAAAAGGGCATCGTCTAGTTTAGGCCAGTATACAGCTCTCCTCCTCTTGCTGACAGCCTGCGGAGCAGAAAGTGATTGCCCTAAGAGATCTGCAGAACGCTTGGAAAGGATTGTGCTAACCCCCGCTTGGGATATTTTTTTACCATTGTGCGTCTCAGCGAACCAGCTGGCAATCTCCCTCCAACCTGGACGCTTTCCATTTTGTATATATTCTTGATTGTTTCTTTCACATATAGCTTGCTTTTCCGCTTCGGAAAAGTACTGTCTCTTTTCCTTTTTCTTTACCCCCTCCATGTTGATGTTAGGTTATGATTTTCCAGATGTCCGTGAAATTTTTTTATGTGAACCACGCCAAGACTACTCTTGATATAAGGATACCCATACAATTTATCACTAAATACCTAATGATATCCTTATAACAAAATATCACTAATACCCCATACTAAAAAAGGGGGACCGGCAACCATCATCCTTATAAGAAGACTATCACTATATCGGGTATCACTATAACGAGAGTCGACTGTATAACCGACCTGATCTACAGTACAGTTCTAACCTTTGAAGCCTCCATATACTCTCTGCGCCACAAAAATTTACGCGCAAGGCCAAACACTGGTATTTCCCTTAAAACAAACATCAAACACAAAGAAAAAAGAACGCCAATTGACAATAACTAAAATAAAAAGAAAAACCCAAGTCCGAACCATCCTAACCACAAACACGATATACAACCCATACGGTCCCCTATAATCTAAGGCTCATCGCCCCAGTCTTCGTCCAACTCATCGATAAGCTGGTTTTCATCTTCTACTGAGCTCCTGCCGCCGCCAATCCGATCACCGCCAACGGTCCGTGCGCCAAAGCCACTGCCGCCTACACGGCCGTATCCAGAGTTTGAGCGCGAGCGCCGGAACGAGGATGGTAGGGGGAGGCATTCGATGAATTTGGTCCAGACTGTGTTGGCTGTGCTCTATAGGAGATGTATTAGCGAGTGTACATTGCTGGTGATTGATGATATAGGAAAATGCAGTATGCATGAAAAATGGATGCGAAAACAAAAACAAAAAAAGAGCTACGAGTGTATATGTGTGAAATATATAGTGATATCTATGCAAAAAATAAAAAGGAAAAAAGGAAAAGAAAAGAAAGGAAAAAGTAAAGCTATCCAGCAGCTCTACTTGGGCAAAGTCCCACTCGGCGGCGGCGGCGTCGCGGAAAACAAATGCAAAACATTGAATGGTAGCAAGAAACGCACCCATATGAACCCAATAGCGCCTGCCCACGCATGATAGTGTGGAATCTGTCTCCACCCTCGCGCATGCATCACACTTCTCTGATACATGCAACCACCTGCGCAATAGACTATTGCCGCAACAAGCCCACTAACAAAATCGTTAGCTATCAACCCTCATCTCTAGTAGATAGACATAAACTCACATGATGCCAAATACACTAACTGGTCCCAGCGCCTGGATCTTCACTGTCGGGCACGCGCTTGCCGTCCTGACCTCGAAGAAGTACGCACATTCGTTCGCTTGACCCACAAACGAGACAGCTGCCTTCTGCAGCATATCCCGGTCACACATCAAGCTCATCAATGTTGACTTCCGTAGCTTCGGGGCATCAGGGCAGGGTGAGCCGTCGGTGTACTCGATAACGAGCTTCCTCCCTCTGAAGTGGAGGTCTGTGGATACGCTCCTAGTGACGTCAGCTGAGACATACCTCCAGATAAGCGAGATCGTGCAGCACAAACCCGATGGAATACATTTCTCCGTCTTTCTCGTAGAACGCACTAACGTTCTTCTTCGCATCTCCCTTGATGCCTTCCACCTGCGTCACGTCTGCCAGCACCGGTGCGCATATGTTGATTGTGAAATTGGCGTTGTAGTCGAGGCCCTTGGCCACCCAGTCCGTATCCGCAGACTTCTTCTCCGTCGTCCGGATCAGTGGACGGAGATCGAAGAAGTTCCCGGAGGTGGGCGACGTCGCGGTGCATGGGGGGTCACTGTTTCCAGGTGTCTCGGGGGCTGTCGGGGCATCTGCAGCTGCTGAAACCTGGACGAGTGCTGAAAATAGCGCAAACAGCGCGGGAGAGGTTGACCAGAACCTCATGATTGGTGATATTGATTTCAAAGAAACGAAACTGAGATGTTGGGGGGGGGGGGAACTCAGCTGTGACGTTTGCGAGGGAAGCTGCCGACGAGGTGGCCTCTTTGTTACCCGGCTTGGAAGTGGGAGAGAGCTTACGCCACGCGGGTTAGGGTTCATGCAGGCACAGGGCGTCGCGTGCATGAAAAGGAACTGGGGGGGGTTGCACACGCTCTCGCCCATCCCGTACACCCCGCAGCACCTCGACAGAATCCAAGGTCAAGAAGCGGGTGCTTCTGCATGTCCGAGAACAGCAACAACAATTGGGTGGGCCAAAAGTAACTCTGGAGCCTCATCTGCCTCAAAAGAGTGGCCAAGAGACGACAGGACGCTACATACGGAGAGTGATTAACTAACGATCGCTGCAGAAACCTCGCCTACGCCGCCAACTTGCTGACTGGGTTCGGGATCCTATTGCTCATGTTCTCAACAAGTTTACTGTGCACCCCGTGCTAGCTGCTATCACGAAATTGGATTATCCTGTGAGAAATATCATGAAGCACCTAGGAACTGGGGAATATTGGCTGCCTAGGCTACCTACATGTACATATCAGTCTTAGGGATACCAAAGGGATATCAATATTCAGAGAGAGAATCCACGTGCATGTCTGGTTCGGATAAGACCATAGCAGAGAAAGAATTTCCCCACCAACACGTCTTGTTACCGTCTCCTCAGGCGTCACACTGTGGCCGATACAGACTCAATTGATGGCTGGCGACTCCGTCGGTTGCGCCTTGTTTCAAAGTAAAAGGGCAAGCAAGAGAAATTAGGCTTGGTTCTAACTTCTGAAAGACACAGCACAGTCTTGTGCACGTGGTGCAGTACGACAGACAGACAGACGGACGCTGAGTCTAACCTTGTCTCTCCCCACGACCAAACAACATTACACCGTCCCCCTCCTCCTCTCTCCAGTACTCACTGTCGCTGACTCTACCCCGCCGCTCACAACTGCCACTGCCAGGACGCTCCTCGGTCTTTGTTGCCCGCGAGTGACGGTTCGTGCAGCAGGGGCAGCAGCAGCAGCAGCAGCAGCAGGCTGTTCTCGCAACCCTAACCCCGGCCAGCGCCCCCACGCCCTAAGGCCTGTTCGGGCTAGGCAATTCCCACCACATCGTTCACACATCAACAACCGCAGCGACAAGCCATCTCACGTCTCTCCCGAAGGACTCGGCCCTAATCTCGAGCCTTTACCCCGCGCTGCAGCTCAGGCACAGACTGAAGACAGGACAGCCCCCCCCATCAACTACGAGGAGCATATTCTTATTCTTAATCACCTTTCTCAGCTTCAACTCATCTCCTTTCTCTCCCCCCCCACCCCTCACACACACTCACACACACACACATACATACACATAAATACTGAACACTCCCCCCCACATTCTTACGCCTTCCACTCCATCTCTCATCCAGATATGTCAGACGTTGGTTCCTTGGTAGCATTGCTCCCCCACGAATCCGAGGACACGGAAGAGGATCCAGAAACACATGCAACTGCCCGGGAGTTCGTCGACTGTAATCCTCACGTCTCCGTCAATTTGCCTCTTCTTCTTCTAACCGCCGCTAACCCAGTGGACTAGACACGGAATACCTTCCCAGCGACATTCGCCGCTCCATCGAACTCCTACAATCCCTCCACGAACAATATGACTACTACACAGCCCAGCTCCAAACACTCACAAAGGAGTTTAGGACTCTCCAGGCGGAGCTTCCCGTATCCAATGGTTTTGCTCGCACGGTAACGGACAAGGAGCTGGAGTTGCGACTGAGGATCTCCCGCGCCATGAACGCCGCCCTCCGAGCGCGTCAGGAAAGCACAGCGGAGTCCATAAAAATGCACCAGAACGTATACGTTCCCCCCCTTCCCCCTGCTGAGCTCTACTGATTCCATCTAGGTCGATCGCCACTACTCCCGAGCCGTCGCGATACGGTCCAAATTAGACGAGATCACGATACCTTCCCGCGACCCCACTCCCGTGTCGCCGCGAAAGCCCCGAGTCAAGGAGAAGCCCGACGACCAGCACTACAAAATCACACTCCGCCTCAACAATGAGCGGACACCAGCCCAGACAGCACGCGGCGGAGGACGTCGCCGCAACTACAATCCCACCCCACGCTCGCGACAACCCCCCCCGACTCCCGCCAACAACGAAGATGACTGGGAGGATATGCCGGACACTGTCGCGAAGCCAAAAAAGAAGAAACCTACCGCTGGTACTATCAAACGTGGCCCTAAACCTCCTACGGACCCTCCGTTCTCTGGTGGCGCACAGGCACGGTATGAAGACGGCACTCCGATTCCAAGCCATCTTCTCCCATGGAACAGACTCACCAATGAGGAATTGGCGCGCCTGCGGAAACGCATGAAGAAGAATGCCGGCTGGACCCCCAGTGTCACCATGATCATCCGCGAGCTTGAGTCACTAGGTAGAGGGCCAAAGCACAAGGATATGTTCACAGATCAGACGGAAGGCCACCTCGGCGAGGACTTCCTAAAAATCTATGGGCCTGAAGACGGCGGAATCGGGGACCCCGAAAAGATCGCACCCGACGACGGCGAGGGCGTTCGCGAGAATAAGGGCATGCGTCTCAACCGTGCAAAGAAACGAAAACGAGAAGAGGAACGGAAGGAAAAGGAACGCGAAGCGGAGCGAGAGCGCCAAGAGCGCGAAGCAGAAGCAGAGAATGTCAGAAAGGCCGAGGAGGAAGAGCGCAAGGAGAAAGAACGCCTAATGAGAGAAGCTCGTGAGCGCGCTGCGCGCGAGGCCGCAGAACGGGAGGCCGCCGCCGCTGCAGCAGTCGAGAGAGAGCGTCTTGCCCGTGAAGCACGCGAGGAAAAGCTCCGCGAGGAAAAGGCCCGTGAGAAGGCAGCAGTCAAGGAAAAAGAACGTGCCGCCGCAATCGTGGCTGCCAGCAGCCGCAAGATGCGTAGCGCATCCATCAGCACCGGGACTACTGCTTCCACGAGTACCACTACTGCGTCTGTAGAGGCCTCCTCCACCGAGGATGCAGACGAGGACATGCCCGATGTGGACGCCGACGCACCTCTACCACGGCGTCTTGGCCGCCCCCCGAAGAACCCCCCCACGTTCAAGCCTGGACATAAGCGTGCCGCATCGACCACCACCCCCGCCGGAGCGGACCCCAAGCGGTCCAAACGCGACCTGGCCGCGCCTGCGCCCGCGGCCGCCCCCACAACCGCGAGGAAAAAGGGCCTGATGGGAAGGGGAACAAGGAAGAAGCCCACCACCCCCGGAGACGAGGAAGGGGCCGAGGAGGAATGGGTGGATGACGACGAAGAAGATCTTAATAGGTATTGTCTCTGCGATGAGGTTTCGAGAGGGACTATGGTCGCTTGCGAGAACTCTCAGGTTAGTTTTGTGGTGTTGGTTTATTTCGTGATTTTTTTTATCTCCTTCTCGCGTGCCCGGCCGACTCTCCCCTGCTACTACTATCAATGATACCCCTCCTCACCCCTTCTCACCTTCCCTCCCTTTAGCCCTAGCATTACACATCTATCAGCCCTGAGCATGATACCACTACACCACACGTTGCGTGCGTACTTGTTTACCACACTCTACCTGAGAGTCCGTCAAAAGGAGGAAAACTAACAGCAGGGGCTCGCACCCGTAGTGTCCGAAAGTCTGGTTCCATATCGAGTGCGTCGGCCTGAAAGAAGAAGAGGCGACCACAAAGGCAAAGTGGTTTTGTCCCCTCTGCTCTGAAAATAGCGGAAAGCGGGGTGCTGGGAAGAGGAGAACGGGTAAGAAGGTTTGATCCGTTTGAGTCATTGGGGCGGGATCTAATTGTATTATCCTTCCCTCTCCCAACCCTTCCTCTTCTTAGCCCCCCTTCCACGTTACTCCTATTTTTTTACTCCTATTACTCGGGTCGTGGTTCCCCACCTACCACTTCGGCCACGACTTCCTCCGGACCTCCGGACTTTGTTGCTTTGATCCGACTTCTAATCCCCCTTCCCCCCTTGGACTTCTTTTACATATCTCTATCTTGGACTCTTTTTTCATGCTACTTTACGTGTAGCACTGGATCTCTTTTTTTCTTCTTCTCTCTTTCTCTCTTACTTTTGTTAGGACTTGACATTTGGACATTGGTGTGTTGTTTTACTCTTTTTATTTTGTTTTATTCTTTATTTTTATCTTCAAGGACAAGGTTTCGGTTTCTTCTTCTTCTTCTTTTTCTTCTTTTTTTTTTCGTTTCTTCTACGGGAATGGGTAATGGGGTCAGTTCTTTGCCGTTCTTCTGTTTTTTTTTTTTTTTTGCTATGGTAAGGGTTTAGGTTTTTTATATCTTATTTTTTGATCTGTGTATTATCTACTTCTTTTTTTTCTTCTTTTTTTCTTCCTTTCTTTCTTACTGGGCGCGGGCGGGCGGGTAAGCGAGGGTTGAGTTGATTGATGATGGCTTGATGCTGTCCTTTCCTTGACTTACTTCTGCTGATATATTCTCTGGTGGACTGGGACTTTTTTTTTTCGATGAGTAATTGGAGTGGGCGAGCGAGAATGTATGACTGGCTATTTAGGCGGGTGCGACATGTTGGGACTAGTAATCGGCCCAGAGGGGCGTTTTATGGCTATGGGCCCTTTCTGATAGTTTTTGCACTGGAGAGGAAATCTGAATGCAAAGAAAGACTAAATGAACGCAAGGGATTGTAAAACGCTATCCACATCAAGCACCACGAAGGTTTACATGAGTCTTCTGCATACAAGTGCCAGTACATAAGTTATTGAAAATTATTGAAAAGTACTTAGACTTTCACAAGTACATATAATTTGTGATACTAGCTTGAATATCCATAGACCAACACATCATAGCCATAAGAATACATCTGACTACATGTACAGGCCCTACAAACAGCACATGAAATTTCTGCTCGTATCGGATACAAAGTGGCACTAGAATGCCATTGTGCAAGTATACAAAACCAATACTATAGACCTGCCTCTCAGGTAGAAGCATAGCGGTTCGCCCACCCTCTGAGACCTTCAGCAATATCAATCTTTAAATATGCTCTGTAATACCTCATTTCCATCGCATAGTCCATAGCTGTCATCCCACGAAGGTCCTGAATACTAGTGTCTATGCCTCGCTCCAACAACGCTCCGATACTTGGCTCAGCATTGCCGCCCTTGATTACAGCGTGGTGAAGTGCTGTTCGCCCATACCGTTTACAGAGTGCGTTTATGCCTGCTCCTCCATCCAACAGAGCGTGAATTGTCAAGACACAGCCATCAATAGCGGCCTGCTTAAGTGCAGTGTAGCCTCGCCATCCCATAAAGTCCGGATCCGCGCCCATATTCAATAGAAAAGCGGCTACAGTTGGCTCATGGTCACAAGATGCATGCTGGAGTGAAGTCGCCCCGATATAATCCAGGCTATCGACTTTGCCATCCAAAAACATCTCGAGAAAGTCAAGTTTTCGCTCTATTATGGCGTATCTAAGAGGGCTAGGCACGTATACCACCAACGGAGAACTTACATATGAATCTGTACCACACACAAATAGTAGATCCAGGGCAGCCGGCTCGGTCGTGAAACTGTGTGGATCAGCGCCATGTTCCAGGAGGAGTTTGGCTATCTCGTTCTTGTTTTTCTGTATAGTTATAAAGAGCGGTGAGAATTCCCTATAACCCACTGAGTATCGACCGACTCGCGATAGAGTGTTGACATTAGGACCAAACCCGAGGATCAATTTGACCATATTTATTGAGCGATAATGCACAGCAGCGTGGAGCGGCGTGAATCGGTGCTGAAGGTACCTTCTGCTCATAATCGCTCCAGCATTTAGAAGGCCTCGACATGTTTCAAACGACCCCTTCCTCACCGCCCAGAAGAGTGGCGTCTGTCCCATATTGTCTCGAGTATCTATCCCTATTCCCATCTCTAAAAATTTGCTGAATAGATCACCACGCCCCAAAACCATCGCCCAGTATAGTGGCGAACGCCCGTAAGCACTGTCAACTAGAACGGAACGATGGTAATATTTTATGAGGAAGACTGCGACCCTATCTATACTTGCGGTCTTCGTAAGAAGTTCATTTAGCTTTGAGACTTGACTATTAGTATACGGATATTTGATCTCAGAGCGCCGATCTTCGAGCAATATACAGATATTCTCTACGTTCTGAGTAATAGCTGATAAATAGAGAGCCATGATGAGGTTTCCACCCTTCTGGGCAAATCTCCTGAGGAGAATCGGCTTTAGAAGTACGAATAGGCTACGGTTAACGCAGGCAAACCGATTGAAATCACCGGCAGTAGATAAAAGAAAAGAAATCTCGATAACGAGCTCATTGGGGAGTTCGCTGAACGACATGTTGCGTGGTATATGGGGGATATGTATATACATAGTACGAGGAGGAAAGCAACAAGACCTGTACTCTCTTAGTATATTATTTCTTCACGCGAGGCCACCTGTTTTTTTTATTCACACGAAAATGGCGTAGGAGACCATCAGAACACGTAATACTGCTATCCTCAAGGCCACAATTAGAGCCTTGAACTCTTTTGACCTTTCTGTACCTTTTGAATGAATTGCCATTTCTCGAGGCAAAGGCCTTAATCCTGCTCCACGGAAATGCTTGAGCTGCAAATACTGGTGCGATTCTGATGAAAAATTCTCCCCCTGGGCATAGACCCAGCAATATCCGCAAAACTCCATGCTCATCTAGCGTGGACAAAGTTAAAACCCCCTACTCCCGTACTGATTTTTAATTAAGCGTACATACATTTCCTACAATATTTTTGCCTCATCATCAGCAAACCCGTCGAGACGTGGCCATTGGAAACTTAGGCAATACCTAGCTAATCCGATCTAAATGGTGTGATAGGCCAAGACTACACATATTCTGTCTTCGTTGCGCGAGTGTGGTATCATATCCGAGGACGGCCGCATATTAATGCAATCTCTTCATTCTCTGAGTAATGGCCTAAGATAATGAGAACATACATGTAGGTAGCTTTTTTCTGAATGAAATGATCTCGAGTGAAATGTCATACTCAATTAATATGCATTATTAACATCAAATTAACTAGGTACCTACATGTAGTTATACCCGCCGAGGCCTTATCGGAACATCAAGCAATTCATAGGGACCCGGGTATACAATAGCGAGATGCTTTGTAATCATTTCACCATTTATCACCCGCAATCGCCAATCCAACCAGCAAATATCCCGGCTTCAATAATCCTGATCCGCTAGCACCTGGCCGGGATTTATACAGCCGACATAGAGTTTAACTCGTTTCTATAATTGGAATACATCATATATATGTAAAGCATAAAAAAATGAAATCCTTTGTTTGGATCGATTTGTGTGGCGGTGTCGAGTGACAACTGGTGAACATGCAAAGTACCTCTCGTGGTTCCCAGAGCGCTCTTCCGATAGGCTGACAAAATACAAAAAGTGCTCAAGCATGACAATGACTATCCAATCAACTCCAATGCTCCAATGTGCGCACATATATTGTCAAGGGTTACAGTCATGACGTGAATAATAATACTCTATGCTGCAAGGGCGGCATCACAGCATATAGGCCGTGGCACTGCATCTACAAATAAGATTAAATCCACCAAAAGAGGTAGTTGTAGATCAACTTTGATGATGCTCTTGGCTCTCCTCCGTTGTTTCTATGTGGATGAAACCTGTGTTTCCTTGCGGCGATATCGAGCCACTCAGGTAAGTATCCGTTTCCTCAACCCTCGTCTCCATCTTTGGGTCCGTCTCATTGATAGGCGGCGTATAAAAGATGAGGCGGACACGCTTGGCAATGTCTCTTATGTCGGTGGAATGTCACATCTACTACAATTTGATGATAATGACATCGGCCGAGAGTATCCTCTTTGACCACTAAATGTTTGACTACATTGATCTAGGTATACAACTTGGACACATACAATAACTAAACATAATGAATACCTAACAGTTATCTCTTCAATAAGCACTATGCAGTACTTCAAGCCACTAGATATATCACCACCAACCAACATCCCACAACCCCACCAAACGCCCACATCCTAGGGCAAAGGAAACTGCAGCATGGGCCCATACGTCATTTCCCATCATCCAGCACCAGTCAAAGCTCTTCCTCGACCGGCAAAAGAAACCAAAGAAGAATTCGGTCTAAACGGATATCGATCTCTCTATCACTCCCGACGAATATCGCGACCAAAGCAAAAGGCTCTTTTTCTCCACCCTCCTCATGCTCATATTCATATTCCTCCTCCCCAGTCGCCCAACAATAGTTCTGAAAATAGCCCTGCCAGCAAATCCACATGTATTTATCATTATTACAATAACATTCCTCAACGAACTTAATTGCACAAGCAGAATTAATGTGTTGGCTCGCCAACGTCTGGAGCGGTTGCAATCGACATTTACACACGTGCTGAACAAGGCGCACCACCACCACCTCCTCCACCACCGGGCATGCACTATCACTTATGCTTCGAACCACTCAGGATGCCCGAGGAAACGGCACACGATCGATTACATCAGATCCTTGTTTTTATTGTCAAGCGGGCCTCTGGCTTTCCCCGGGCACTAAACTAAACGTACATAATCGCTTGCTTGTCCAACTAAATTCTCATGATTTGGGATGACCTTGCAATTTTCGTGGAGGATGGATGGATTATATGGATGGACGGATGGATTGATTGTCAGTGCTTCAGCTTCAATCTACCTACTCTACTCAGTACTGCATGGGCCAATTGGAAATAACGGGTACGAATCTTCTAACGAAAAGAAGCCCTAGTAATATTGAACGACATATGTAGGTCCGGCGAGCCCATAACTGTATGCTCCTCCGGTGAAAAAACCAGTTGGAGGTTTCCCATAGGTATTCCCATAGGTATTGCTAAATTTCAGTCACCTGGCTGACCGTCGCAACGTACTTCACAACATCATATCCACCTTCCCTCTCTGGAAGGACAAATTTAAGGTGAGTTAGGCAGAAACTGACCAATGAGCCAATAGATACTCCCTTCCCCACGAAATTCAAAGATGCATGATGATATTCTATCCAGCCCAATCATGCCTTAAACGACCTATCCTAATGATCCTAATGTCCTTAAATCCTAATATCCTGATATCCTGTCCTGTATTCCCTATATATGCATCCATCCAGCACCATAATTTAAAAGCAGAACAAAAAAGAAAAAAAGAAAAGAACACAGGTTGTCCCCAAAATCTTTTTAATCACAGGATTACAAATTCCACCTCTTCTTCTCGAAACCCAAAAACCATAAAGTACAACACAAACACGCACCTATGGGTATATATATAAAAAAAAAGGGCTACAGCACATACATCTCACAGCAAGCGAAAAACAATAAAAATAGAAACCCAATGCACAATAAATGTCAAAAAATAAAAAAGTACCATATACTTTAGCATCCTTTATACTTTTTGATCGAAAAAAAAGAGGGCATGCCTGCTAGGCCTATAGCAAGTACATGTAGCTATTTAGCTTAAGCTTTTAGTAACAGCTAGCTCCCCCCGCCCTCCCCCCACATGTGCACAATGACATGTTAAGAATCCTACAAGGAATCTAAAACCCAAAGTGATGGGTGAGAAACAAAGAAAGAAGGAAAGAAAAAAAATGGTGGCTAAAAAGAAAATAAAAAAAGAAAGGGAGATATTGGTCGCCATGATCTAGCTACATATCTGGAAACAGGTGGGTGTGGTAGTAGTAGTACAAGATCAACAAACTCCAGATCGCATGTTAATGAAAGAAAAATGACTGACCTGACCGAGGGGCCAAAAAAGAAACCTATAACACGAAGAGGAAGAGAAAGATGCAATAATAATAAAAAAGTGACATACAGGCCCAGGGCGAGTTGCTCTCTGTAGGCACAAGCAGGCAGTAACAAAGACCTCAAAAATGTACAACGAAGTATAAATGGGGGAAGAAGAAAAAAACGTGACGCCGAATTCTGAAGACATTAAAGGTTACATAACTATAGTAAAGAAAGATGGTAGCAGTACTGGCCTATCCAAGAAGGTTGGACTCTACAGGCGAATCGAAAAAGGTATCATAAAAGAGAGTGAGAGAAAGATAAAAAGAAAAAATAACACTCAGAGGGACATTCGCAATCGGGGCACAAATTCTTCCATGCATTTCCCCAACCTGCCAGCTAACTTTTCAACATTAGACGATACAAAAAAGGTACCTTATTACACTATATCCTCAGTAAACCGCGAGGCTCGTGAACCATCATGTGATGGCAATGATCTACCCACTCCGTCCTTGCCAGCGCTCCCGACACTGACTGTACTCAATTGTCTGGGGAACGGCGGTGGTCTGGGAAGCTTGTCTGTAGATTCGTTATCACTCTCCACGGGCTCTTCCTGTATTCGAGGTGGCGGAGGCGCCATCGAGCTGCCTATATGTGGCGGCATATGAGTTGATGGCGGTGTAGGTGGTACCGCCGAAGAAAAGTTCATAGGAGCAGTTGAGCCGGTTGGTGATGTTGAGCTAGCCGTCATTGACGAATATCTCGAGGGTCCTACTACACTGGGTGTTGAAGCTACTGTTATTCCATCATCATCAGGGTAATATGAAGATCCTCCCGCAGACCGCGTGGAGCCATATCCAGGGCGCGGGCCACCAAGGACTGGTGCCAATTTCCTGCCAGAGACCTTATAGAAGCCCACTTCTGACGTTGAGGGTACTGTGGGTGTGTCGGAAGATTGACTGGCACGAGGTGTTCGTGGGCTCCTAAAAAATGACCCAGCTAGGGCAAAAGGAGCCGCCCCAGACCTTTGCATCATCTGATCCCCCTCGGCCCCTTCTAGCGGGCCACCATACCCTGCGTCATCTCTTTGTTGTGCAGCAACGGCTCTCTTGTGTCGTCGTAATAAATATAATATGGCTACCAGTATGAACGCAATTCCCGCTACACCCCCCAGAACGCCTCCAAGAAGACTTGGGCTTACAGGGGGGCTATTATCAGAAGGTGTAGTTGTTGATGTCGGAACTGCAGATGCAGAAGTACTACTTGTCGGTGCTACATATCCACCACCACCTCCACCTCCAGTTATGTCAGTCCCGGATCCTAGTAAAGACGTCGCGAGCGACTCGGAAGAAGTGGTTGAAGTGGCTGTGCTGTTTAAGCTACCTGATGAGACGGAAGATGTGGATGTTCGGGTGGAGCTGTTACCAGTGCTTGAGGAAGAACTCAATTCTCGTGTGCTTGTTGAGTACGTGTAAACAATAACAGTACCATCAACAGTAACTGTTGACTCACTACTAGGCTGCGATGAGGTAAGGGTAGTTGAACCTGTGGACCTAGTATTACCTACAAAAATAGTATTAGAACCTCCTCAAGACACTAGGGCCTACGCAGGGTCCCATTGACTTACTTGTTGTAGTTCCATTATTTCTTGATGTTTGCGATGTCAAGTAGGAAGTGATCGTCGTATAAGGGCGGGTAGTTGAAGAACCTGTATTTTGAGGCCGAGGTGTAATTGATGATAATGATGACGTTGAACTTGTTGTAGGTGGGATGGACATCCCAGCGGATGTTTCCGCTGGCGACGGAGGAGGAGAATTCGTACTCGAGATTGTCAGCAGCGTAGTCGAGGATATATCTGTAAGGAGGCTCGTTAATGGAGTCGAAGCCAAGGAAGTATCCGATAAAGCGCTTGTTGATGACCCTATCGAATTCAGGGCCGTCGACAATATCGAGTTCGAAACTATTGAAGCATCGGAGGCCCCTTCCAGAATGTCAGAAAATTTCGAAACCACGGAATCCAGAAGTCCTACAGCTACCGCACCTATTGATGATGAACCGCTTTCCACCTGTCGGGGTTGCAGTCGTGAGGGACGTGTGTAGGCCAAGTTTTCCCGAACCTGCTCAATAATCCTGATTTTCTCAATTGCTTGGTGATATTCCAACTCCCCTTCCAACAATCCTCCTTCTCCGCCGTGGCCCCCATAATCCCGCCGCAAATCCTCATCATCATCTGTAGTTTTCCCAGCTCTTACGCCGATCCCGCCAATGCCCTCTCCGTCATCCACCGTAACCCTCCCAGCCGAAACTCCCATCTCCTTTCCCCCCAGCCTTAAACAAATGTAACCTCGTACGAGAACTGGGACACAGATTGCCGACCGACGGGAAATGATTTTTTTGTTTGAAAAAAAAGTCGTTTGTATTCGTGATTTCCGTCAAACAGATTATTGATCCCCAAAAGTTCCCCAACCAGATTCTATTATTAATGGCTAAATGAAGATGAAGCGTTGTTCCAGTAGCGCCTCCCCCTAAGAAAGTTGTTGTAGGACTTTTTTTGCCGAATAAGATACAATACACACAGAATAATTGAGTTGGCAATCAGCAAGAATAAAGAACAGAGAGTGAAGAAAACTAAAAGTTGAATAGTTGATCTTCCTTTTTTTTGTGTTGAGTAGTAGTAGTAGCAGTAGATAAGACAGAAATAGTTGATTATCAAAAAAATAAATGAATTATTCTTTAGTAAAATTGGCGTCTTATTTTTTACCCCGAGTGATAGTTGTAGTAGCGGGTAGGTAGTTATTGCAAGTGCCTAGGAGCGGGCGCGAGGTCGCTGTGATATCCGAGTCGGTACTCCGGTATGATGTCGAATGGTTATGTATTGAGTTGCAGTAGTTGGAATTCGAAAAGAGTGAACGGGTTGTTTCCTTTTGGCTGCCGGGAACTAGCTGTTGGACGATAGAAAAAGCGAACGTGAACCTTGTCAGTGGGCTCTGACTTGGAGGGTAGTAGTATGTAGGCAGTAGGTAGTAGTAGGAGAGAGAAAGAGAAGGGAGGATGATAATGATGCAGAGCGGGATGCATTAGCAACAAGCGGGTGGTATTGGCAACGAACCGTGAATTGGCGATGCATGTACGTACAATGCAATCCAGTGAAAGGGTATTGGTATGGTATGGGGGCTGTTGGGCGGGAAGGGGCCCTAAGTTGAGTTGAGTTAAAAAGAGAGGCTGAGAGGCTTATCCGACAGCGTGGCTGGCAGTGAGTCCTTCTCTGAGGTCTATCACAAACACCCGATCTCCTTGTACCGGACAGAAGTCCCCGTAACGGACGGTCACTGGGATATGAAGCGAGCGAAAGGAAGCGAAAAAAACGAGGGAGGAAGAGGGAGAAAAAGAAGAGAGGAGGGGATGAGGGGGTGGGGGGGGGGGTGAGTAAGTTAACAAGCAAATATGTTAAAAAAGGGTGGTGAGAGAAGTGAGTAGGTTGTAACGAGTGAGCGGGAGAGATGTGTGTGAACGAACGAACGAACGTACGGGGGGGGGGGGGGCAGCACCAGACGGAGTGTGAACAAGCAGCGGCAGCGTGACGGCGACAGGGACAGGCAGGAGATGGGACGAAAAAAGATAGTCGAGGGGGGGGCCTCTGAACAGGGGGCAATTGGTGCTGCTGTTAATAATGCTGCCGTGCACTGTATGCCTGTGCTTGCTTGCTTGCTGCTTGCTTGCTATGCTGAGTCGGGGAGGAGAGACTGTGACCGTGGTGTTTGTTGTTCTTGAACGACGCAAGCAGCGACCCGTCCCAATGTATTTAGAGTCAGTCTACGTAACTCTACTACAGAGCCAAAATTAAACCAGATCAATGGAGATCGAAAGCCAGAAGAAACGAAATTTCGAAACACCACAACTTTATAGAAGACTACACTCTTAAGAAACCTTTGTCAAACAAGATAATACTGTTACTGGGGGTCTCAAACTTTTAACGTGTCTATCTGTACCTGCTGCAAGTGTGGGGAAAATCTGCACAAATCCTGTCTTTCTTGTTGGGCTGAGCCCGGTCTCGTCAATAATACTGTAATTAATTGGGTTGGAAATTTAGCGTTTTCTTTTGCGGCCGCGATCATCCGTTGTCACTCTGTAATAAATATGTAATCCCTTCAATTGCCTATGATCGATGACGGCTGAGTGCCTGGGATTTGGGGGTGGAAGGGAACGCATGAGGCATGAAATAGGAGTTAGTACTCTCAACATTCAAGATTGAGACGAACCGACCGTTCCCCATGTCAAGCAGCAGGCTCGATAATGTTCCTTAGATTACAGCACTTCAGGTATGTAGGTACAATCATGTAGCCTACATGTACTCTACCCTCGTAGACTCGTAGAATAGAGTACTTACCCTATGTATCTCTGGCTGTACACAGATTTTGAAATTCCCAATAGGCGGCACCGTGCGCAGCAACAGCAGGTGCATGTACCTCCAGAAGTACTACTCGTCTATGCCTTTGCTTTACTCTTGAGTACGTCTAGGTACTGATGTCGTTAAAAACCCAGCTACCTGCCTATGTATCATGTACGTATGGTACACCGTTCAAAATTTATTGTCCATCTTTGATCTTTTGCTCTGGCTCGTCTATAATATTATGCACCTACCATCCACTCACCTGCAAGCCACCTCCGCACCGCACCCGGGATAGCGCTCGCCCAACCGCAATTTCCTCTGCGCGCGGCGACGTGTGTGGTGTGTGTGTGCAGCAGCACAACCCCCCTGGGATGTGTGGTGTGTGTTCGAAAATAGATTTTTTTTTCTCTTTCATTAAACTTTTGGCGCTAACGACGCTCCCAGAAGCTCCACCCCTGGCCGCCCAGTCCGCATCGAGTCTGCGGTTGCGTATCGAGCGAGGAAATCAGCCAGCCATGGCCCATGGGGTGTTCGTGAATTCAATTCATATTGCAGTCAGCTACAAACAGTACCTATATCCTACCTGCACTTATGAACGTTTGCTACATACTTGAGATTCATCTTCTTTTTGCTCATTGACGTCCCCATTAACGTCCCCTGAGTGGCAAAGTAATTATCAGTAGCTAACTAGTACTCTCCCAATCCATTCATTCCTCACGTCCTCACTCGTCCACTTCTCTTGTTGCCAATTCCGCCCCCCAGCCAATTGCAAATCGATACCCGAGCCTCAAGCAAGGTCCCGTTAAGAAACCAAACCAAACCAAACCAAACCCGCTTTTTTGCCCTTGAAAGTTGAAACCTCCGTCCGTTGCCGGCCGCAATGCAAGGAACACCAACCCTTCCCCTGTTCCATAGAAACAGGAAGGTACCTTTTTTTGCACCTGGGCGCCCTATCTACAACTCTACATGCCTACTCTAACTCTGCCTCGCTCGCATAGAGGTTTCTCGAAGGAAAAGAATCAGATTGTTTCCGTGTTTCAATAAAAACCACCGCCCTGTAGCCATGAGTGGTCGGGTCGTGAGACTTTTAGAGAGCGCCCTCGCTTCGTTTCGGCTGGATTGGGCGCGCTCCTCGACCGAATCCGGGCGTGTGAGACATTTCGAAACAGGGGGTTGGTGTTCGCTTTCGGTTCGGTTCAGCGTGGCGAGCGAGGGAGGCGAGTGACGATGTGTGAATTGGAGTACATGTATGTATGTTGTACCTACATGCCATCCCCACTGCTGAGTTTAGGTAGCTGGGTAATGATTGCTGTAGCAACTTGACATCAAAGTGCACTTTTCATTCGGGATGGGATGCAGATAAGATAGTGAAGATAGTGGAGTGGGTACCTGACCTGATCGAGGGCTGAGATCTGGTGACGCGACAAGACAAAAGATAACTGGATGTGTGTACCCAGCGAGAACCACTGCGCATGCCTTGTCTCTGCTTTAGAGTACTCGTACAGGAGAGGTACCTTCTCACCTCGCCGCTGCAGAAGAGTAATTTGGCCACCCTAGAGCACAAGTATCTACGGTTTACTCTGCCTAAGCGGGCATAGGAACCCAGAGCCACGAATAGCTCACTCGCTGGCCAGCCTTATCTCTCTACTCCGCATCTCCGTATCCCGGAACTGCCAAACCCAATAAGCTACATACATGTTGTCATTACAAGAAGAATCTCCCAAACTCCCCGAAGACTGATCGAGTAGATACTCTACAAACTAGAGTACTGCATACATCGCACTATGGAGCTCGTGAGTCGTCATACATCAATAGACACGGATATCTCCGCTCCTGCATGCAAACCCACCAAAAATGTGACCATGTATGTTCCTTCGTCGATCTCGTGCCGCCTATAAATACAATAATACACTTCACCTTTTCCATCCCATCGTTGAAAGAAAGAAGAAAAGAAGATCGATTTCGAGCTCTTTCTCCGGGCGGGCGTGCGGGGAGGAGACATGACCCGGAAGCACTGCGGTTTTGGAAGGTAGGGCTGTTGATCGCACCTATGTTCGGAGACAGTGGACACCTGGTATATTTTTTCTTGGACCGACGGAAAGAAAGAGGTCCTCCCTCGCATCGGTGGTGGTAGTTATCCGGCCATGGATAGGAAAAAGCTTAGACAGTCTCACCACACACCCCCACCCCTCCGTTCGGGTCAGGTGCGCGTGCGAGTGACTGTCCATGAATGTTAGGCAGCATTGATCACGGATCATCACTCGCGGTGGTTGATCATGATGTTCGCGAATCAATCATTAGCCCCCTTTATTGCCAATGGCTCCACGAGAGGCTTTAGGATCGTTAAACAAATCGTTGACGAGCGAATCTCTGTCCATTGAAAAAGATGGCCCCGTGTCGTCATCGTACGCGCGTCATGCGAATGATGTAGAAGTGGCTAGTTTTCCATGCGAATTAGTATATATATCTAAGCCTCGTTGCCGGGTCTTCTTCTTTCACGTTGTTTGCGCTCTGGAGAAACGTTTCCATCCCCTCCACTCATCTACTCTCTCTCCATATCCCTATCCCCGCTGACCATGTTTTTTTGGTGCCTCGTCATCGCCTCACGAATCAATTATGATACCATCAATTTTCTAAACTCTAGCTCGAATTATAGAAAGATAGGATAGCTCTGGACCGATCGATGGTGCCGATGGCTTGCAAGCTGCGTCCCTTCAGGTGAGCGCCTCAACTCCAGCTAGTCTATTTAAGACTAGTGCCGCCACATACTGCTCTAAATATCTTGACTTTTGAGAGCGAACGAGGGAACTGATGTAGAGCCTCGTGGCATCGCATGGTCGATGCACCATGTTTTCTAGTTCTTACTTACCGATGCAGGCTATGTGCAGGCTGCATACCTGTTTTGCCGTATCAGCTCAACTTGAATAATTTAACTCAAGGCAGGTACGACCCACGAGACTATGGAAATTGATGGCATACACCTACTCTATATGGTTTTAGTTTAGAGTATCGACACGATATAGAATATCTGGGATTTCTAGGTCCTATGCGACCATGGGTATCTAAAAATAGGGTCCCGACGCTGAGGTTGATATTTTGTGGTTAGGGGGTTCGGATTTTAGCAGACGGTATCTCGCTATTTCAGACATTTAACGGCGTTTTGAGACTTTGGTGTCTGCTTTGGACTGGTCTTGAAAGAGGATGAACTTAAGTCTTGAGGTGTTAAAGTTCTCGGATGTTGAAGTTCCAAAAGTTGAAGCTACATGTAGCTACCTGTGAAACGATCAAAAGTTAAAATTATCGAACACTTTGGGACAGCTAGAACTACTCGATCAGCATCTCTACCGCTCACTCGATAATGTAGAATAACAAACCAGTACCTTGTTAAATTGATAAGTCTGCGACTGCAAACTAAAGTGGAAGCTTATTTGTCACCTTGATCGATATGTCGGTGCGGCGGGATGTGGTGCTTGTCAATTTCGGCCCGTCGAGCAGCTGTAGGGGTTGGGCAGGTCGTTTTTAAGTCGGAGCGGAATCAGAATCTCAGTGTTGTCTGTGGGCCGGGCCGAGAATTCAAGGTATTCTGTATGACGAGCCAGCCTATGTTTTATTTCCGTGATTGGATAGCAGCTGTGCATTGGAGATTAGAGTAGTGCCAGGTGACTTATCGGGAGTGAATATGAAGAGGGAGACAATTAGAGGCCCGGATTATCGATTGGTCTGCAGAGTGATCCATGAGGCCGCGTGGCTATTAACACTTTGCATTTCGATACGTATGCACAAGTACTCTAAAAGTATCTGTATCAAGGGGAGAACGCAAGAGTTAGCCGGTTTGGGCATAAACTTCTATGACACGCATGACACTGTTCTAAGTACTGAGGATAAATGATCATCCCGGGTCTCGAGTTATATTTCCAGCAAAAACCTCAAATTACGCAGTATGATAAGAACCGGACAACTCGAAATGCTCTTAGCCTTCCGACGCATATGCATCGCCACGATATAAAACACCTATGACATATGTCAAGTCACGGGGGTCATGCATCTTCTTATCGCTGTATACTGGATGAATCGATGCTTTGATAAACTCGGGGTGGTGGCTTCTATAACAGGAACTATCGACCGCTGGATGCCTATTGATAGTTTATATCTGCTTTAAAGCTTTCGGCGCTCATAGAATCACCCCTCTTTTCTTAAGTAGAGCAAGGTATTTCTTTGAATCGGACGCACCTCGAGGCAGCCTCTTCTGCTTCCCCCCGCCTCCGTGTACCACATTAAAACATCACCACACAAATCCTCAACCTTCACTGGACACTGGAATATTCAAATACACAAGTCTAAGCGTATCAGTTGACACCTTATGCATTTTGATCCACTTATATAGGATGAGACGCGTGATCTACGAACCCCACCATCTCACCTCAAGGCGCCTTCAAAATTATAATACCGTCATCATCATCGCCGCAGTGCAATGGCAGACGTAATTGAAGCTATTTTTTCCAATTGGACGGCTTTTTTTTTGATCACTCGGGTCTGTACTTACGCATTTGTTGCACCCTGCACCAAATATTCTGCATTTCAATCATTGACCTTGGCGCGGGCTCACGGCCCACCCTCGAAAGTCGAGCCGACTCTGTGCTACGTTAATTTTGACCCGATATCGCCGCGGCGAATGTTTAGTAACATCCAACACGGCATGCTATAGTTATCTTAATTTCTTTGATGAATACGAGAAAGTCATGGATCCCGACATTACATCCACATGCGGTAATATTCGTCTAATAATAGACATTACTCAGTATACTTCGTGCCAAGACTTTTAGGAAATTAGTGATTCGGGTGCTGCAATTGTGTATGAGAGTTTATGAGGGCTCTGCTGACGGTTTTTATGCTTAAAGTTCTTTGACAAATCCGAATTACTGTCTATTGCCAGGTTATTTCAGTGGGGATCTGGTTTAGGGTAAAATGCTTCTTTAGCATAGAAGCGGTCCGGGGTTCGATTCCCGCGTCTCCATAGAGTTTTCCTTGAGGGTTGGTGTGGAGGATTTCATTGATAGTCTTTGTCCGGGTAATATCAAGGAAAGCGTTTGTGGTTTGTGGTTGGTTGAGATGGTCGGCGAACCGCATTTTTGGGAAAGACACACAACTCAAGATCTGTAGTTTGATAGAGTAGAATGGCGCGAAAGAAATGAGGAACGGTCCCCATGTTTATATCATACCCGTTGTTCCTTGTTCCTGTATCAAAAATACCTGACTCACATCACGAGCTGAAATCACCCCGAGTGACCACCCATGACCGGGCCGAAACGAAACCTACATCAACCAACCCGTGAGCGCCAAGGTTTCGCATGTACCCAAGTACCCTCATGTACTTACTCTGTCCTCAGTCAGCTCGCCAGCACCCGTCCTATTCCCGATAAACTCGTGTAGGATCGGAGTATTCAGGTGGACGAGGCGCGAGGGATGTCACCCGGTGTTGAGAATAATAAAATAATAAAACCCCGAGTTAATGTCAACTGTGGCTGGTGAGCTTTTTGACCTTCTTTTTTACCTTGTCTATGTACACGGGTGACTGTATCGGAATGGGATGGAATGGAATGGAAATGAGGCCCTTTTTAAGGGTGTGGGTAGAGGGATATCTGGATGCGGGATAGAGACATTTCGCGGTGGTACAAAGTGTGAACGTGAGGGTTTTCTATGTACATGTGTTAAATGGGTTATGGCTAGATGCGCTATTGTCCTCTTTCGAGATTTTGAAGTTTGTATTAAAAATAATGCCAAGGCTAACTGTATATATCTAACAATGAGATATATGTGAACGCCATATTTATGTGTGAGCTAAGGTTTGGTGCCAAGACTATGAGCATAAGTAATAGCCTAATACACTACTTTGGGCGTGTTGTCAACACATAAGAAAACCTTTATAATGAGATCGTAGCCGAAAGACGTCATGTTACCTTAACAGACCTCAACCATCTATTTGCAGCGGGTGATAATCCGTGAAGTTAACCATCTACATCTCCAACAGCATTGCAATCGGTAGGAGCAACAATTATTCGAGGGCATGGTATCTTTGGGTATCTTAAAGCTACATGTATCTAATCGAGGGTAATAGTTTCCCCCAATCTGTCATAAACCATCACTAGTTCTGAATAATGAAAGAAACCATGAATTCCATATTCGCTTGAAAAAAAAAAAGAAAGCCAGGATATTTTCTCTAATGATCCGATTTAACTATATTTATTTTTCTCCCAATAGTCCAAAGAAAACACCCGATTTAACCGCTGTACTCCTGAATGTTTCCAATGTTCTTGCCAAGGAGAGCCATGGGCACGATACCAGAAACGTGGCACTCTGGTCCATAGACATGCATGTCCAGCTTCAGCTCCTGTCCAACAGCCTTGATGTTCTTCAATCCTTCTTGGTAGTTGGGACCAGCACGACGGACCCAGATCTGAACCTTGTGCTCAATGAACACGGGAGCAAATTCACGAAGGGCGCGAATAACACCCTTGAAAGTAGATGCGACGTTCTATAGTAAAAATGTTAGCCTTGCAAAAGGGTACCGGAATATGGGGAAGGCTTACTGTGAAGTTAGCAATACCACCACCAATAAAGAGAACACGGCCTTCAGGGTGAATAGGGGCGCGCAACATAAGGTCGAAGACAGTGCGGGCATAGAGGTATGTCTGTCCCTCAGTAGGGGCACCAGAGTATTCTCCGTAGTTAGCCAACTCGCTGGAGAAACCGGATGAGGCAATGGCGTCGGCGTAAACGACTGATGCACCACCACCGGCAACGAGAGTCCATACTCGTCCGACGGGGTTAAGGACGGTCAGCTTAAGAGAAGCACCGGTCTTAGCATCAAGGGATGCAATGTAACTAATAACAAGTTAATCTCCGTTGTTGGATTTTAGATTTTTTTAAGAGGACAATGACTTACGCTTCCTCCTTGGTCAGCTCACGGCCGAATGGCGCTGGGAATTCCATTGGTGGGCCAGCATCGATAGAAACAGTGTCATTTCCAACAGGTCTCAGCCCTAAAGCAGCAGGGCTTCTGGCAATAGCCCACTTAGCACCGCACTCGAACTCGGCAGTTTGATCAAGTTTTGCTGCCAAGTCCAAGAAGTGGACCTGAGCAGAGGTTTTATCCTCGTTAGGAATAACGACCAAGGGGTTGATCTCAAGGTAACTATAAAGTTAAGTTTAGAATTATATCAATAGTCTGTGGCTATAGGGAAACTGACGTGAACTGGCAGTCGACGTAGACAGCGTAAAGCCTTGTGATGAAGTCTACAAGAACGTTGTGCACACCTGAAGGAACGTTCTTCAGAAGGGTCTGAGCAATAACCTCATTTGATGGGTATCTAGAATAATGAGTTAGTAAAAATAAAGATAATGCGCAGATTCTGGTAGTAAAACTAACTGTGACAGATCAACAGGAATCAAAAGCTTCTCAGCCTTCTCATCGACATCACCAACATCTACACCTCCCTCGTGAGTGAAGAGGATCCAGTCACCCTATATAGCGCACGTTAGTAGTTGTTTAGTTGTTTGTTTCGGGTATGATAATAAATCATCACCACTTTTTGGCAACAGAAAGCCACCAAAAAACTTCTAGAAAACAAGACAAATGAGGAAAAGACAAATATATAAAAATGTAGATCGAGGCCATTTATGTCGGATAATTAAACTGAAAGAAGCCCGATAAGCGAGAAAACGGCTGCAATGCAGGGTCTCATACAGGGGAGTGATGGTGCAGTCTTCCGAAGAAATCGCCGTTGGAAGGGAGACATCCGCTCGACCGAGAATACATAAAGCTTTTAAGCTCCCGCGATCCAACGGCAACCCAACCACCACCAACAACAAAACATGCAAAACACGAAATACGACGCCATGCCATATACGAAAAATAGAACGGAAAGGACGGTGTTTGGTGGGAGGAATAAGGGGACAAGGGGGGAACTAAAAACTAACCTCTCTGACTGAGTGAATGTTGATATAGTATTCCTCTTCAGACTTGTGTGGGCAGAATGGCTCAACCAAGAATGTCCTTAGGTAGCCCTTGACAGTCTCAACCTGAACCTCTTTCCCGGCCTTCTCCTCGATCCAAGCACGTGCCTCAGCCCAAGTCTTGTTCAAAGTCAACAATCCGGCCTTTCCACGTCTCTTGATTAGCTGATCTGGCTTCGCAACGAATTTGGCACCCTGCTCAAGCAGCCATGGGTACTGCTGTTCGGCGGCATCGCAGACAGCGGAGGGAGATGATCCCTCGCCAAAGAACAGAGAAGCAAGCTTTGGTGGAGCATTGTGAGGGGGAGGAGGGAGAGTTGAGGGAGCAATGACAGCAGAACGGGTGAGGTGGTAGTTGAGGATGGCCTTCCCGTCGGCCTCGTGGATGGATTTAGCAGACATTGTGAGGTGGTGGATAAAATGACAAAGGCAACGGGAAAGAGAAAGATGGAGATGGAGATGGAGATGGAAATAGAGGTGATGGAATTGAATTGGAGATTGAAGAGGGGGAAGAGGAGGAGGAAACAGGTCAATTGATGAAGTTCAGGAGAGGTGTGGGGTTGGCGGGCTGGTCTTGAGTCTTTGAGAAAACGGGAGGGGTGTGTGAAGCAACAGCCTACCCTTGGGGAAACACGGGACTTCGGTTGAGAGCTGCAGAGACAGCAAACTGCAGTTACGCCGATTCAATTCGTTGGGCTTCGAGTTTTTTTCCCGCGGCCCCCCAAATTGAACGAGTTGGGGACAGGGAAACTATCCCCACTACTTTGGTCAGATAATTAAGCTGGGTCTCGGTATGTTCCCATTTCGGGGTAAACTTATGCTCATATGGGTCTGGTGTACCAACCCCGAGTAAGCCCACCATTAGCCCACCTGGGACCCTCTTACCCCACTATAGCTATTTTGGGCTAGGATCGGCATGTTAGTGCGTTAAAGCCACACCTACGCCACGATAGAACCCCCGCGTTATCACACCAAAACGAGTTATTTGTCGTTTAGCTCAGGGTGTTTTACGGGTCCCAACAGAACACAGTGATTTTTGGAATGTAGCGCAAGCCTTGCAGGTCCCAGGTTCGCCAGACGCTTCGGTTCCAATGTCCCCAACGATCTGGGCTTGGATTCAACAGCCGAAAAAGAAGAAAGACTCCCTCACGTCCCCGACCTCGTTCCTATTTCTCCGTTCTTTCCATTCACTCCATTCTCCATCCTACTCTTCTTCTCATCTTGTCCCTCGTCTTTCTCCACCTCATTGTCCTGGCATACATCTTGTGAGTTCTGGCATTCAAAACTCCATCCACTTCCTCCCCGCACCTTCACTGACTTCGAGGCTACAACCAGTCTACTATCTAATTCTTCACACCACCCCATCATTCCCACCTCCTTCTTTGACTTGTTAAAACGAATTGAATTGGTGAGTTGAGAATCTCCCCGCTTCCCCGTTTGAGTTTCTGTGAGGTGTTCGGACTTGCATGAGATCAAGTGAGGGGTTCAGCTGGAAAGCTTGAGGGGAGTAAAGACGAGTGGGTGTGTATGCAGTGCATTGTTGTACTTGCATTGGGTGTTCTTTCTGGTTGCAATTGCACGCTAGATTGGCCTTGCTATCACCCCACCTCACTCCTATTTCTCACCATTGCTTGCTCTTTTTCAATTCCATCCATTATCTACACCAAGCTTCAATTCATCTCTTCAACCTTCGCCATTGATTTTGCTGACCCTTCCAATCTTAAGATTTGAGCTTTCGAGATGTCTGCTGCAACTCTCGCTCCCCCCTCTGCTGATGGCAAGCAAGCCTCTGCAAATGACAACATTCGCCGTTTCACTGCTCCCTCCCGTCCGAGATCTCCCCAAGCAGAGCACACTCTTTTCCACCCCAAAACTCGTGCTTTTGTCTATGGACTGCAGCCCAAAGCATGCCAGGGAATGCTGGATTTCGACTTTATTTGTAGGTGTCTTAACCTTGATGAATAGCTTAGAGCACGTGATGAATTGAGATGGGTTTCTATCATTTTCAGCGCTGCACTTGATGGAGAAGTATTCTTACACTATTTCACTCGATAGGCAAGCGTTCAACCCCCAGTGTAGCTGGTATCATCTACCCATTCGGAGGACAATTCGTTTCAAAGATGTACTGGGGAACTTCTGAGACCCTTCTCCCCGTCTACCAGGCCGTGGACAAGGCTTGTGAAAAGCACCCCGAAGTTGACACTGTAAGGTTTCTCGGAGAAGCAGCAACCATCGTGCATATTGTCTAACATGAGTAGGTCGTGAACTTTGCCAGTTCTCGTTCAGTGTACAGCTCCACCTTGGAATTGATGGCGAAGCCACAAATCAAGACCATTGCCATCATTGCTGAGGGTGTTCCGGAGAGACGTGCCCGTGAGATTATGCACATTGCCCAGCAAAAGGGGATTACTATCATTGGACCTGCAACCGTTGGTGGTATCAAGCCCGGTTCATTCAAGATTGGTAACACTGGTGGTATGATGGACAACATTGTCGCATCTAAACTCTACCGCCCCGGATCTGTCGGATACGTCTCCAAGTCTGGTGGTATGTCCAACGAGCTGAACAACATCATTTCTACAACCACAAATGGTGTCTACGAGGGTGTTGCCATTGGAGGAGATAGATACCCAGGAACCACTTTCATTGAGCACTTGTTGAGGTAAGCTCTTATTGTTGACCCGAACCCGGCGATAGATTCGTTACTAACAAGCAGTTTAGATACGAAGCTGATCCTCAGTGCAAAATCCTTGTTCTTCTTGGTGAGGTCGGAGGTGTAGAAGAGTACCGTGTTATCGAGGCTGTCAAGTCCGGTGCCATCACCAAGCCCATCGTTGCCTGGGCCATCGGAACCTGTGCCTCTATGTTCAAGACTGAGGTGCAGTTCGGACATGCCGGTTCATTTGCCAACTCACAGCTCGAGACCGCTGCCACCAAGAACGCTGCTATGCGTGAAGCTGGTTTCCATGTTCCCGAGACTTTCGAAGACTTCCCCCAGACTTTGAGGGAGGTTTACGAGGGACTCGTCGCTGCTGGAACCATTGTTCCCCAGCCAGAGCCTATCCCACCAAAGATCCCCATCGATTACTCATGGGCCCAGGAGCTCGGTCTTGTCCGTAAGCCAGCTGCCTTCATCTCCACCATCTCCGACGATCGTGGTCAGGAGCTCTTGTACGCTGGTATGCCCATCTCAGATGTCTTCAGGGAAGAGATTGGTATCGGAGGTGTTATGTCTCTGCTGTGGTTCCGTCGCCGCCTGCCAGACTATGCTTCTAAGTTCTTGGAGATGGTTTTGATGTTGACAGCTGATCACGGTCCCGCCGTCTCTGGTGCCATGAACACCATCATTACTACCAGAGCTGGAAAGGACTTGATCTCCGCTTTGGTCTCTGGTCTGTTGACCATCGGAGAGAGGTTCGGTGGTGCTCTTGATGGAGCTGCCGCTGAATTCACCGGCGCTTTCGACAAGGGCTTGAGCCCCAGAGACTTTGTTGACACCATGAGGAAGCAGAACAAGCTCAGTAAGTCTTTATGTCTAGTATTTGATTGCGCATGATGCTAATCGGTTTGAAGTTCCTGGTATCGGTCACAAGGTCAAGTCCCGAAACAACCCCGATCTCCGTGTGGAGCTTGTTAAGGAGTTCGTCTTGAAGCGATTCCCATCACACAAGCTCTTGGACTACGCCCTTGCCGTCGAGTCCGTCACCACAAGCAAGAAGGACAACTTGATTCTCAACGTCGACGGATGTGTTGCTGTCTGCTTCGTTGATCTCATCCGAAACTGCGGTGCCTTCTCCGCAGAGGAGGCCGAAGACTACCTGAGAGTGAGTCACCCAGTTTATTATACATGTCCGCTGGAAGCCTACTAACACGATTACAGATGGGTGTGCTCAACGGTCTCTTTGTCCTCGGACGTTCCATTGGTTTGATTGCCCATTACCTTGACCAGAAGAGACTCAGGACCGGTCTCTACAGGCATCCTTGGGATGACATTACCTACCTGCTCCCCAACCTCCAAGGAAACGCCCCCGGAAACGAGGGCAGAGTGGAGGTTACTCTTTAAATTAAAACTGAAGAAAAAAAGGAACAAAAAAAATATGGATATACTCAGTAGACAAAAGTGGGAATGTCGAAACGTCTTTTTTCTTTTCATGGTTCTAGAGCGTTGAAGGGCAGGAATGGAATTATGTTATTGTGAACACATCATTTGTGAATTTTTATACCTGATACACCACCACAGCGTGGATCGTGGTTTTTGTTTGAATATTCTGTGACTCCCGAAGAAGAATGAATGAATGCCGCGACATTGAGCCATTGAGCCATTGTGCTATGTATTTACTGTCCATGTATCACGCGCCAGGTCTCATCGAGGAATCGACGATTCTTGTTCAGCTAGATAAAACAGGTATGCTGACTGCGTGCTGATGTTCACCGCTGTGTGGGGGGGTTCTCTCTGAGTGTTTTATGTGAGAGCTCCTGAGACCATTGGCAAGACACCCGAATGGCCTGCTGCTGCTCTTCCCAAGGCCAATCGCGAGTCTTTGATGCCTGTTATGCGGTTCCAAACCGCGTTGCAGAGCACCAGTCGCAGTTGGCTGGCTGTACGTATCTGTCTGTACCTACTGTAGTCATCTGTCGTCAAGCGTAGATCGCCCTGTTACACGATCTGAGCCCGTGCGCGAGGAGTGAGTGGTGAGTCGCAACAGCAGCCAACAACAGCTGCGAGTCATCCTGCAGTCCACCCCACCATACATAACGATCATATGTCACGCAGAGCAGCACCCCGCACCACATACCACAACCTCGCAAAGACAATCATCAATCGCACCGCAACATTCACAACAACGCCAGCACAACCAATGTCTGAAACCCCACCAGCACAAGTCCCCACCCGCGGTCGCGGCGGCGGTCGTGGAGGTCGTGGAGGTCGTGGTGGTAGCCGTGGAGGTCGTGGAGGAGGCGGCGGCGGTAACAACGAGGACCGCACAATCTCAAAGGCGCTCAGTCTCACGCTCCGCCACGCCGCCGAGAAGGAGGGGCTGAAGCTGCGCAGTGATGGGTATGCTAATGCTGCGGAACTGGTGAGTTGCGAGCGCTCTTCTCGGAGTATATTGAGATATGGGGAAAGGGCGGAAAGGACCGAACTGAACTGACCGGTGTGGGTGTGTGGTATAGCTCGCGATGCCGAAATTCAAGAAGCTAGGCCTGACGTTCCCGCGGCTGCAGCAGATCGTAAAGGACAATGACAAGCAGCGATACACGCTCGTTCTCGCATCGACCGTGCAGCCCGCCGACGGCCCTGTCATTCCCGCCGCCGCCGGAGGCGAAGCTGCCGCAGAGATAGTTGCAGGGCTCAGCATCACCGAAGCCCCATCCTCCGCCGCAGCAACCGAAGCCGCCGCCTCCGACCCCTCCCAATACCTGATCCGCGCCAACCAGGGCCACTCCATCAGTCTCTCCTCCGAGTCGCTACAGCTCACGCCGCTCGACCCGGCCACGCTGTCGGTGGCCGTGCACGGCACCTTCTACGGCGCGTACGAGGCGATCGTGGCCTCTGGCCACCTCTCGCGCATGGGGCGCAACCACATCCACCTTGCTGCGGCCGAGACGGGGGTGATCTCGGGGATGCGTGCGGATGCGGAGGTGCTCGTGTTTGTTGATGTTGTGCGCGCGGTGGAGGAGGGGGGGCTTTCGTTTTGGATGAGTGCTAATGGGGTGGTGTTGACGGAGGGGGATGAGAAGGGGTGCCTGGATTTGAGGTTTGCGGTGAAGATTGTGGATCGGAGGGGGGAGTTGGGGGTGTTGTGGGAGGGGGGGAGGGTGGTGAGGGAGTTGCCGGAGGAGTTGAGGGGGCGGCCGGCGCCGAGGGGGAAGGGGAGGGGTGGGAGGGGTGGGAGGGGCGGTAGGGGGAGAGGTGGGAGGGGAGGGGACGGGGTGGTGGTGCAGCGGAGGTGGTGGAGGAGAGGGTTGATGCGGGGGATCCATAGGCGTGGGAGGTAGTTAGGCTGGCGCGGGATGGAGGCGCTTCGTAAGTTAAATCATATGCGAGCACTCGGAAAAAGCTGTTGATTTGGTTTTTCTTTCTTTCTTGTTCTTGTCGGTGCTTGCGGAGTTGCTCGGGTGTATAGTTTAGAAACTGTGAATAGACATCGTTGACCCTATTGGGGTAAGCATTGCTACTTAGCTAGTAGCTTCGAAAATTGAACATGCATATTGTTGTTCTGCCATTGGTTTTCTCTCTCTTTTTTTCTTTCTGTCCTGGCTCTAAATACCATCCTCTGTTGACTGAGATAGTCAATACTGTATGCTGCTATCCAGATTGCCGTTCGCCTAACTGTGACAATATTTAATTCACTGCCCACAAGTAAAAGGCACTTCTTGTCCAGACCCCGGAGCGCTAGATATATCGAAACGAGCGACACATCAAATGGATATATCCCCAATACCTCCTGGCTGTCGTTCAATCCTACGCTGTCTAAGTACTGCGATGATAGTGCTTGTTTGTTGCATGCTGCTTAATCCAACTACCACTGCAAGCCCGCAATACCTGTTACCCACACTGCGCTGCGCGTATCATGAAAAGTCACTCGCCTGCCGAACAGGCTACATGTAACTACATGTACTCTCACGTCCCGTGCCATATTAGCCAATAATAGCCCGGGCGGTCGTGAGTGCTGCATAAGGAAGCTATATGCGCACCTATATCTCGTCCGCAGCTTTACTTTGTATAGCTTATTTTAAACTTTGTTTTTTGAGCTTGAAGAACTTGTTCTCGTTCTTGAATGCTTTGCTTCTTTAGGATCCGGACGTGGGCGCCCAATATTCTCGGTATGCGGGATGTAGTACACATAGTATCATACCATCCACAGAAGACCATTTATCCGGCGCTCTCGCATTCGTACTCGTCAATCCGTATATATGTCGTTTCAAGCTTAACCATGTCGACATCATCTCCCGTACATAGACGCACGGGCCAAGTGCCGAAGCGGTGGTAAAGCAAAAACAAAAACAAAAAAAACCCTTGGCTGCGGTACGTAGAAAAAGAGTTTGGTGGGAGGAGAGGAAGGGGCAGGTATGGGGATCTAGATTATGTAGAGTTTGGGGTTCTCGAATCTCAAACCCAATATTGTTCCCAAAGGATTCTAGCGCGCCCACCTAGCTCCCCCGGCAGCTTTGCGGCCGAACATAAGGCCATTTTGACGATCTTCTGGAAGGGAAGGGTCCGAAGGGTGGGAAAAAAAGGAAACATCTCAGGGACAGCCGCGCCAAGTGTTGTTGTCTGACCAATCGCAGGTCGTTTCCCTGGCTGCACTTTATTTACTTATCCGAACTGGGGCACGCGCCAGCCAGGGGGGGAAGGACCGGGGATACATATAAGTTCAACAATCGACCCCAGATAACGTATTCTGTCCACTTCACCACCACAACAACAACACTTTCTTTCTCTCGTCTCACGTCAATTGGGTGTCTCCTCGTCTCTATCACATCGTAACAGCAACAGTAGAAGCAACAATGGCGATAGACGGACTCGAGTACGAGTTCGGTGGCCCGTAAGAAAACACAACCCCCCTTAAGCTATTTAGAGCAATTGAGCTTCTTTTTCTAACACCCGGATAGTATAGGAGCTTTGGGAGTAACGCTCGGCACACCGTTCGTCACATATGCGCTCTACTTTACGTGCAATGAGGGCGGATGCCCCAACCCTGCCCTCCTTTCGGACCCCATCGGCCACTTCAAGACTGAGGTATGGCCGGGCTGGTCGGGGCTTTTCTCGTCCAAAGTGACAGCCTATTACGCTGCATACTGGTTCGGACTTGTCGCGCTGCAGTACATTCTTCCCGGGAAAACCGTTTTGGGGACTGTGTTGAAGGACGGCACGAGGCTGAAGTACAAACTCAATGGTAATTTTGCATGACCTCCGGACTCAATTGGAGGCCTTTAGCCAACTGACTGTCCGTAGGTTTCGAATCCTTCATGCTGGTACTCAGCTACTGCGGCGCCATGACGTACATGGAAGGCTTCGACTGGTGGCTATGGGCCTTCATCTGGGACAACTTCCTCCAACTCATCACCGGCACGCTCCTCTTCGCGATCGCCATGTCCGTCTACTGCTACACCTCCTCCTTCTTCACCGGCGAGTCCCTCGCCACAAACACCGGCAACATCCTCTACGACTGGTTCATCGGGCGGCCCCTCAACCCACGCATCCACAACCTCGACCTCAAGTCCTTCTGCGAGCTCCGCCCCGGAATGATCATGTGGCCAATCCTCAACTTTGCCTTCCTCGCCCACCAATACAACACCCACGGGTACGTGTCCGACTCGATGCTCCTGGTCAACGTCTTCCAGTTCTGGTACGTCTTTGACGCGCTCTATAACGAGCCCGCGGTCCTGACAACAATGGACATCACCACCGATGGATTCGGGTTCATGCTGGCGTTCGGCGACCTGTGCTGGGTGCCACTTACGTACTGTCTGCAGGCCAGGTATCTCGCCAGCCACCCTGTCGACCTAGGGTACTTGGGTCTTGCCGGAGTCCTGGCAGTACAGGGTGCAGGATACTACATCTTCCGCAACGCAAACAGCACGAAGAACAGCTTCCGTACGAACCCGAAAGACCCTAAGGTGAAGGATATCAAGTACATCGAGACAAAGTCGGGCTCGAAGTTGATGGTTTCCGGGTGGTGGGGCGTCTCGAGACACATCAACTACCTTGGGGACTGGATCATGGCGTGGGCGTGGTGTCTGCCGACGGGATTCGGAACCCCGATCACGTACTTTTATGTAGCGTATTTTGCGGTGCTACTGCTGCATAGGGAGAGGAGGGATGAAGCCAAGTGTAAGGCGAAGTATGGCGAGGACTGGAAGAGGTATACGGAGATTGTGAAGTATAGGATTATTCCTGGGATCTATTAGGTTAGATCGAGGATGTTCTTGTAAGGGGAGGAGGAGGAGGAGGGAGAGAGTAGAGATGTAGAGCCTACGATGTGTATAATAGATAGCGAGAGCGTTATTGAACAAATATTTACTGGGCTAAAAGCTGAATTCTTGGAGCTGTAAATGATAATATGGTGTGAGGAAAAAGCTTGCCGATGCTGTCATCCTGTGGCCGGAGGATGAATGATCTTAATATTAGCAGTTGCCTTATCAACCAGGGCGAACTCATACAATCACCCTGTAGTCATCATTTCCCCCTTCGCCGGATACACAGGGGAAGCAAGCAGTCAACCCAAAAACGAGTCTATATTACCTATAGCTATGTTGGTGATGTATGTTTCAGATCTATAGAAGAATATACGAGGTTCTAGGCAAGGTTAATGGGGCGAAGTGTTCATATCCTGCGACTACGTATACATACCGATGCCGCAAAAACTATGCACAGTCTGGCCGGGCGATTCACCTCCTGGCAATCTCATCGTCTCATGAACTCGGCAGCATTGGGGACAAACGGAATATATCCCCCCGTCCACGGAGCTTTTATTTTTGAGTATTAATTTACTTAAGACTCAACTAACTCGGGCCACCAGACTCACATTCCACCTGTGCTAGAAGGTGGAGGTTGCAATTGGCTCTCCAGATGTGGGTGAGTTTCAATTGGTCATTCACAAACTGTAAGAGCTCTCCGGTTGCATCCAATTAATTAGGCAACGAACAAACTGCAATTAAAGAGCTTAGTGAGACACCGGCAAGTTAGTCTGGCTATGAATGTGGTTTGAGTTGGTTAACTTTTAAGACTAGCTCACAACTATTTGGAACCCATGGCTACGTTACAGCCGTTTTCATAAAATCAGGCCCGGCTGAGCGTCGTAGTTCGGGGTGTGAATCTTCAGTCGATTACCTCTCTAAGTAGTTCCCATAGCTTCAAAAGGCAATCCTGCAGAAAGTTTAAAATTCAGACACCCAAACCGGTACCCCAAACTATCTAATGAAGTAATCATGCTTAGCTTTGCAAGATTCGCACTATGGGTTACGACCCTCAATCGGGCATAATGAAAACGAGTGTAATATGTGGCTACATGTAGAGAATAATAGGCCGAGTGATATATCATGACTCTGTACTAGTATGCTAGCGCTACATACAGTCATATTTATCCCTTAAGGCTATTAATACATATAGATGATTTTTTTTGACTTTAACGGGTATGAAAGTGCGATAACGTACGTACGTACACCCCCTTCCACGGGTTCGAAGGCTGATACTGCCCCTCTTTATAAGTTAAAGAAAGCGTAGTTGAAAAAGCCCTTGTTTGTGGTTTGACACCATTTTTGATCATGATGTTCTACCAGCTACTTGTACGTGTGTTGTTCGAATTTATATGTTTCATGAATTGGTCAATTTTTCTTGTCGTCCGAGCCGGGAACAATCTCCCGAGGTAGCCTGTCAGTACACCATATATAGCTATAAGCTTATCGTGAAATAACATATATATGTATTGGAATCTCACCAGCCCAAGATCAATCCGACTATTAACTATAATTGAAAATTTCCCATTTCGCAACTGCAGCTGTGGTTCTTGCTTTATAATGTTTCATATCTATTCCTTTTATCGACTTGCAGATGATTCCACGGACTTCGGACAAAAGTTGAGGGAGAGGGTCACATAGATCCTTGTGACTAGACAACGCTTTGGACGGGGGGATTTCGATCTGGAGACTTTCGATTCCATTGAACATCTTTTTGATGCTCCCCACATTAGAATGATCAAAATTTTCAGCGACACCGAGAAATAAAAACCCTTTCATCAGGCTACCAAGAACCAGTGCATCACAACTTGAGTCATATGGTGTCCTCTTGCACATGCCCTTTGATCCCCAAGGGATTAAGTACCGTTCCCGGCAAGAAAACAGAGCTTGAGTCATAGATTTGATGCACCCTATTCTCTTTTCCTTTATCGCACCTAGTTAAAGTGATTTTTATATATGGTTAGGCTTATAAAATCTTGATATTTCTAAGATATGCATGAAGAGATAACTTACTCACGATAGGCTCTGGTAACATAAGCATATCTAAACAAATGCCCACCCCAATCGCTAAACCCCCAGGAACAGAGGTCGAGCCATATCCCTCGAATATGAATTTCCATGAAAGATCCTTGAACACATCATATACATCAAAGACCCAGGCTATAAATAACCACCGCTCATATCCTTCGGTATCGGCACGACGTTTCCATGGTGCTACCCATATGTCTACCCACGGCGATACCCCAGCGGCACAGTCATATTTATCACATACGACTGCTAAGCTGTGTAATTTCTCGAAACTTAGCTTCCTGGGTACACGGTCATTTTGGCAGTGCAGAGCTAGGAGAATAATGCCCATAGCCTCTGGGCAATCCTCATCAAGGGTAAGATGATAGAGCAGAGAGCTACCGGCTTTTTCCCGAAGTTCACAGGCTTCTTTGAAGGACGAAGAGGTACCAAGCATCACGCGGAATACCGGCGACGCAACGCAGAGCACTTGAGAGGCAACTCTAAGAGTTGCAAGGCCCATCGAGGATGTCATCTCGATTATGATATCGCCCTGAGAAGCGATCTCTATAGCCGCGGTGCGTTGCAGGTTTTTCGGGTTTTTCGGGTTTTTCGGGTTTTTCGGGGGTTTCGGGGGTTTCGGGGTTTCGGTGTAATTTCAGCCACTTAGTTAATTTCAAGGGTTAGCCACCACTAACATTGATGAGGTACATTTTGGAACACAGTAAACTTACTTGTATCTTTGTAGGGTAATATTTGTGGAGAAGATTGCAGAGGATAGTGGGTTACAGCCCATATGCATGAGCGGGGTAAAGCTCTAGAGTATATTGGATGCCTTAATGCGTAGAGTAGGTAAAGTATTAGTCACGTGGCCGTAACCACAAGCAAGTATTGAAATACATTCTGTCATGTATCATCACTCGGCGTTCAGGCCCGACAGAAAATTAGGCATCCGAACAATATTGTGCAGCCTTAATCAATTGGTATGCCTTGATCGTTGATTTTTGGTTGCCTAAGAAAGAACCAGATAATCCAGCGATTAGCTCAAGGCATCCAAAGGGCCTAGCTGGGGTTTAAACCAATGCCGACGTGGTATTTGGACTTACATGTTAGTAACATTCGAGTCGTGGTGGGTTACATGTACCACAGAGCGGCCTAGTTTCTAGTCGCCGCACTTCTCCACATGACATCTTCTTAGTGGAATACAGATTCTATAGATTAGACGATTATAAGGCATCCCATAATTTCGTTACATTGAAGCTTCTATCTTATTCCAGACACTTCGCTTCTTTAAACTGAGGAGAAATTGTTCGTTATAAGAGAGCTCGCTTGCCTGGCCAACTTATATAGAATATGTCCCGAGCTCTAGTTAGCTCTCCAAATACATTTTCTTGAGGCTCTTCGTTACACCCACTGGCCCTTTCCCTTGGCAAGGTTGTGGAACCTCAAGATCCTGCAAGCCTCCCGCTGTGCGTCAACCCTTACAACAGCAAAAACCCCACTACACATTATTACTTCCATCAATCCTACACCCCCTCTAGTTCCCATTAATTTCCCTCAACATGGCGTTCTACCTTGAGGTAACGAAGCTACGCCGATGGCCTTACAACAAGCTCACCAAGGCTGATCAACATGTTGTTGCTCGGTTTTTTGATTCTGAGCCGTTTTTTGCCCATGGTTGGGATATGTAAGTTTCCCACCTTCTAGGTCTTTTTTTATATAGGTTTTTCTCACACTCATGCAGTTATCATTATGAGACAAGTTCCAACAATTTCTATTTGATACATTTCAACCAGATATTGGAATTCTTTGCTCAAATAACCGCCGAAACGGGCCTTACTGCTTTCAAAAACGTCTCACCGAGCAATGTTGCCTTTCGCATCGACCCTGACAGCGGAGGCGAGCCTTACTTTGCGGGGACAATTGGAAGCAAAGAAGACTTTGACCGGCTTAAGGGATTGACTCTTTTTGATAACGGCGGTTTCGGGAGTGGGGCAGGCTCCCAGGATAAAATAGACAAAAAGCTTAGGCAGAGGGAAAAGAGCAGAAAAAACTTTGATGGATGGAGAGCGCAAGTCAAATCCGCCATTAGCTATCTTGGATTTGACGAAGATGCTGTTGAAGATAATATCAAACCAGTGTTTGTGAGTGTTGATGTCGAATCTCATGAATACAACCACAATGCCATCACGGAGGTTGGTATTTCGATTCTTGATACTGCTCGACTCCCGCCCAGAGATACTCAGTACACTATCAATACCAACGATGACAAAAACCACCCAAATTACCTACCACCAAAAAACAACATCCCTACTATTCCTAGCTCTAGGGCTGAGGAGATTCTAGGGCTTGTTGAATCTCACCACTTCCGGATAAGCGAGAACCGACATCTCCGTAATGGTAATTTTGTCAACGACAATGCAGACAACTTCAATTTCGGGACTTCTGAATATATGCCCCTTAAAGAGGCTCCTGCCGTGATTGCGAATTGTTTTCGTCATAAAGATGAGCACGAAAAAAGGAGGAGGATTGTTCTTGTTGGGCATGACACCAAGACAGATATTGACTACCTGAGAAAGCTTGGATATAAGGTTACAAATATCGCTGATTTGGAAATCATGGATACGGTTTCTATGTGGAAAGCTGTTAAGTGGGAAAATCAGGGTAGAGGTTTGAGTAGTCTCCTGATGGAGTTGGGACTGGAGGCATGGAATTTACATAACGCCGGTATGTTATTCACGTATTTTTCGCTCTTCCGGTTTAATATATACAATACTCTTGATCATTTTTCTAACAATCTGTTTATGCATTTTAGGCAATGATGCGGCGTATACCCTCCAGGCTGTCATAAAAATAGCTGAAAAGGGCCTTACAGACATTCAGCCGGAAGAGCCCGATTCCCAAACAACTTCTACCCACAAAACTCGTATCATCGTTCGGGCTGAGGACATCCAGATAGGGGTCGAGGATAACGACGAGGAGGCAAGCACACGTCCTATAGGCTGGAAAGTCGCTAAGGAAGGAAAGGGGAAAGCCGCACTGAAACCAGCTCCACCTTCGGTCAAGATCCCAGCTTACCATAATAATAGTGAGAGCGAGGCAAGCCCATTGAGTGTAGATGGCGACGGGTGGTGAACATTTCTTTCCTTTTTTCATTGCAATTCTTATTCATTTTGGCTGTCAGTCTGTCTCACCTCTCAATTTAAAGCCGTTCCCTCATTTAAAGGTCACGTTTAGTAATTTGTAAGGACATAGAGTTAAATAAAAGTAACATAGCTGGCGGCAGAGATAATCTTTTAATTGGGCAAGTCCACGTTAAACTTATATCATAATCTACCCTAATAGGTAATGATATCAAGCGAGTGATAGTTGGTGACTCATAATTAGATCAAAACGTTAATATTATCCTCACCTACTACTCACTCGATTGCTTGCACCTACGATCTCAGAAGAAGAAAAGGCCAATATAACATTTCCCAATATTGCTATATCTTAGACAGGGAGTACGGCCGTTGTAACACAATCTCGGTAGTAAACTTCAATCTTTGATAATCGGGTTTTGATGGTATAGTTTTTGATATTGTGATATTGGGGATTCTAGCAGAATTTTCAAAATAACTTCTGGTGATGATTGTCTCGATACCATAACAAACGCACTGCGACCGAACGGGCCCCTAGGCTTGTGCGATATACAATAACAGTCAATTATATCTTACGACGCCTACCTCACCAGCCCTGTCAATCGTGGGGGGCTATCGTGGAGCTTTTGGTATAGTATAAGACCGAGCTAGTGAAAGAAATTTCATAAAATAACCGCTTTTCTTGAACAGATGTCTGGAGTTGGTTATTGCGCGATAGGATCTAGATCTAGCACTGAACGGTCTGAACCTTACGACCAAGGCTTACCACTGATGTTAGATATATTAAGATGCGAGAAATGGCTAAATAACAAACTAAAGTTCGCACTACCATCGGTAAACTCGGCTATAGCCTTATCATAATAAGTGTATGTAACTTGTTTCTCTCACATTCAGTATTTATCATAGGTAATGAAGGTTTGATGTTGGTTGGCACAAATCATTACGTTTTAGCTAGGTTGCGGTCAGGCTAGAAGGTCGCTAGCCCATTAAACAGCATATTGTTATCGAAGCTGTTAATGAATACGCATTAACCATAGAGAATGATATACACTATTATATATGTGTGTGCACCTCCCAACTACAATGCTGACATGTTAAGTGCAATAGTTACATGTTACACCATAACTACATGTAGCTTACCTTGTTGGGATTCAATAGCGTTGGGGACTAGAGTAATGAGCTTTATCAATTGTAAATAAAGACCACAATTCGACATCCCTCCCGTATGCATGAATTTCGAATGCATGGCGCATCATGCTTCTAAAACTCTTGTTACATATTTGAAGCTAAGCCTTAATGGTGATTAAAGAAGGCATCAGGGACCCGAAGATGCAAGTATGAAACTCCTTAGCTAAGTTGTAGATGAGCTAGTGTAGAGCGAATCAGAAGCTGCTGCCCACAACGGGGCCGTTTAAATCGTGAGTGTATGTATGTACCGGTACCGGATTTATGGAACTACACACATGAACGGAACTCGGGGATTCCCCCGCATTAGGTACGTAGAGTAGGTTAAAGAGCCAAAATCCTAAATGTGGCTACGATTCCAATTATAGTTCATGTTTTCCTCCTTGTCGGTACTCTGGAGTAGTGAATGTGATCGTCGTTCTAGCGCCTCTTTAGGTTGGCATATTCCACCATGTCTTAACCAATGGCCTTTGCACGTTTCCGACGTTACGCGAAACAGGGATATCATTGACCCATGAGAACTGGTAATCATAAATTTGCGGGAAAAAGTGCGTATCCAGAGAGGTGTGAGCACTCCACTTCACTGCGTGTATGCGCAACGGAGTCTTACGTAACCCTCGCACTTTCCAATACTGGGCAATTTGGAAACAGCTTCCACCATAGCCAAGCAGACACGCTCGTGCACCTTATGCACGTGGGTTACAAAGTACTCGGGTACAAGGGTTAGAACCAGAACATGCCATGAGGTTATTTGTATGGCAGAGCAGCGCCACTCCATACAAATAATCCAAGTCTCTTCACTTGCATGTTCTGGTTCTTATTGCTACACCCGAATAGACGTTCGTGAGGATCTTAAGTTTGAGCTTCCTTGTCCAGATGCCTATCATGTAAGCCGCCTTGCGGGTCCGGGGGGGGGAAACATGGTATGTAAACACCAAAAGACCAACCACGTGTTGGATGCAGATCGCACCAAAATTAGCTGGATGATGATGAACGCAACAAAACGTTTTTAATAATACCTATCGTTTCCATTTCTTCCATCATATCCTAGAGGTAAGAAGATGGAACTGTAAACTTAGTTATTCGGGGGTGAATATACACATAAGCACGGATTTCCCATTCTTGAATAGGGCTTAAACTATCCCTTCGTCTGGCAAAAGATGCTTCCCACCCCCGAAAAAGCAAATTTTATATGTGGCTTTACTAACAGATCCTGTTATCTCTCTTATCAAATAATAGATCTCCCATACAAATCTAGTTCCTGTGTTATATAGTAGGCAGCATTGCCAAACGAAGGGATACCAACCTAGTTTGGGCTGAGGATAAACCAATTATTGACAAACGTTCAACATGCAAATGCTCAACTATAAAAGCGTATGCATGTCGGTTTAGGTCATGGGGTAACCTTACCTTAAGCCTGAGCTCCGGCAATGGATCTGAAAACGCACCAAAGCAAGAAAACTTGATGTGTTGTTACAAGCCGAGCAGTGACAAGCCCAAAGAAGGACAAAGTGTTACAAGCTCAGAACAGTTAAAATCGACGAGTTTTGGCAGAGTTACTCTAGAGTATGCAGAGTATGCAGAGTACCTACACTTCTTCCATCACGCCCAATTGATCACGCAAATACATATTGGATTTTAGCAAGAGGGCTCGAAAATCACTACCGATTCTCAAAGGTGCGCTTGCGTAGCATTGTTTAGTCTGTATGTACTCTAGGTTCTATTGCGGACTTAACTGGTCCTACTCTGGAGCAACTATCCATTGGAAGCAACTACCTACTGCATAATGGTCCATGCACGCAAGTGTTGGAGAGCATAACTCCCCATGCATCGAAACTGAGGTGGAATCCTGTTCTCAGCATGCATTTCACAATTGGTTTCAGCACAATTGGCCCCTGAATATAGGTACATTCGGTGCAAGCTTGAAATTAAGCGGAAGTTCTTGGCAGTATATGTGTTCAAATTTATGCACATTTTTGCTTACGCTAAACTCACGAGATTATGGATAACATTTTAGCATATATATATGTGATGAACAATGGCGATTATATGTAGCTAGCACAAAGGTCACAAAGCCATGGTGATGGTTAAATGTGTTTGGACCTTTTTTCGAGACAGCCCGTCGTCGACGTGGCCACCATTGTCTGCTTGAGCGGTGGTGGTTGTCACGAGAAGCTGCAGGTACAGCCGACAGCGTGACTATCTTTTCGCCCAACCAGGAAACTTCAACGCCACCGGTCCTCCCAATCATTGTCCTAGTGGTCGTACTACATTTCACGCTGAATATACCAGGAAACTCGCCCTCTGCTGTGTGCATGTTCTGTACCAGCTGAACCATGCCCCAGTTTATGTGGGTTAGATCTTGACTGGAGTGTCTTCCCGAGTAGAAGCTGATAGAGCATCCTGCAAAAGCCTCATGTTTCTATCAAATGGTGGTTTAGCAATTACATGAAATTGTATCGATCATTATCCAATATCAGGCTCACACATGATCCCTGGAGTGATATCAGATGCATTAGCATCTTCATGGATTTGACCCGTGCTACCATCACGAACCCTAATCTAAAGAGCCCAAGTTTGGTATCTTCGTTCGATAAACATTCTGTTTATCTGTGAAGCCCTTTCATGAATCCGCCAATGTGATTGTGACTGCTTATTGTACCCATTAACGAAGTGCAATGCGGAAGATTCCGGACTAGCAACTGTGTGGTCACCCGGTCGTACCCGGTAACTTCAGGGTTCAACGACATAGTTCAAACATCTCAAACATCCGTTTACTCCATGTGTGAAATGATCAGCAGCTCTCTTGACTTCCGGCCATCCACTACCCCACGTACTTATCAGATATCATCATCTCATTATTCCGATGTGACTGCCCGCGATCACTGAGATCATGATTCTATGATACACTCCCACTAGAAGCGGGTATTTGCTTGATCCTAACCAAAACACCAGCATCCGCGGTAACTAAAAAGTCCCATGAAGAACCCCTCCTCCCTCCCCACATTCCGCCCCCCGCACGAAAATAGTTGGAACAACTGTAGTTCGACTTTATCCGCTACCCGTAATCATCACCGTAACATCGTACGTCTTGGCCCCCGTTCAACTAAGAAACAGAAGACATGAATAGTGAAGAGAGATTCAAAAACATCAAAAGAGATAGGAAATAAAAAGAAATGAAAAAACTCAAGCCCGAATGGCATCCAACAAGATCAGTCAAGATCTGCTGAAATCCACCTACCCCCTTCTGTCCCTCCTCATTTGAGACAGAAAAGCGCATTAAAAAAAACCTTCCCGCAGAAGATCAAGTTAATGACTCCACAGTACCTTTTTTTTGTGTTCTTTTGTTCTTTTGTTCTTTTTTTTCTTCCCTTTTCTCATGTTGCCTTTGCCAGCTCTTATCGTAAACCCCAACCACCCCCCCCCCCCCCCAATCCCCTCGACATAGCAATACAACATGATTAAAAACAATAAGAGGCGCCATAAACCGAAGATGACAAGTTGGGAGAACCTAATCACCCAACTTTGCAAACGGCATTCTGCTAACGAACGCCTGTGAGCCATATCATAGAAATATCTTCAGACCTTCAAGAAAATTAAACAGAATAACCAAAGCCGTCCATGCCGGAAATAAAAGACTAAAAGTGGATAATTATGAAAGATAAAAGAAGAGAGGAGATAAAAATGAAATAATAAAAACGCCCAAACAAACCCGCCAGAACCGCCTACCAATGTCTAAAAAAGTGAAATCCCAAAGATGCAACGCCCTGATAACAATCAAATAGAACTGAGCTTAACCAACGCCTCAACTGCTTCTCTCTCCTCTCGTGCCCTCAACGCCGCCGTGGAGTCGTCGTATCCGTTCGAACTGTAGAAGCTAGAAGCTTTTGCCTGCCATGTTGGCATAGATCCGTAACCAACAGCTGGACTCCCAGCAAACCCGCTCAAAAAACCATCTGATGTTACGGGGGAACCAGCTTGTCGTCGAAGCATCGCAGCACCCATTTGAGCCCAATCCTCTTCATCAGTCATATCCGCATCCTCTTCCTCTGATGCTTGTTCGTCAAGGGACATCATATCAGCTTCGTTCTCATCTTGCTCCATGGTATCAGGATCTTCTGAAAGATCTGATGCCTCCTCTTCTGACTGCACGAATATTCCAGATTCGCCGGTGTAGCTGGTGGAATGGTTCATAGATGTGGCCGATAGAAAGCCATTTGATCGGAACATTCCATTAGACTTGGCCCCATATGTTGAAACCGAGGTTGATAGCACTGAGGTAGCTGGTGAAAGCCCCCTTGATGAAGTTCCCTCACGATCCCTTGGCAGATCGTCCTTCAGCCTAGCATCCCACCGGCCCCAGCCAACTTTCTCGAAAATAACGTCCCCATTTACACCCCCAGCTTCACCCTCACTGCCACTGACGCCCCCTCGTCCCTCCAGAGCACCAACAACAAGCCTCCTCTGCTTTGCTGGAGGAATAGTGCTAAATCCCGGAATGTTTGAGATTAGATGTGCTGTTACATGACGAATAGCTAAAGGGCCATGTTGGAGCAAGATCCCAGGCAAATGGTACTTGGCCAAGAGAGCAGGGGTGATTGCTCCAGCAGCTTCTGAGAGCTGTGGCCCCAGGTTGTGGCTTTCGGTCGTAGGGAGCTTAGAAACGCCACCAACACCTATGTCGGAGACGTCAACATCCGAGTCTGTTACACCCTGACGATCGCCTACGCTGCAGCTCTGTTTGAACCTGTGAACCGGAGCAAGGGAAGGCGAGATCGAGGTCGGCGGAGTTGGGAGGTGGTATTTCGCGTCAACATGGTCCGGATGAGGGAACGCGTTGTTGCTGGAGACAGTAGCATCACCGCCACGGCGGAGGCGGGAGCTTAAGTTGGAGATGGTGATGGCCGCTGGAATGGAAACGGTGGTAGAAGTAGCCATGATTGCAAAAGGTAGTGTTATTTGCTGTTTGAGGATCTGTAACAAATTTTCACAGGTCAGTGTTTCGATTCTTATACATTCCTCGTGAGTCACATGGCAAGCAAGCCCACAAAGGTTCCCGCAGAGGTTCCCACAAAGGTCCCCTTTAGGAGGGTAGGGCAACACAGGATAAATATTGCCAGTGACAGAGAAATCAGCTAAACGCTGAAGATGGGTGAAAAAAGCTTACATGGACTAGCGACGTGAGAAGTATTATCACTCAGTAGTGAAATGAAGTATATAGATATTGTTGGACGTACTGGAGCGAGGAGGAGGAACTTCTTTGAGGAGAAGAAAAGCAGAAGGAAGGAAGAAAGGAAAGCTCAAGGCAAGGGCAACGTTAAAAGTGGAAATCTGGACTGGGAGAAATAAGTAATTATTATTGCATGTAAGGACAGGCCTACGGGCACTGGCCGCCGCACTGGTGATACGGGCGTGCCAGGGCTTCAGCAAGTGTCTCGGCTTTGCTCTTTGGGCGCGGGGGTGCCGCATCGCAGCATCATTTGCGGCCTTTTGTTGGGCCTGCTGTACACGCAAAGAGACACTACAAATGCACACACACGAGAGAATGCTTGTCTTGGATGGACACCAGAACGGAATCCGGGATGAAGAGATATGTATCCCCAATCTATGGGTTGGATGAATCCAAGGGTAAAATATGTTGGAGCCACCTCGAAACAATCAACAGAAGAACACCGGGAAAATTGCGGAAATGTATGGAAGAAAGGGGCCGAAATGCCTCGGCCATTGATGCGAAGAGCATCTAAGTATGTGTCCCTAAGTACGTGCCATGTACATGTAGGTACATGTACTTGCTTTCACAACATCTCTTATCGAACAAGATGCGGGTGGGTGGATGCACAGCGGTTGGTGATCGGTTCAGGCGTTGGCATGCGCAATTTTACGAGAAGTAGTTGTCTGTCTACATACAGGGGGAGCTGGAGAGTCTCATGAGAGAAAGGGGGGCATCTGAATAGAAGTCCCCAAAAGACTATTTGATGAACTAAAACAAAGGTGAATGGTTTGAAACGGAACTTTGTTTGTCCTCAGTTGTGTTTGGGGCAAAAAAGTGTGCGTGTGTGTGTGTGTGAGTTTGGTGTGTTCTTCTAAGCTGTCAGATTACTTGTGTGGTCATCGTTACTGAATTCTCGCCTACTAATCTTTATCTAACTACTAAGAGCGGCTAGCTATTGACTGACTACCCGCCTCTAATATCTTAGGCCACTAACTTGTGACTGCTTCTTGTTGAGCAGATATCAGCACTTCACAGCTTCATAGGTGAGAGACATGTCAAAAATTAGATGTCGACAGCAGTCACAAAATTTTACCGAGTGCCGAAAATGATGTCGTTGTTAAAGTTCCATCTAAACCGAAATCACATTTGATCTGCGTACCGCTGCAGGCACCAAAACAAATGGAACCTGAGTAGTAAACAACCCAAGGACAAGGTACGTAGTTGGTAATACAAGAAATCACGAGACGAACAAAGGGCCAGATAATAATTACAAAGCAAGGAACTACCCCGAGGTCATGAAACGGGGTATTCAAGACTACGTTATCGTGACGATGCTACTTCACGATTAAAGAAGCTCTTTAAAGATCAAATTGCTGCGAGTCGGAGAGTTGTGAACGTAACGGCCACGTGAGATATCAAATGGCGGTCATTGATCGTTCCAAGGATAGATAGAAGCCGTAACAGCGTTAGATCCCGAGCAACTCGTCTTCCAAGTTTACTATTTTGTTTCTGGTTACATGGATCGACAGTGTCAACCACTAGATTGGTGGTTTTTGGGTAAATGTGCGAGAAAATCCGGGACTCACCTCCGCAGAACGTGCACTGCCATATCTTACAGGGGGCAATAATCTGACGTCGTTGGTAATAATAAATCGGATTTTCTTGGGATGATGTCTTTTATAATTTCTCAGATGTTTTGATGCTTTTGAACTCGACTTTTGCACGTACCAGCCATGGCCAGGAGTTTTGACAGTTCTTGACTGGAGCGAACGGCCGGCGTTGGTTATTTAGAGTATCAAAACGACTTCAGTATGTTATCCAGCATGCGCCGGGATATGGTATTCTCAGCTGCTCAAAGTTCATTGACAGTGAATCAACCTGTCACTGTTGGAATATATACCAAGAGATACATATGTATATGCGGATCGGCGCATCGAATTCTGTATCGTCATTTATCAAATTCCGATTGTGACAAAAATAAACATGCTTTTTCCTGCAGTCATAATCTTTATCTCCTGTCGCTTTGTTTCCCATCGAGATGGGGATGTTCGGCTGCACTTCCCGATCTGGAAGAATTTTGTTTCCTTGCAGGCATGAAAAGTTAGATCCGGTCAGTCATGAAGCATCACTCGGCGACGACCTTATCACTGTCGTGGTTTGCTTAACTTTACTAGCGGTATCTCCACCTAAGCCTTTAAATTCTTGAATGAATCAAGGACAAAGATAGGGAGTAACCCTCCGCTTCCGAGGACCTACAAGAGCATTTAGTTTAACACTCTATGTGCCATATCGAGTGATAATCTATGCGTCAAATATGCCGTGCCTCAATTTACAGTATCATATTTAGATGGGTTGAGTAACTTTGCCTTAGGGTGATATGAGGTTTTGAATACACCAGAAATAGACCTGGCCACCTGTAGTAAAGCGATTCATCGGAGAATCATTGCTAGTGATGAAATGAGTTTCAGTACTTTTGCCGCCGTCGAGTTTGAAAGTGTGCTTGTGATTGATTGAATGATGCATTTTAACAGGGAGCTTTAGATTTTTTGGATTAAATTAATGCGTTAAGGCCATGATGATGATGATGGAAGTGGCAATTCTGGTGTAATTCAAGAGGTGAGTCGGCTTGAACTTAGGGTTCGTTGAAATGGATCTCGCCATTCGCCGAGGCGTAACGATTTGGGCCTTTCTCTACTTAAGCTCGAAGAGGATAGCTGTAAAGCTTGAACCAAGCGGTCTGTTAGGACCAAGTAAGAAAACGAGCGTCTAGTCGTCCTTATCCCTTCGTGCGTTTTCAGGACGGGGCGCTATGTGGAGTTTATCCCCGCAAAGAGGTCTTTCGCCGGCCAGTAAACTCAACCCCAGCCCCATGTACCTGTTTGGCTGTGAAGTCGCTGTTTGAGAGTCCTTCTTTACTTACTCTGAAGAGTCTAGAGTATGTGGTTAGTTAGATTTACTAACTATTACCATGCCGTCGTAAGCCTGGTAGGTCTTCATCTGTAGAACGCACGAAGGGGCCGTTCATATTTTAGTAATACGATCCTTATCCAGGGGCGATCATCGGGTTGTGTCACCCAGCTTGGGTATAAAATCTGCTCAAGCAGATACTTGTGGTTGCAAATATCCAAGCGACTAGACTCCTTTTCCAGCAAAAACAGGACTTAATCTATCCACACCCTAGACTTTCACTGGCATGACCCGGCTTTCAAGCAGCACCTGTCAGAAATCAATTCACTTTTCTCAAAGAATTGGCAGTCGTTTCTTTTTCCTTTGATCGAAAACTAAAGGGAGGTTCCCAATTAAAAACCTATCCGCAAAAAAGTGGAAACATGACTCTCTGTCGGCGGGTGTTCCCGGTTGGGAAGAACTACGCCAATAACTTTGGATGAGGAGGGGAATAGGGAGATGAATGTGGTGAGGTGCAAACTTCATGTATATAGGGAGATTGAGATAGATATGTGTTTAAGGAAGAATAACATTACGTTAGACATAGAAGAAGGCATAGATAAGGAAGAGAGAGTGGAGGATAAGAATAATAAGTGGGAGTGGGATTAGTGGGAGTGGGATTAGTGGGAGTGATGTGGGTGAGGGTGAGTTTAGTGGGAGTGAGATGAGGTAAGATGATCGATAGAGGGGATGAAGTGGGTTGACTTCAAGAAAGAGAAGATGCATGCAGATGAAGGTGGTACTGTAGAAGCGGCTCATGGCCATAACCCGCCATGGAACGGCCCGACCCATTGCACTAGTAGCTCCCAGAACCCCTACAGGGCTGCCCAGCCGCCACCATAACAGTAAAGACTGAGAATTGTTCTAGCCTCGTAAACCCCGCCATCAACAAAACGTCATTACATCGCAGGAGTTGTTCTTTACTCGCCATTTATGGATAACAGCCCTTCCTCGCTGAAAATAAACCTTTATACTCAAAACATCAGATTATCTTAAAGAATAAGTACCATAATCCAGGCGGAGCGTATAACCTTAACTGCGGTATAGAGCACGTTACTAATATCTACCAATTACTATGTAGAGGGCCTTTTACAGTAAATAGTGGTCTGATTTCAAGACTTCTATCGCAGCTCTCCCACAAAACTAAGGCACAAGACTAGGTAAAGCCAACGACCAATTCCGGATGTCGAGGGACGTAGGCCAGAGATCAGTGGAGCTCAAAACTCGTATTCTTGATCTTACTGGTAAATCCAGGTTCTGCTTTCAAGTCGGTATACGGGAGGCTACGCACGTATATGTGTCGCTGATAGATTCTATTATCTTCAAGTATATCTAAGCATCGCGCTTATAGTATGAAGAGGAGCAGTAATTCGACTATACCTTCTGGTGATTCGCCCTCTATACGCTCTTGGTATATAGAGTTATTAGTACGATGTCGAACCCTCAATCAGTAAACATCTACTTCCCAATATTGAGTTATTTGTTTACTAATTAACCATATTACTAGCAACACGAGAAAAAACCAAAGTAGAAATTTAAAAACTACTTTGACCAGCACAATCAAAGGCTTCACAAAAACAGTCAAGTGATACAAGAACACAAACTTCAAACACCACATCGACCCCGACGGGACTCGAACCCACAATCTTTGCCAATCTCGGGATTTAGCCGGAAAGCAATGCGTTAGCCATTACGCTACGGAGCCAGTGATAATAACTACCTATTTTGATTATATAATTATTAAAATATTTCACGCTTGTATCGAAGTAAAACAAACCAATGCGACAACAAAATCCAAGGGAACGTACATATAGTTTCATACACTATAACCCTTGCCTGGTGTAAGTGATATCTCATGACTGTGGAATAAGATGTTTCGTCTCAACAGGCTTTGGTGTTGATATTGGAGGCCTTGGAAGGGTTCTACGTATAGGTACCCGTATATTTATATCAAAAGTGCTTCTGAATCAGTGATGAATACGTCAAATCGGTTTTCCCTATTTGTGCTTTTTCTTATCTGAATATCGCCGCGTCATGCAAGTATCAACGGCATTGAGCGTTTCTACTAATGTTACAAAAAAAACCGGTAATGGGTCCCTTGTGACCCAAGTGGAAAATCTGTGCAAGCTTCAATAGGGGTATCTGACTCGGGAGTAAAGGCAGCTCTGTTGATTTCGACTCGATCTCTATTGGTAGTTATAATGAATTGTCAATTTGCAGCTGAAACTGGTAATCCTATATAGGTAGCTCTGCCGGAACTTTTCAAGCTCTACTGAGACTTATCAAGAGGCATGCAAGCACCTCTCCCATACGCCCTTTTTCTCTATCTAATATGCACTCATTTATGCTGATTCCAAATAAAGTTCTCTTCAGAGCAAATGCCCAGACTCACGTGCATTGCGGCTCTCCTCTCGGATCAACTTCCCAACATAGGATAGCTCCAGGGACACCAGGGATTCCGACCAAGCTGCAAGCACTGTCAACAGGCAGAGCAGAGATAGCGGTGCTATGGGCTGCGATTTGCTTGCCCGATCTCTCCTCCAGAGGTGACGCCATTCCCCAGATCCCCCATCCGCATGTCTCATCGACATCTGTCCTTAAAACTCTACAAAACCCCCCTTCTTAGCCCCCATCAAGAATCTCTTAACAGTCAGTAGAGCAGCAAATTCAGGATGTCCGCATTACCCCAGATATCCCATCTCGAGGAAATCACTTCCTACAGCCACACCATTGCGCCCTACCTACACCAGCTCTCCCTCGCCCATGTCCTCCCACTTCTACGCCGTGAAGTGTCGCCGACAGAATGGTATCTGTCCACGAACCCGCTCATCTCGGGGGTGACCTTCGCACTGTTTATAGCTAGCGTGGTTCTGGTCGCAAGTGAGCTTAACAGAAACTACTCCCAGATCGATAGGCTGTGGAGTCTGTTGCCCGCGATCTATATCGGCCACTTTGCCCTGTATGCACGCCTGTCCGGATTGAACACCGAGCGACTAGATACACTACTCATGTTTGGGTGCCTATGGGGTGCGCGGTTGACATTCAACTACTGGCGCAAGGGCGGATATAATATGGGCTCTGAGGACTACCGGTGGTTGGTTTCCAAACCGCAAGATAAAATTCTCCAGAGCCATATAGCTAACACACCAGCAGGAATACCGTCAAAGCGAACATCCCCCCTATCGCCTTCTTTGCACTCAATGTGATTTTCATCTCGTTCTACCAGTCATTCCTCCTCCTCTCCGTCGCCGCCCCCTCATACGTCATCCTTCTATCCTCTTTCCTACCCGAGGCTGTTCTCCCACACTGGGCCATGCCGGATCTTCTATTCTCGCGCGGTCTCCTCCTTGCGCTCATCGCCGAGACCTTCGCCGACCAGCAGCAATGGGCTTTCCAGACCGCCAAGGCGTCCTATCGCGCTACTGGCGTGGTCCCTCCCAAGTTCGAAAAGGAGGATCTGGACCGCGGATTTGTAGTCACAGGGCTGTGGTCGTTTAGTCGGCACCCGAACTTCGCGGCCGAGCAGATGGTCTGGGTGGGTGTGTATCTATGGAGCTGCTGGGTCGGTGATGTGATGTGGTATTGGGGCGCTATTGGGGCTGCCAACTACTGCCTGCTCTTCCAGGCAAGTACTTTACTTACGGAGTGGATCACAGCGGGGAAGTATAAGGAGTACAAGGAGTACCAGATGAGGGTCAACAAGTTCTTGCCCGGGTGGAGAACACTGATCGGTGGTGATGAGCTCAAGGGCAATAAAGAGCTATAATAGAGCTCATAGCAAGCACACTAGATTCAGTCTGAAGTTTGTAGAGCAAGGAGGTTGGGTAGAAGGTGTGTACTAGTAACGATCTGTAATACCATCTGTATAACTATCATGCATTTCATAATCTCGGGTCCCCATCTATCTCACAAGAAGAAGTAAAAGTCAAAAGAAATCCCTCCCCAGTAGTAACAAAAAAAAAAACACAAGTGTGTAGCCTCCCACCGGCCTCACCAAAACAGAGTGACATCCCATGATCCAACGCCCCACAACCCAATCCAATCCAACCCAACCCTTACCCTACCACACCTCCAACCCCAACCCACACGACAAAGAGATCCCAACAACTCATTCCCTCCCGGGACCCCAATTCCAAATTCCCATCCCCCGACTCTCTTCCCTTTCCACCTTTTCCCCATATCATACCTATCGAGAAAAAAAATCGTGTGTGTGCCAGCCAGCCAGCCAGCCAGCCAGGCAGTCAGCCACGTACATGCATGAAAGGGTGGGGCCGGGGAGGGTCCAGATTCAAATTTTTTGGCCCAACCAGAAAATTACCACTTGCACGGACAGGCAAGGATTGGGGGGGTGTTTAGGCGGGGAGTGCGGTTGGGCCCGCGGGTAGAGGAGGTGGGTTCTTTTTTTTTTTGGCAGTGGATGGATGGTGGATGGGAGAGCGCGCGGGGGGTTGGTATGGGGGGTTGGTGGTACAGGCTGTTAATGGTTCTTGGAGGGCATGGTATCGAAATATGAGTAAAGTAATCTACTATTCTACAGCTGCCATTGGAGGTCTTACTGCCAGTAGGGTGCGTGTACCCTACAGTATCAAAGCTACGCACTGAGCGTGTCCTCGAATCTTCGGATGAACCGGTGGGTTGGCGGTGATTCGAGTGATATCTTGTGACTAAACACCAATCACAATGAAACAGCTAATAAGTGGCTATCGAGAAGGGGGTCATTGGCTTCTTGATATATAAATCCAGTGCGAAACATGCGTCTCTAATTATATACAACCAACAAAAAGCAGCATTCACGAGTAAGAGCAAGAACGTTGAAACCTCATAGAAGGATTCTCTTTGCAAATCCGAGCAAGGCTGGGGATGACGGGGCAGATTCAATGCCATTTATAGTACATGTAACAAAGCAAACTTCTCAAACTAAAGGTAAAGAAAGTAAGGTATTTTTGCACAGAAGCAAAAAGAAAAAGGAAACATGTAACGTGACTGACTGTACCAACCCGTAGCCCAGCAACCAGTAAGTTAGTTTCTTAAAGCATAACTCAAAAAAAGTCCGCAACACCCGGTCCCCACCCATGCAAAGTAAAGAAGTAGTAGATATCCGCCCAGAACCAGTTAACAAAAAAAAAAAAAAAAAGGTAAAGCAAAAAGCCAAAGCAGGCGAAAGAAAACAAATGGTAACAACCAAGATCAAAAAATAAAATCTAGGGGGGTAAGTAGAAAGAGGAGAATTTGCCATAAGAAACGTTTATCAGTGGGCACTATACAACATACTATCTTTCAAGTCTGTAAAAAAAAAAAAAAAAAGGAAAAAGGAAAAGACAAAGCAGATTAGGGATTCTCTAGAACGTCGAGGTCCTGCATCCCCGTGCTGAAATCTAGAACCAAAGTGCGATTGTCCTGACTGGTGCTGATGATGCGCCTGTAGTCCGCCTTGGCAGACAGGATCCACGTTGAGTGGAACCTCTGAATGTCGAGAATAAGCTTCCCCGTGTCCAAGTCCCAAACTTTCACGCTCTGCATTCGACAGGTCAGCTTTCAAATCCCGTATTGAAATAAACAAATCAAATGCGGGGTGTGGGGGGGGGGGAGGAGGGTGGCGTATCACAAACCTGATCATAGGATCCCGAAACAATCCTCCTATTCCGGGAATCCAAATGGAGCGTTCGAACCAATAGCGAATGCCCCTGTAATACCCTAAGGCACTCGCCATTGGTCGCGTCCCAGACCCTGATGTCCTGATCATTTCCACCGCTCACAATCGTCTTCGCATCCTCGCTGAACTGCACGCATGCAAGGCCCCTATTGTGGCCCGTGAAATCACGGACGCATTTTCCAGTGTCCACATTCCACAATTTGATGAGTGCATCGCCCGAGGCGCTGACAATGAGGTTTCCGCGGATGGCGATCGCATTCACGGGGCCCCTGTGGCCCGTGAGCTGGCGGAGAAGCCTCCCCGTCTTGCGGTCCCAGATGCAGATGGTGGTGTCCTTGGAGCATGAGACGATATGTTTCTTATCGAAACACACATCCAGAACGCCAGCCGTGTGGGCGCTAAGCCGCATGACCGACGTACAGGAAGGCAGCGACCAAACGATGCAGGTGTGATCGGATGAACCAGAGACCAGAATCTCGTCGTCAAACTGGAGGCACAAGACCGAGGCGTGGTGGTAGTCTGAGGAGCTTGTGCGCGGGGCGACCATGTCATTGGATGCCACCGCCGCTGCCGTTTCCCCAAACGCGGAATTCCGGGCGCCTTGTCCCAGGACCTTGAGACACTCGCCTGTCGCAATGTCCCATATCCTGATGGTCTTGTCGCGCGAGCCTGTGATGATCTTCTTTCTGAAACCGACAATCAGTACGGCGGGATTGGGGGGATTGGAGGGAAAACCCGTTTTTGGGGCAGACATACTCGTCAAATTGCACACAGTAAACGCTATCTGTGTGTCCCTTCAAATATTTGGCAGTAACCTGACCCTTTTGCCACCTATGATTGAGCTCCTGTCTGACCTTAAACATCTTCTTCCAATTGTTTCCTGGCCGCGACCTCCATGGCCCATGCTCGTCTCTGAACACGTTACGCCAAACATGGCGGTCGCGTGCAGCGTTCAACCACTGGTGCGATACAGATTCGCAATTCACCAAACTCTGGTGGTCGAGGAAGGACAGGATATGTGCAGTAATCTCCGACGGCAGGATCTTTACAAAGTCTATTTGGTTCGTTTCCCCCAGTCGTAAGCATAAACGATCACTCACAGTGGAGGGGAGGGCAGTATGTATGTATGTATGTATGTAGCAGTAGTATCAGGGTCGTCCTCCGTTGTGCGACAACCACATTAAACAACAACGGACGACGGCCGACGACAACAACAGACGGTAACACTAGATTTTTATTTACGAACCTTTCCTAACAGCCGTAGTGTCCTGTGAGTAGAAGCACTCCTCATTATCCTTTTCGTCAATACCGATGCCGCTCTCTCCGTCTCCCAATGTAATTTTCGATTTCCTTTCTTTCATACCGTGGTGGATCACGCCGGCCGAGTTTTCATTCCCGGAGGAGAAGGAAGGGAGGAGGAGGAAGAGGAGGAGAGCCGGAGGAGTGGGAGGCCCTTTGAAATAGTCTTCGAACACTGTTACTGGTTCGCCTAATGGGGTGAGAGCAGAAGGTCTCTAGTCTCGAAGCGGAAGCAGCGTCAGTGACGTGGGCTGCGGTCTCATGTCGAATCTCGGGGACAGTTGAAAAAGGGAGCGACATGTAGGACGGGAGCTTTGACCGGGTTGCTGGACGAGACGAAGCAGCAGCAGAAGCAGCAGCAGCATGAGTAGCAGGGGCGCCGAGCATGTTGTATGTAGGCATTATTCTATGAATCGTAGAAGCGCCGAGCTATATTATTATTCTATTGAAGGTAAATGGAAAGAAAAATTAAAAAGTCTCCTTGAAACGCGCGCGCCGTGGGAGTTGTGTTTAGTGGTGATTGATAGCGGATCCGAAGAAGGGAAAAAATAAAGAAATATAGAAAGCGACGGGGATACCCGATATTGGAAAGAGATGGGCCGGTTTAAAGAAAGTGCAGAAGCCCACGAGACTACTTGTTAGAGAAGCAGGATCACGAAGACAGGCCTGATGCGGAATGACGGTGCGGTGAACGAGAGGGGTAGCAGGTAGCTTTTTCCTAAAGGAATGCTGGGATGGGGGAAGCTATCAATAATAGAATGGGGTGTGACGGTCACGTCTTGAGGTTTTGGATGGGTGGTTGGGTTTTATTTTTTTGTGGTGGTGGTTGTCGTTGTGATGGTGGGAAGATGAGGAAGTTGATATCAATCAGGGAGCACAAGTCGGATTGTAAATAATGTGGAGGCAGGCAATCGAATCCCTGAAGTAAATGCTGGGTTGGGGGGCAGTGGATGAACCAGCTGATGTATGTATGTATGTATGTATGCCCCAAAATATTTAATAGTGGGGGAAAGAAAAGGATGCGGGGAAGATTTTAATGTTGTAGATACGAAAAAGGGCAGTTATAGGTCCCGGGCCAAACCAGGGACAGTTCTCGAGCTATCAGGAGAAGGCGGAGGTTTTAGATGGTTGATGGGATGGGATGAAGGGAGAGAGGTGGAGGGATGTCTATGTATGTACTACATGTATGCGTATGTAGCTTTGTAGAGGAGCAGCAGCAGCACTGGCAAAGTAAAGGTAAGGGATCTATGAGACTACTACTACCACTACTACATGTGCTCCCATAGGTACGGGGTTCGAAGGAGGCAAACTTCATCAGTGGTTTGCTGTTCTCTTTCCTTTCTAATTTAGTTTTGGCGATATCTTTTTCCGTGAGGCGCGTCTATCAATTGAATATGCTGCATGCCTGCATACATGGTAGGGGATTGGATTGGATGGATGGACGTGGGGAGAGGAAAATAGGGAAGAAAAAAAAGGGTCCACACAAATAGAGGTTCGTGGGGAGCGAGAAAGCCCGGTGGTGGCGGAGGGTACTCTACCTACTCTACTCTACATTACTGTGGTCTGTAGGGAAACAACTTGCAAATCAGAGACAGCTTATGGTTAGCTACATAGCGTAAGCAGCCCAGAGCAGTCAAGTCAAGCTAGCTACCTTTACTTGGGGCCAGTTGGTTGGTTGCATGGAACAGAAGACAGCTGCCCTTCTTCTCTTTCTGTTTCTGTTGTTTCCAAATGTCAAGAGACCCACTCCTCTCCATCCTGGCAGTTTTGCAACTCCCTTCCTCGCCCGCGTGAGTGCTTTCGGTGCTACAGAAGCAGAAGTCAAGAGAGAGAGAGAGACACCTACCGACAATCCCTACCTACAATTCACCTCTACGAGTCTCTATTTGCCTCCCACACCTAACCGAAGGGACCCTGACCACACACCCTGCCTTCTTACCTGCAGCGCAGTTGACCTTTAGTCTTCTTCCTTAACTCCCCATCCTATCACGACCCATCATCCACCACCACCACCCACAAAAAAAAACAAAAAAGAAAGCATCGAAAATCTCTGGGCGCTGGATTTAAACAACATCTGCATATCAAAAAAGTAAAACCACAAAAATAAAGAAAATCTTTTTTTTCGCCATACCGCTGCTGCTACTTTTTACAGCCACCTCCCCAGTCGAGACCAGTAAGATCAACACAAAAAAAAGTTTAAAAAAACAAAATAAAGGGCGGAAACATGATCTGCCTTCAGTGCATTAAACTGTGCTGCCCCGCCTCAATTTTTTTTCTCCTCTGCCCCAACCGATCCTTAACGCGGGGGAGAGAAGGCAAGACAGAGACAGAGAGCTACACCCACATACGCTCCGCATAGAGGTGGATACTCACAACCGCAAATCTCCTCCTCCCACCGAAGAGGAAACATTCCGGAGGGCTACTCTAGATCAGCTAGCTAGCAAGCTACTGCTAGCTAGCAGCCAGTCATCTTGTTGACCGAGAAAATGTAATACCGGTCGGTACCTGCAGACTTTGAGTTTCTTGTTGGTTTTGTTGGTTTCCCTTTCCCCCACCAGCAAGCTTGTCATGAGCTTCTGCGATCAGGTACAAAGGTTCAAAGAAAACAAAAGAAAGAACATCTCAAAAGCCTGCCAAGCTCTGATGCTCTGCTCTGCTTCCCCCCCCCCCCCCCCAAACATGATACGATGACCCCAGAAAACTAAACCCCAAAGCCCGAAAGTATGCTCTACCGGCGCCGCATCGAACAACCCTCCCCAAAAATGCTCCCCCGCGATTTTATAACGGCCTATCTCTTCTCGACATGTAAAGACCGAAGAGAATTAAACGAATAATTGACGAATGGGCTAATGACGTACATACATAGACCATAATGCATACATAGGCTAAACTCACTCGAATTTACTGTTACTACACCTTCTGGTTTTGTTTTTTTCTGTCTTTTTATGTTATTTCCCCGAAGCTTTCGTGATACTTAGGTAATAAACCCATGAGCCGAGTCTTACGCGCAAAACCCCAGAGATTAAGAAGCAAAGCAAGTGCAAGCCCGGTCAAGGTCTTAATAACTCGGGAGTTGAACTTTCCTATGTCTCTACGTTGCGTTGAGTTGAATTGTGAGCGAGCCCCAAGTCCAAGCCCAAACACTCTTTACTCTGCTCTAGAACTCTAGAACACGACTCACAATTCCAGAGGCGTTGATCACGAAATGAAACCTCACAAACAGGACGCGAACCGTAATTCCATCATCTCAACCCGTCGCCTCGACCGCCTCGAGCGCAATCCAGAACTCGCGCTTTTTTCTTTTCTTCTTTTCTCCGGGATGTCGAACGCGGCGGCAAGTAGAGCGAGAGTACTATCGTTCACGGGGTATTGGCGGACACGGATTGCAGGCAAAACTTGGCTTGGCTGTCTCTTTTTTGGTTTGTTCGTCAACACCCAGTGCCCGTCAATACCCCGTGAACGACAGTACTCGTAAACGAGTAGAGTGATAAACGAACGAGCGGCCCAGGTCCCCCCCGGTGAGCCGTGCGTCGAAACCACCTAACCAAGCAAGCTAAGGTAAGGCAAGGCAAGCAAGGAAGGCAGGGAAGGGAAAGGAAGGGTTAGGGGAAGCTAGACTTTCTGGCTGCCGTTGGGATTTAATTTATTGAAAACTGTCCGGCCGTTGCATGCAGTTGCGCCGATCCCCCACCGCTGGTGCTGACGGGGGGGGTGGAGTGAGTAGAGCAGAGGAGAGTACCTGGGGGGTACATGTGTGTTTGTATAGTCTTACGGGTGAGGTAAAGGTAAAGTGGGATACATGTTGGTAGATACTCTATACTAGGAGGCATAACAGACAAACAGACAAACAAAACCTTCTTTATATTACCGCCAAAACTCGAAAAATTGGCTATCTCCGGCCAGGGATTATCACTCGAGTGATTGGTTGAATGGCATCGATCTGCATCAGAAGTTTCCCATACAAGTAATTTTGATCTCTGGAAGCTAGCCAATTTTTCGAGTTATAGCAGTAGATGAGAGATAAACCATTACCACCAACAAGGATTCTGTCGACTGTGTAATTAAGGCACTCCATTATGGTTAGAGACCACAAGAATCCCAGGTATCGGCATCGGGGTCGGATATCGGAACCACTGTAGCTAGGGGCACTCTACATCCACTTACTGTGCCTGCTCTACCTCCTCTGCCTGCCTGCCTCTTGTTTACTCTTTCCTATCTAAACAAACCCACGCCAGATCGGGCACGGGTTTGTGTGTACATGCCTAGACAAACTATCTGTGCAGCTAGACGTAGCCGCCTCATGTACGCACGGCACATCTATCCCCCATCGGACTCGGGGAAAAAGGCTCGGAACGGCCCCTATGGTTCCGGCGCTATGTCTGGCGTGACGTGACGGCTCATAGGTGATCACTCGGACTGAGGTGGTGCCCACTGCAATGTCACGGTAGATGGGAGAACGCGCGTCGTGAAGGGCATGACTCAGATATGACTGGAATAGGATCATTGGGTTTTTTTTTGATTAGCTGACCCAGTGAGGCCTGTGACGGTGTCGTATGGATGACTGTGCTCAGGAAGTGGGGTGACTTGTGTATATACGATGGAGATGTATACTTATTTATTACTATCCTTCGGATCCGGGCCAAAGAGATTTTGATACTTTGGGAAAAGTTACTCTTTCAGTATAGATTTTAGAAGTAATAATTGTTTGGCTTTGTTTGCTCGCGCAGCGAGCTTAGTTTTTGTCCAAGACACACGTGTACACACTTAGCAGAGGTCGTGGGCTGGCCCGTCTTTGAGAGTTCAAGAACTCATGATGGCACTGCGAAATAAGAGTAACGGGGCACGCACTGGACAGTTAAGATCAAACTCTTCAACAACACAGAGCAGGCTACCACATGGCCGACCAATACTGCGTGACATGCGTAGTCCTGCTGGGACGAGTGACTCGATTGGCAGAGATCTAGATGCCACCGAGATAATAACTAACGTTCCAGCACAGGCCTGTCAATATATATATATATGTGCCAACTTAAGCATAATTAATTTAGAGTACGTACCTCGTCACGTCATATCATATCACCCGGTACTCTTGACTAGTTGATTAATTGATCCATTCGCAATCTCGGCTATGGAGCGTCCCCACCCAGAAGGTAGTATTAATTAATATATCGACAGATCGGACACCTATATATAGCCAATAAACTGAGAATAAGATATGCATACCCGCAGCAGGTAACAAGCACCCGAGAAACGTCTTAATGTACAATTACCATTGGGGTAGCTCAGTAGTAGTCAAAAATACACCAAAACCTTGCAGCTGCATTTTCGGGTACTTCAGGCCTGTCGCGAGTATATCTCGAGGGCACGAAGCATATATAATCCCCCAGAAAAATCTGGTCTGATGGACTATTTTCTAGGATGATCTTTGAAGTAAAGTAGAGGGCTAAGAACATAAGGATATTGTATTAACTGATGATTGGAAGCAAGGAGATTGGGAGGAGGCTCCCTCTTTATAGGTACAGTTTAGAGAACACCATGGCGCTAAGACAAAAGTATAGATAGTTTAGAACCACATAACGAAACTTCAACAACAAATACCGCCCATACGGTGCTAATAAGTATAGCGATGCATATGACCTACATGTACTAGTGTGGTGAAGTTGTGGATGCGATTAACGAGGAGGATTAGTTTATAAATTTGTGAGCCAGAGTGGATGAGGTGACAGTTTAAGATTAGATCGATCAAGAGTGGAGGGTGCGGTTATTTCATATAAGTTGTGGGGATAAGGTGGCTGGTGGTTTGTAGGATGGTTCTTTGGGGGGCTTCGAGGGCGGTATATCAGTTGGGTATCTCTAGAAAATTGTTAATGTCCGAAAGCTGTAGTTTTAGCAGGAAATTAGCAGGAAATTAGCAGAGATATCAGAGTAAGAGTGATGAAACATACTAATAATTATCCCAAGGGTATACTAGTCTTCTTCAAAAATAAGAACAAAAGCTGAACCGCTATGTCTCACAACAGCAGCACAATCTAGTATATCAGTACGTTATATAAACGTAAGGGTATAGTTCCTTCGGGGTCTTGTCTCCCATTACTCCACCTATGGATTGAAGATCCTCGATTGGACAGATCTTGTTACCGAGTGATTGTTCGTGACGCAGCAACAATGATAATCTTGTAGCATCACACGAAACCCATGGAAGGGTATTAGTGATGCAAACGATTAAAATCTCTGGGGGTACCTCTAGATCTGCGGGCACGAGTTATACTAATTGAAATTAGAACTGGATCTAAGTGTAACTTTTTTCTGGTTTGATAATCAGATGCTTGATTTCGACCTTGATACACAAGAGGCCGTTGTGTCGGACTAAGGGTCGTAGCATTCTGCTATTCAATTCTGCCATATTCTAGCATTTATAAGGGAAGAAAATTCGAATACATGTGAATGTCTCATCGAGCTATAATCACAGAATATCACTCATTTATATTTCCATACACTTTGTCGTGTTATGACCGTTCTTTCCATGCAACGCGTCCACAACGTCATGTGCGCGATGGCGGGGGTATACGCGTATATCCCGTCTATATCTACGTAGTGTTACTGTCTTGTATATTACACAAGACCGTTGGGTGCTACAAACACATGCCTGAGTCTGTCACAATTCCATAAAGTCTAACCCAGAGAACAGAGTAATAGCACATAGTGCCTTGCTACTATATGCTCAATCTGCAGAACTCCATATGTAAACCTCAGTCTTCTTGAACACCTTCCGCTTATGCATTGCATGGCATCTCTCAAGCCTTTTCTCCTCCTTCTTCTCCTCCTCCTCCTCCTCCTCCTCCTCCTTCTTCTCTTGTACATGTACTGATGTTACCTCAGTCATTAATATCCATTTATGCGCTCGTACCCGAAATTGACCTGTTCGACCTCAGTTATATGGCCCACAATTTAAAGGCTAATATTTACATACGCGCGAGGCAATATGATCGCTTGTTCTTTTGATATTAGGCCAGCAAAGCGATATCTGCATGTGGTTGGCCTTAATCCACGTGTAATTGTAACCCTGATTAACTACTTGTAGGTATATCGAGTGATGGGGTGTCTACCAGTGGTTAGTACTAGAAAGCTGATCATGAACATGATCAGAATCCTTGAGGATGTTTATGATTCGAAAAGGCATTTCTAGCTCCATAGTGTATAAAACCTTATAAGCTCTTTCTCAACGTATTAAGAGCAAATTGGTGGCACTCGTCCTCGCCCGTAGGTACATACATGTATGTATGTATGTAGGACGGGAAGGTCCATCAACACCCATTGTGATAATAGGTCTCCGCGGTGTAAATCCCATTTACACTAGCCAGGCTATATCCAAATTCTGGTCCGAGGTAATTTCATTCCCTGCTGGGTCGAGATGTGTCTTTTTCATCACAGCAAATAGATTCTCGCCATCTCTTCATGCATAGGCGGGCTGGAAACTGGACCAATTTCAGCCCAGGTGGCGTTGTGGGAAGATTATGGGCACAATATAGCACTCTACTGTAACCCTTGAACTTTCAGCTGAGAACAAGGCCAAGGATCCGTGGAATATTTCCATCTTTTCAATAAAATGGTTTATTTATCATCCATCGTGCCAAATGTATTTGGTTTATCCGACATCGGCGCTGGCTATCCTTGCATGAAGTTGCAGCTCATAGATCTACACTGCTTTCGGAAAGTTTTCGGCCCGGATACCAAACCCAAGATCCCAAGAATCTAGGTTGCATAGTCGGTGCCGAATCGTGACGCGGCCGAAGGCAGGGCACGCCCCCGTTGACTTGAGTGCAGACTCGAGTGCAGACTCGAGTGCAGACTTGAATGCAGGACAGAACTGTCATGCTCGGTGCCCAGGTGACTGGCAGATAAGTGCTAGGTTGCACGCGCCTGCCCTCGATAGTTTCCTCACCGAGTCAGACATTATGAAAGCATAAATGATCCATGGAAGGCTCTAGAGTCCGGTGTAGATCTTGGTCTTATGATTCGATATTGCGCTTCAACGCCTTAAGTCTTGAAGATCCTAGAGTCCAGGCTGCATATCGATCCTCACCGTGTAGGCTGCCACAGAAACCAAGGTGGTCGCCTTGGTTTAGGGTAAGAGACCCCGCACCATACGCATTTGATAGAACACGCAACACACATTGGCATAATATATCGACTTGATATATGTATCCCGTACGGATGCAAGTGAAGATATCGATCGAGACCTATAGTTTCGTAGTCCAGATAAAATCTCCGATGAAGATTACAACAAACTTGTTTTCAGTGCCTCTATGATACCTCGTTCGGGGTTGTAATATATCTCGTCCTTCGTCACTGGTTCACACAAGGTTGTTGCGGAAAAGATAAGGCGTGTCACGGCAGATAGAAAGTGCAGCAGAGTATGATCATGCATACCAGGAACATGGGAGCCGCTTAAGTATGTCGCGATATGCAAGATGTTCGTGGAACCGAGTTGTTTGACACATAGACTATCATGCAGTTCGGTTTTTCGAGGTCTTTCAAGGCCCTGAGTCTGGAGAGCTCCGGGGCTGCGGGGCAACGGATTGACTTGCAAGTTTTTGTTAGCATAGCTGGGTTAAACTTGGCAAACTCCTAGCGGAAGATCATCACGATCTTGAAGCCATAAGGCTGCATTCACTGTATGTCACTCGTCCGCAGTTAAAGTGGAGCACCCTTCTCATCCGATATTAGCTTTAACTTTCCTCGTCCTATCCTTTGTATAACTACCGAGAGGCTCGTCTCAGCTTCAAACTTTCCATAAAAGCTTGGTAATGAAATTGCAAGCCACTCCCCACATGGCGTACTCTATTTAAATTGTCGTCTTCAGAGCCCAGCGCCGGTCATATGATAATATGAGGACCGTAAGGCTATCGCTTCCCTAATTTTCGGGCCTCGGTATCAAACTCCAAGCAGCGCTCTTTGAACCCAGAAACAAAAAGTCCAAACCTTTGGATACCAGGCGCTTTATAGGGCGAAGACATCCACTAGCATCGAGGTTTCCTTCGGCCAACTAGGTTGTTGTGGTAACTACAATACTTGAGGGATCTGGTGACTGATGGATGTGTCTGCGAGAGATGGTCCCTTCTTTGGTCAATGTAAATGGCAGCTAGAATAGATGTGCTACGCGTCCTATATGACACACATCTTATTGTCGTAGCCCCTTATGCATTTCTCAATATCACTGCAACCGCGCGCTGTCTGCTTAACGTTGGCTCCGTGCCACAGAGTGGTCTGGTCCAAACCTTAAAATAAAAGCCACCAGTGCCATCATCTTCAAATGTGCAGAGCTAGAAAAAATTGGGAATTATAGAAATTCTTACAGCCGAATCCAATGATCCCGAACTCTATTTCATGAATTGTAAGCTTGTGAATGCCGGATGGTATATTCTGTTTCTCTGATTCGTCAAAATGTGGTTGGGAAACATGGTACATGAAATCGTAAGACAGGCTGAAACACATGCGGCGCTTATCCAGCATCCAAAAGTCAGGGGCACCCGAGCGCCTCGAACAGTGAGGCTCGTTGGATGAGGGGAAAGAAGAGCGGGACAGGGAGGCCAAAAACGCTGCTCATGCCTGGATCTCGATTTTCCGACACACCGAAAACTTGAAGCGTGTCTAACTGGAACCTTGATATCTTATGCTTTCCAAGTCCCAAGATCCCGCCAAAGGCGAAAATCCCTAAGCTATGCAGCCTCACTGCCTATAGCTGCATTAATCAATGACCAGGCAACTGGCGCTGAGCAGAACAGGTCAAATGATATTTGGGAGCAGAACGGGATCAGTGATTGAGGGCGTAATGAATACAAGACTTCGATTTATCACTGCCGGAGATGTAGATAACAGGCAAGCATCGCTAGGTGTTCAGTAAAAGGCCAAGAAGGAATCCCACGTATGGAGAGTGGTAAATTGACGAGTTTGACGAACTTGATATGTGAACGAATAGCTGCCTGTACGTAAAATCGAGTTATCAACATGTGCATACAAGAGTTTTATTTTTCTCGGACAGTATGATACACACAAGAGTACGTAGAGTGTATGCAGCGGCGGGGGGTAAGGAGTTCGTAGAGCGGGCTGCAGCGTGCTCCTCCCCCATCAGGAGATGGGTGTTGATATGGCTGGTCTTGTCCTCTCTAGCCGCAGTCTCCACCCCTCCACCTTTATCCTTCCGACGCCCCTCCTCGCCTCTTTTGCTCCCAACACTGGGATTTGCTATTGTTCGTCGAACAAAAAAATAAAATACTATCCATCTAGTAGGTTAGGTCAATAGATATCCCAGCGGATATCCGGCGCCGTAAAAAATTCACTCGTTCACTCGCTCGCTCGCTCGCTCGTTTGCTCGTTTGTTCAACACCAACCCAGTTAATTTGCGGCATCTTTGAATTTCAGCCATCAGCCAGGCCCATCACCACATATTCACCGCATATCTTACGGTGTCCGCGGCTTCTTTCCTTCTACAACTTGTCTACTTATTTCTAGCTCCCCTGCACCTCTTCTTTGCCTTTGCCTCTGTCTCTAGCATAAGCATAACTGCATTAGTCCCCCACCTTGGCCGCTCAGACAGAGCTCACATCCCATCATCCCCACGATAGCATTAACCGAGACACGTCGTCCTGACTTCACGGCAGTCCCACCGACCAAAGGCAAGATAAATAGTCTGAACGACCCAACTCTCGTTTCACAACTTCCTGATAGATAGTTTTTCGCCTTTATTATTGTAGAAATCGAAGTTTTCGCCCACGTCATCGTAAGCTACCATTCAATAATTAGCAGGAATAAAAGTGCGACTTTGCTCACTGTTAACTTATTCGACTTTTCTTCTCTAACTGATCTGTCTTTGTAGTTCTAGGCTTTATACCAAGAGCCACACTTTTCTTCTTCCATTTCCCCGCACTGCCGTATATCACCTTGAGGCCGCCCGGGATACCGATCTCTCCCTCTCTGTTACAAATATATTCTTTACATCATGTCCACAGCACAAGTCCCACTCCTGCGAGCACCGGTTCCCTCCCGTGGTCCTCCTCGCCTCGGGCTTTCAATCCCGGGATCTCCAAATAATGTACCTCAACAGCCCATCCCCCAGCTCAATACTCAAGTCAACAATGGATACTCTGCACCGATTCTTGGACCTCCTCAGCCCAGACGTGGCCCACCTAAGCTAAGTCTGGCAACCCCCGGTAACCCAGCCCCTCTTTCGATACGACCTGTTCAGCAGCAGCAACGCTCATCATCATATGCAAGCCCCGTGGCTGGAGCAAATCAGCAGTATGCGGCTTTGGGTTTTGCTATGACGTTGAAGAAACAGGTGCGGAATTCACCCGATACGAGCGGGATGGGTAGTGAATCCGCGATTCTTGGAGGGACAGGAGGAACGGGTCGCAGAGGAAGCATTGACTGGGAAAACGAAAACTTGGATGCAGATGATCTGGATGATGAAGGGTGGAGGAGCGCTAGTTTAAATGATAGAATTATAGAACTGGGAAGTCTTGGTGAAGGAGCTGGCGGAGCTGTGACGCGGTGTAAATTAAAGGGCGGAAAAAACAGTTTTTGCCATGAAGGTATGCCCCGCATTCCTCGGAAGCCATATCGGGCCGCTATCTGAAACATCTAACTGACATGGAACACCTGGATTAGATCATTACCACGGATCCCAACCCCGAGGTCAAGAAGCAAATCTTCCGAGAGCTCAGTTTCAACAAGGAATGCTCATCACCGTATATTTGCAAATACCATGGTGCATTTATGGACGTCTCCTCAGCAACCATCTCGATCATCATGGAATTTTGTGAAGGTGGCAGCTTGGATAGTATCTACAGAGAGGTGAAGAAACTCGAGGGTAGGACTGGAGAAAAGGTTTTGGGAAAGATCGCAGAGGGCGTGTTGGAGGGACTAACATACTTAAGTGGAAGAAAGATTATCCACAGAGGTTTGTGACTCTATATGGGAATTGCATGTCTATTCGCTAACCTATGATAAAGATATCAAACCCTCGAACATCCTTCTTTGTAGAAATGGGCAAGTAAAACTATGTGACTTCGGTGTTTCCGGTGAACTTATCGGCTCTAAAGGCAATGCTGATACCTTCATTGGTACATCATATTACATGGCTGTACGTTTACCTTCGCTACTACACAGCTCGAAATGACGTTTACTAACTCCCTGATTTAGCCTGAGAGAATTCAAGGGCACTCTTACACCATTACCTCCGACGTTTGGTCTCTTGGGGTTACCCTACTTGAGGTTGCTCAGCACCGTTTCCCATTTGGAAATGAAGCCGACAGTGGTGGGCGTGCTGGTTTGATCGATCTCCTCACATATATCGTCCGACAGCCAATCCCAGAACTCAAAGATGAACCTCATCTCGGAATCAAGTGGAGTGACAATTTCAAATACTTTATCCGTTGTTGGTATGTTTACCCTGTGTTCTATTCTTGATTTTCTTCTTTTTCCCCCCCCAATACTAACTTGATTTTCACAGTCTCGAGAAAGATACTGCGAGACGAGCTAGTCCATGGAGGATGTTAGAACATCCTTGGATTATCGAGATGAAAAACAAGCGTGTCAACATGGCCCATTTCCTGGGGCAAGTCTGGGACTGGAAATGAGTTAATCGACTCAGATAAGTGGGGTGTAGGTTGATATGGTCACCGTATCGCCCAGAGGAATCTTTTTTTTTTTTTTTTGAGTATGGCTGGAAAAGTTTGGGTTCGCATAAACTTCCTTATTGAGGCATCATGCATTTATTTCGTCACGAAGTCTACTCTAAGCAATTCGTGATACTTTTATTCGGCACTGCATTTGGCACTAACCTGCTTGTTTTCTGTTTATTTTCCTATTTATTTCCTTACCTCCTTTCCTTTTCCTCTTATTTTATATTATGGTTTTGGCCTTTTGTTGTGGTGGGGACCTGCATACAAGCCTTGTTATCTTGGCTTTTCTTTTGTGGGGAACCTTGCAGCACTTGGCGTGATATCTTATCGCTCTGAGGACCTTTGTGGTTACAGAGAGAGAGGTGGGCTGCTTGGCACGAGGGTCAAGGGCGTTATCTAGACCTTATTCCCTTGGTAAGGCACAACCGCATGCCTCTATCGCAGTTGCAGTTAATTGCAGCTCGCATTTACTTCGCTTTTCTCTTTGCGTTTTCTCTTGGAGTTATGGTAATCCGTTGTGGTGGGTCCATGGCGGTTGGTATCTTTTTTTCTTTCTGTCTTCATTTGATGTTTAACGTTCTCAATAAATAACTAGGAAATTTATATAAGTTTTGTTTCTAGTAAAAATAAATTATTTTGGATACCCAACTCAATTGCCTTCGCTTCAATAATCTTATCGAGTTAAGATCCTGGAAGTCAATTATTCACAGGAAGTTTCTCCGTAACCCGGATTACCGCGTTATTGTATTCGGGAAACGGATCCTCAATTATGTGAAAGAAAAAAGAAAAACTCTAAAGCCTACTCTTTGATTCCGAATTCTCTATCAACGAAGAAATCGTTGATCATCTAGACTCGTCTCTTCCAAGGCTCGATGAGCCCGAGTAACTGGATCAACGGGAGGCTAGTGATATCCGATGCAATCCTTGGAAATCTGCGCCCCAACGCTTATTTTGTAGCTTGGGATGGAATGTGGGTTTACCAGCCAGGTGATTGTATGGAAGACCATTTCCCTATCATGTGATAATAGGGATTTCGAGTCTCGGCATCACTAGCTAGTAGGTTCTAACGGTTTTATATTTTTTCTTAGCAAATGCTATTACCACGTGTGCGGAGGTGGGCCGAACTGCAATCCTTCGTCCTGGCGAGAAATTGGCAGCCAAGCCAGAATACTCGCCGACCTCTAACTTCCCCCTTTCGTTTGTCTTTAGCTAGTATCAATCGCAACCTGCACACAGAGTTGTTGATGATATGCCTAAGAAGTTATTCGGCGGAAACCAATTTCGAACTAGGTATGTGCGTATAAGTGGTTATGGATTCATAGTTTTACCTGAGGATAACAGATATGGTGAGGTAGTTAGTAGTGTAGACCCACATATCATAGATACTTTCCGTCTAGCTTGGGTCTCTAAACACACTCTCTTCATTATCATCATCTCAAGACTCGCCCAGCCAATCATTTGAACGCCAATATTCAGTCATAAAGGAAGTCTATCTGCTCTTTCTCCCATAAGCAATCATTTCGACTATTCTTCGGAAGCTCCCAACAAGCCCACTTAAATATATAGTGCTTGGTTGATGATTTATGAAGAACATCTGCTCAAAAAGTACGGTGAGCAGCCCCAAATCCGATGTTTTCTTCCTTCATTAGGTTTCTCGGATTGGGGAGGTGTTCGAATAGCTACTATGTAGCCAGCAAAGGTATTAGACATGAGCGCATGGCCGTCTAAGGAATCCTTCAATAATCATGGTCGCACACCGTTAGTTCCCCCGCCCCACCGCTTTGCAGCGTATCTTATTCTAGCTGAGTTGGCCGCGCTAATACGACCCCCTATGCCAGTCAGGAAGTACTATGGTTTATCAGTTAAAGTATTTTGAGTACCGAATTAAGGCTCCGCCACGGCGCCCCGATTCCTCTGCCTGTAGAGTACTTAGAGCCTTAGAAGTGCCTGTAGGATGATCATTCTGTGATGTTGTTGGATATTGTCTGCATCAATTTAATGTCAATTTCAAGCTGCGAAACTCTCTTGGGTTACCTCTGCCCCCTAAGCACCGGAAAGGAATATCTCATGCCCTCGGGTTGCAGGCTTACAGGAGGGTATTGTCTGGAACTGCATGTGTTATCATTATTAATACTGTTTTGACAGGCGCTTAGATGGTAAAGTCAAAAGTCAATATTTACACGAGAAGGAGGAACACTTCCAAAGCGGATTATTGTTTAAAAGCCCCCGGCTTCCAAAAAACCAATACTTAGCATCAATACACCTTGCACTATATTACGGGGATTCGAGAATCTGTAAGGCAGGAGTGCGCTTCAAACAACCGTGTGAGCCATACCAATGGATGTAATACAAGACGCCCACGCTCTGGATCCTTCATACCACACAACTACTACTGGATATTGTCTTATCAAACCGGTTATATGTGGTTTTAAAGCAAGCACAAGAAAACAGGTCAACTACATGTATGTATTATAGGCCACACCCCCGGCTCGGCTCATGGGAATACCGTTTTTCATAAATTGACAAAACGCTTTTATCTTTATTAGGATTTATGAGGCGACTTATACAATGAAAAAAAATTCATATATATTCTGGCATATCACAAGAGTATCTGGCTTGTTATTGGCCGGAATTCCAAGGAAATTATGTTTTCTCTAACGAAGGCCTTGGCTTCATCGAGTGATCTTATATGATGCTTGGCTTTCATGGGTCCACTCAATATAATTTCGGATATATCGCAGGTCCTTGTGGCAGTTGATAAATACAATATACAAGCCTCAAAATATTTAGTAAAGGGATACTGTACTCTATAGTGCTACTATAAGGTAGTCGGTCTTGGGTTCTGTTCCTCTTTATTAGCCAATAGCCTATCGGCATTTACCCGTCAATTAATCACTACCTGAGTAGTAGTAAAGAAACCCAAAAACTGCTAATATATCTAGAGAAAATTTCCCCTCTAATACTATCATCCAGATATATTGATTTTATGTACTACCTACCCCGATTGGACTGCCGAACCTAATACATACTCGATGGGTCCCTGCAAGGTTGTTACGACTTACTTTACTGAATAGGCGCATGCGTACTCGTATTTCCTACTCTTTTTGCGCTTCAGAGGCCTCGCGAGTAGGCACAATAAAGGTGCATGGAAAAAGTAATCACGCAATAATTCAAAAAAGATGTGATAGCCAAGAGAGGAGGCACTACCAATGATGTAGACATGGCTTGGAAGAGTGCTATTGCTTGGCTGCCAAGCATTAATTGAATATGTAGTGATATCTCATGATCGAACATTTGAAGCCACAGCGCTTTCTTGCATTCATGCAATAAGTTCTATGCCGTAGTGCTGCCTCAAATCGATAAGTGAGTCATGTGTCGACTAGTGTAGGCAGACGATGCTGTAACCGAGAAGGGGTTGATGGTGCAGTGTAAAATTGACCGTTTGTAGTCATGTTTTGTGTTTATGATTCGCTCGTTAACTAGGCTGCGCGAAGGTCGGATTGAAAATGTCAAGTGTGCGTAAGACGTGCTTCATAAATTATTGAAAAGGTGTCTGAATCGCCGCACAGTTGATTGCTCGGGGCATAACATGATTCGGGAGAAGTTATTAGCGGCGCCAGTGAGGTCACTCTGGACTAGAGTACAACGGCTTGCCAGAGTTGCATTAATGTGCTGCCAGCCGGGAGAATGAATCACATTCAACAGGTTAATGGTAGAGACGGATACACCCATGTGGAGATGTCTGTAAAGTGGCCATGACAGAAGATACATGTATCTATGATGCCAAGGATTCTAGTATCGTGATATCTCATGATCCAGGTGTTCAAGGTCTGTGTATGCAGATATTTGAAGCACTCTTTGACCTGGTTATTCCAAGCTGAGCCTCATTTTAATTTAACTTCAGGAATCTTCTGAAAAGTGACGCCCTTTCGCTATAGCTCACTCAATACAACCGCGATACGGCCGCGGAAACTTTAATAATGCCATGCCAATGTCGATGACGACGCTGATACATGCGATTTGGAGCCAACAGAGTGGAGACGGGATACCCCGAAAAGAGCGGTGGTGTCCAAGCGACGTGATGAGAGAGTCTGACGGACTGACAGTTCCGCGAGTCGGCGGAATGGAATGCATCTCCCCAGCGAGTCAAGCCAGCGACCGTGGGCCAGCATCTCGACCCACAGCATCTCGACTAAAACGGAAATACGAGCCAAGAAAAATTTTCCCACTGGCTCGGCGACGTGGGATCTTGCTGCTGCTGGTGCTTTTATTCCTCTTTGCCCTAACCCCTGCCTTTGATTGTCGGCAACCCCGCCAAGATACCCATTAAAGATGTATGAGTAGTTACATGTGACGAGAATTCATTATTGTTGAGAGCAAGGAAGTCAAGCGGAGTGGGTGAAAGGTGTTTCTGTTTTTCCTTTTTCTCCCTTTCTTTATTTTTCTCTTCGTTTCCCTCGTGGTCGGTATCTTCTCTCTCTGTATCTATCTGTCTACATATCAAGTTTTGTCACAGCACAGAGCACAACAACAACGGGGAGAATGGAAACGATTCCACTCCATTTTTTTTTACCTCGTTTCGTAAAAACAGAACAAGAAAAGATAACCTTGCACTGCCTCCTTATTTCGACAGGATAAATTGAGTGCTCACGCATGTTTGGCGGCAGCAGGCGGTCGAGGGGCTCAACGACCGAATCAGAGTGCTCGCACGGCTTGGCAGGACACCGCCAAGTCATGCCAAGTCACGCCAAGGATAACGCCAAGTATTCTGGAGCCGGAATAGTATTAGATGCCAATAGTATTAGGCTTGGACAGTGGCACACCCCAATCTCCAACGCCATCTGCTTCCACACAAGGCTCATGGGGCAGCAAAGTGAACAGAACGTTCACAACCTATTTCCCCCTCTCTTTCTGAGATTGATTTGTTATGCTATGCTATGCTGGGTGTATGTAGAATCTATGTATGTAAGAAGAGTGTGTAGAGGTACTGTACTCTACCAGTGCGTGGTCTGTTCGGGGGCTACTAATACATGTACTCTACTCCCTCAGTTCTCTTAGTTTAGTCTTTACTAAAAACTGTTGCATTAGAAGTGAAATTCCCTTTCTCGTGCCTGCCCCCCCCCCCACTCCCTCGTGGATTTGAGCCCGCCACACTTCTTCCTCTAGAGTTCACACCCACACACCACTACTACTCTACTACCTACCATCCCCCATATCCAATCCATCATCATCGTCCTTCCCGTTGCTTGTTAATCGGGACACTGCCCTGCCCGCCTTCTTAATCAAGCCCTCCTCCATTACTCATTAACAGCTGCTCTTCCTTTCCTCATCCTCTTCTTGTAGTTTTATTCACAACCTCCCCCACTTTATCAAACCAAAAAAGGCCCCAAACATATCCCTAAGTATTCCTCCTTCATACAGAGGGACCCCGCAGCAACCATAGATTCCATTCACTCCATCCTCGACCAGTTCGTGTCGAATCTTCCTCCCAACTCCTCTTCTACATCTCAGCAGCAGCAGCAACTGCCTGCGGCGCCCACTTCTGCTCCGCAACAGCAACCACAGCAGCAACAGCAGCAACCACAGCAGCAGCAGCAGCAGCAGCAGCAACCACAGCAACCGCAGCAACAAGCTTCCCCCGGATCTTCCAAGCTGGCTGTCCCACAAAGCCCCGCGACGGCAGCGCCCGTCGCTCCGAGTACTCCATCTATTCCGGCAAAGGAGGAGACAAACCTCGGCTGCCAATGGAACGGGTGCCAGGAAAAGTTCGATTCGCCAGAGGAGCTATATGTATGTTGACCCCGCAATGCTGTTTCGAAATTAGCAGTAGTGAAGTTGTACTGTGTCGATTAGGGAGAGGAAGACGTGTTGTCGTGTTTTTGTCTTGGGAGTTTATAGAGGCTGGGCATTTTTTTCGTGTTGAGGGGCTTTCGCTGACGTGACTACCAACTCATCAAAGAACCATTTATGCGATATCCACGTCGGTCGCAAGTCAACTAACAACCTATGCTTAACTTGCGCATGGGGCACCTGCCGAACAACAACCGTAAAGCGCGACCATATCACTTCCCACATTCGTGTACATGTGCCGCTTAAACCGCACAAATGTGAGTTTTGCGGTAAAGCTTTTAAGCGACCGCAGGATTTGAAGAAGCATGTGAAGGTAGGGGCGCTCTTTCGCTGGACTTCCGCAGTCACTTTTTTTGTCTACACTTTCAAATCTTTCCGGGTTCTCCGCTGACATCGCTTTATCGGCGCCATGTTCCACAGACACATGCGGACGACTCTGTCCTGCTCCGCAGTCCGGAGCCGGATGGTACGGGCAGACGCGCATCGGGCGTTCATCAGGCTCGCGTGGGTGCACCTTTTGCTTCAAACGGGTATGATCGTGGGAGCTCATTGCTTTCTTTACAGGGAGATAATGTACACTCTCCGTACACAACTAGTGCCGGTATGCAACGTGAGTGATCTTTCATGTCGCAGAAAAAGAGAGCAAATGACTGATATAAATCATAGCCCTCGCAGCTACAGCCGCGCAGGCGTATTATGGAAGTATGCATCCCCAACCTCTTAATTTTGGTACACATCCTCATTTTGTGTCAGGCCTTGGGGCGTATTATCCGGCTCCGAACGGCGCACCGAATCCAGGAGTTTATTATTACCCCACCCCCCAACCCGCGCCTCAACAGGACGGAATGAACCAGCAGCAGCAACCTGGTGGCGAGAGCAAAAAGCGAGCATTTGATGGCGTAGATCAATTCTTCGAGGACGCCAAAAGGCACAAAATCCAGCCGGTTTATGATGGCAACATGGCACAGCGCCTATCTGCTTTACAACAATTCGTGCCTACCACCTCTGGAGAGACTGTTGACTTTAACGGACACCATGCTGCAACCGTTACTGCCCCCGCTGCTGGCCAAAGCCAATACACGCTCCCATCTCTGCGTACCAAGCAGGACCTCATTGATGCTGACCATTTCCTGACCCAGCTCTCAGCCAATGTATATGAAAGCCCTGCCGCTGCAGCGGCCGCCGGCGTCCCCACTGGAAGTCATTTCACTCAGCCTTACCGCAATAACCAGCCGACTTCCCCGCATGGTACTCAGACACAGCAGCATAGTCCTAACCACACACCTGGTCACGATAACGCACCTGCCGCAGCGGCGATTATGCAAGCCTCAAACTCAACTAGCTCGGGCGGTACCTCCGCTCTGACGCCTCCAACATCAAACTACACTACTTCTCACTCGCCTAACCAGCATACAACACCTCCGTCTTCATCGCCACAATCTGCAACATCTATGTACCCCAGTCTCCCGGCTATCCCCACTAGTGGCGAGGCATACCCCGCACCTGTCTCAACAGCTCCAGCATCATCCCTTGGTCCTACTTTCGAATCAGAGCAAAGGCGTAGAATCAGCGTCGGTGTTTTGCAAAGAGCAAAACCAGTTCAAGCGGACCAGGATGTGGATATGGATAGAGATGACAATGCGGACAAGAAGAGCGAAGTATCTGATAGCCTAATTGACCCAGAACTCGGTGCCTTGTCGGCGGAGGTTTCTGCTCCAACAGCCCCCGAAGACCCTGCAAAGGAATGGGAAAAGAACATCGAATTACTCTCAAACCTTAGGGATTATGTTAAGAACCTGCTGCAAGAGGAAGAAAAGAAGGAACTCACGGAGCAGGATCAGGTGATGACCGACCAAGATGGTGGTGTCAACGCAGAACCTGGTCAGGAAGGTGTCGACAACGGAGGAGCCGAAAAAACCGAGGAGCAAACTGATGAGCAGGCTCTCTACCCAGTGCTCAGAGCAGTAGCTGTTGCCTAGGTCTGCAAATAACAGGGCTGGAAATATTGCATCCCCCAAAAAATCATGGGTATTGGGGGGGGGGGTAAAGTTGGGTTGCGAGAGAGAGAGTAAGGGTTATTTTTTTTCAACTGTTGTGGTCTCTTTTGTTGGGATAGGTTGTAACGTTTCCTCGATTTTTCTTCTTATTGTTCTACTAAGTATTATTGGTCTATGTGTGTTCCGTACTTTCACTTCTTACCTCATGTCCTTCTCTTGCCATCTTGAAAAAGAAAAAGGGTGTAACCTTACTGTCTCTGTTCAGAAGGGGGTCTACTTCTTGTCTCTGTCTCTATGATGAATGTTTTGGTGTGGCTTCTATTGTCTTGGGTTGCTGTTGCGATGGTATTTCCATTGATATGTCTTGTCTTGTCGATTTGCCTTCACCCCAGCTATCCTGGCAAGTAAAAATTATATAGGTGGTGGTGATGGTGGGATAAATGGGAGGTGTTTCAAATTTTCATGAATTCTTACATTGGAAGCTTCTTGGTCTTGGGATTAGGGTGATTTCATTTTGAAGGGGGAAAAAGAGAGATATGTTAATACAATGGCAATGATCACGAACATTGCTGCTGGGCTAACAGTGGCTACTGGCAACCTTCCCTCAACCCCTATTATTACTTCAAAACAAGCTACTGGGTAGAGGTAGGCTCAGAATGTGCACAAAAAGCTCCCGAATCAAAGTCAGCCTTGCCATGCCAATCAGATTTAAAGTCGTCGTCAGTGTGCTTTGAGATTGTGCAACGTTCTGGTGTCTGAACGCTCCACTTGTCTTCATCCGATCTCTTAGCTGTGGCTTGGTACGGTTGAAATCACTCGGTCCTCCCATTCCATCTGCCAAATTATGCTTGGCCCCAAGCCAAACCAAGCAAAAACCAAGACTTCAGCCCTTGATGACCTGCCGTTTGAGCGATAAAGGACTGTATGGGTATACGTACTCATGTATTTTAGGAGAAATCTGGTATCGTCTCGTGCCTCCATTACGAGAGATTGGTGGGATAGATAAATCTGAGGTCTGGGGGGAGGTTTTGAAGCGTTGTCATTTGAATGGCGGCTGTCTTAGGGAACCACAAACCAGTTCTGGTTTGCGTCCGATTAGAGTATTGAGACCTTTCCTGAAGAGAGTTCCCCCTTTAAGCTTGTGTGAAGTAGAGTAGGTAGGTAGGTTACATGTCAATATCCATATGGAACATGGAACATGCCGTCCACAAGGCCCTGTCGACCGGCTAGACTCGTGGAGTACGTTTAAGTTGACCTCACTTCACTTCACACCCAAATATTCTGATACGCGCCAAGTCCCCGAGTAGGTCAGGCTTTCCCGAAATTTTAGAGTTTTGATCCGGTTTTGATCCCCGCAGGACCGACAGTCGGCAAGGACCCGGCCTCCACGCTGCATGGATCATCGCTAGTAGTTAAGGTAGGGTAGGTAGATAGCTGTGGAGTACCGAAGAGAGCCGCCGAGACCACATACTCCCTTTTGTGCAAAAAAAAAGTTCCTTCGATCCAGTGTGGCCAGTATATAAAAACCCCTGGAAATAAATTTTCCCAACTTGACGTAAGGATGAGTACCAGTCAAGGACCGATCCAAGTGGTCACTGAAACAGGAACGGGAATTAGCATGGCGAGCTCTTCAACATCGTTTAATGGGGTGTCTGGGAAGAATTGGGGAGAAGGTAGTCATGGGCAGGTATGTGCTGTTGTCTTATGCTTATGTTTTGATAGCAGCGCTAATGAATGGAACGATGGCATAGTCGCAGGCGCGATTGAAAGAACAACCACCGCAGCACACTGCGCACACAAATCGATTGTCTACAACTATGTCGAGAGGCTCCATTGGTGGCGGGACAGCATCAACAAAAAAGACAATGTGGTTGGGAAGAGGAATGGTCAATGACATTAGGAGGAGGGCGCCATACTACTGGTCGGATTGGACCGACGCGTGGGATTATAGGATTATCCCTAGTACGAGTAAGTGACAACGCCCAATATGGAACTATCATGGGTTTAATGCTTACAATCTGGTGATGTAGTTTATATGTTTTTTGCAAAGTAATGACTCGCATTCCTAAGAGAACGACTCTAGAAACAAAAATCCAAACGGTTCACTCACTAATCACTGAAAATTGAAATATAAAGTGTTTTACCAGCTCTTGCTTTTTCGTTTGACATGTGGGTCATAAATATATCATTGGTTCAAGTAGTGGTTGAATTATCATTGACACCTTTATCCGGTATTAGGTTCGAAAAGACCGATATGTCATATGGCGTAAATGAGGTATTGCTTGCTTCTGTACTCGGCGCTGTAGTGTTTTCATTCTTGGCTGCGCAGCCATTGTGTATTGTGGGTGTTACTGGTCCTATCACAGTATTCAACTAGTAAGTTTCCATTTGATCATGGTATAGGTTGGGACATTTTAATAACTTTTTGGGTAGCACTGTTTACGATATTGTGACCCCAAGGTATTTCTAGTCCAAAAAAAAAAAGATATCGAACCAGCATCAAATAACATCATAAACAGGGGAATTCCATACTTCAAGTTTATGTGCTGGATTTGTCTGTGAGTATCCCATGCAAACTCCCGGCCTGTCAGCTGAGCTCAACTAAAACTATGATCAGGTGGTCAATGGTCATGCACATTATACTTGCCATTACCAACGCCTGCAATGCGGTCAAATGGGTTACTCGCTTCTCCTGCGACATCTTCGGGTAGGTGCTCTATCTTTATACCCATCCGAGTGCGTACTTATCGTGTCTGTCTCTTAGATTCTATGTTGCCTTTATCTATCTCCAAAAGGGAATCCAGATTTTGACGCTCCAATGGCATGCAAGTGACGCTGCTGCTCATCTGTCCATCTCTATCTCATTACTTGTGTTAATGATTGGGTACGGTTGTGGAGTTATTGGGGATAGCAATCTTTTCAAACAGCCAGTCAGGACGTTCTTGAAAGACTATGGCACGCCTCTAACTGTCATATTCTTTACGGGATATCAGTTTATCGGAAAAATGGCGGATGTTAAATTGGAGCAACTTCCAATCTCGAAGGCATTTCATCCGACAATTGACAGGTCATGGGTGGTTGACTTTTGGAATATTGAAGTTGGCCATGTATTTTTGGCAGTTCCGTAAGCGTGCCTAGATTACAGCGGAAAGCTAGGCTTGGGAATTCGCTGACAGGCGTTGCAGATTCGCGATTTTGTTGACTATCCTGTTCTACTTTGATCATAACGTTTCTAGTCTTATTTGCCAGGGCAGTGAGTTTCCGTTGAAAAAGCCAGCTGGTTTTCACTGGGATATCTTCATTCTCGGAATTACCACCGGTGTCTCTGGTATCCTGGGACTCCCGGCTCCGAACGGTCTTATTCCTCAGGCACCATTCCACACTACGTCTCTCTGTGTTACTCGAAAGAGGGTGGACGATGCAGAGGAACACAAGGGCAAGACTGAAACTGTGATTGACCATGTTGTTGAGCAGAGGGTCAGCAATCTCTTGCAGGGATTAATGATATTGGGGGTCATGACTGGACCGCTGTTAATTGTTCTTGCGTTGATTCCGCAAGCTGTGTTAGCTGGATTGTTCTTTGTTATGGGTATTCAGGCGTTGGAAGAGGTATATCTATTTTTTTCTCAATTCCCGGAAGCTTGAAGCTAATTGTATTAAAGAACGGAATGACACTCAAAATCGCCTATCTTCTGAAGGATCGTGCGTTGACCCATGGTGGGGATCCGTTGAATAGATGCAGAAAGGGAGCGGTTTGGGCGTTCGTGGCCATTGAACTCGTAGGATTTGGAGCAACATTCGCAATTACACAGACAATTGCTGCTATTGGGTATGCGTTGACTTGGTAGTTGAAATTGAGGAATGAGCTGATGGTTATATAGGTTCCCAGTGTTCATTTTTCTTCTTATTCCTATGAGGACAAATCTCCTACCAAGATACTTCACCGCCGAAGAACTGGGGATTTTGGACGCACCGACTGCATCACCGTTTACCCTGGAGTCAGCCGGTGGTAGCTATGGTGACTACCCAGAGAGTGTTGATATCAGCCCCCAGGATTCTGAGACAATCGATACCGGTGCCCTCTCAGATAGTGATGAGAGTGTCATGGAAAGGGGGGATTCGATGAGACTGGAAAGGAGAAGGCCTTCCGCTGTGAGACCTGGCAATGAAGTTGAGATTGAGGAAGGGCCACAGCATAGACGGGCACGGAGGTGAAAAAAATATTAGATGTAATTCATTTTGATCAGGTGAAATTAGGATTGTAATAAGGGACGGGGGTAAATTAGAGTATGTATGTAGCTACACGACCACGAATTAGATATCACGAATTGAACTGCTGCGAGTTTACTATCATATCGAAAATGAGATATACATGCACATGCACAGGCATAGGTACAAAATGCTTCTTCATAACCCCATCTGGATTGACAGGAGAATAGAGTAGAACGTGGGGCTCGTTTCCAAGGGTTACCAAGGATCCTTCGTCTTGGCAATTAAACAACATTGTTATGCAAGTGGGGGAACGGATCGCAACCAGAGCTCTCTCTTCTCCTGCAGGTTCAACCACCTCCGCAACGCAACCTTCTCGCTCCATCATCAGCACCTTTCATTTGCTTCCACTGTGCTTAACCTCTGCACCTCTCTTGCATACCCGTCAAATAGCTAACACACTCTTCTATCTACCTAACTAATTAATTCTGACATCATGGGTGAATCAAGGTACGAAAACACCAGAATAAAGAAATCCCCAATCCCCGCCCCTGTTCAACGGCCCTGTTCAATAAACTCCCCCGCTTCCACGTTTTTTTGCGGCTCCACTGACATCGCTGTAGACAAGAACTCCTTAACTGGGTAAACAACCTTTTGCAGCTTAACATCACCCGTATAGAGCAATGTGGAACTGGGTATTCTCCTGATCCCTCCCGTTTGGGACTTGCCTTGACTGGCACAAGCGAGTCACTTAGAACTGACAGCTACCTTCTGGAATAGTGCCGCCCTGTGCCAGATCATGGATTCGATTTATGGTTAGTAAAGCTCTCGAACGACGGCGGATTTAAAGTTCGAAGGGGGTTGAACTAAAGATCAAACAGGGGATGTGCCTATGTCGAAAGTCAAGTTCAACGTTAACACCGAATACGCGTACCTACAAAACTACAAGATCCTCACGAGTACGTGTTTGCCCCCTTTACTTAGCAAATATGGCTTGCGTTATACGCGTGGCTTTTTCTGACTCCGACCCTGCGTTCTCCTTAGATGTTTTTACGTCGCATCAGATCGAGAGGCCAATCCCGGTCGAGCGTCTAGTCAAGTGTAAATTTCAAGATAATCTCGAGTTTTTGCAGTGGACGAAGCGGTATTGGGATCAGTTTTATCCCGGCGGAGACTATGATGCGGTCGGTCGTAGGGCGAAAGCGGGTACAATGGGGGCAGGACCGCCTGCGCCTGCTGCTAGGTCAAATGCAGCAGTAAAGCGTGGAACTACGCCAACTGTTGGAGGAGCTGCCCGTACCAGGACTCCCCTTGGCGGCGCTAACAGCGCTGCCCTCCAACAAGAAGTCGCCTCGTTGAAGGAGAATGTTACCGGCCTCGAGAGGGAAAGGGATTTTTACTTCAGTAAACTGAGAGACATCGAGTTGCTGGTTCAGCGCGCAGTTGAGGAAACTCCGGAGATTGAACAGGATGAGGACGGCCTTGTCAGGCACATCCAAGCTATTTTGTACTCGACAGAGGTAGAAGACACTTCCGATCATAAACCACAAACAAATGCTAATATTGAGAAGGATGGCTTTGAGATACCTGATGCGGTTGAAGAAGACGCTGAAACCTTCTAAATGATTCGCCCATTCGAAAAATTCCACTACTATAACTTCAGTGTGTTTTGTTTAAAACCTCGTGGGTACCTAGTTGATCGTTTTCGGAGGTTATGCGTTCTTGTTTCATTTTTTCCAGCCCCTTCATACCAGTTTGTTACTTCTGTTACTTTACTACCTTGTATTCTCAAAAACCCTTCAATTCTACGTTGTGATCGGTTTCTATTTTTCTTTTGCGTTATTCATCCTGGGATTTAGGGTAAAAGCGTGGCTTGGTTGATTTTCTAAGCGTTTGGTCTGTCTTTGGGCATGGAGGATGTGTCCGATACTGGACCATGGTCAGTATAATGGGGGATACATAGATGGGTGAGGTGGAGGAAAGCCATAGCCATAGGCGTGTTCCTGTATTGAAAACACGCAACAAAAAAAAACGGGAAAACAAAAAGAAAAGCACAAACAAATTTCATCTATATATTACGAATGTTTGTAGAGTTATTATGGTTTAGAATTATAAGTGTATATTGCATTCGGAGATTTCCATGGTATTATGACCAAGGATTCAAGAAACGTGACTAGTGAAGCGGCACTCCGGACACCTCAACCATTCGCTCAGTGTCTTAGGACACGACAACTCACCCAAACCCTAAAATTCAATATCCCCAAGCTCCCTCCCAAACGCAGGATCTTTTCGTGCAGGGTGTATGAGCACCCTAGAACAGACTTACAGATAACAGACACAGCACAATGTCACTATTCACAGGAATTCTCCAGAGCCAAGCTCCCCCGAAGCAAGATGCGACCTCAACCATCCAGACACTATGCCTGCGATTATCAACAAGTACGTTATTGGAAGACCGGAGAGCGGCGATTCAAGGGCTGCGCAGCTTTGCGAGGGAGTACAAAGAGACTGTTGCATCAGGGGGATTGAGAGGGTTGATTGGGACATTGAGCAAGGATGCGGAAGACGTCGACACTATCAAAGTAGTGTTGGAAACACTGCTGTTGCTGTTTGTTAAAGATGAATCAAATGTTAGTTCTATCATAGCCGGGTTTCTTTTTTCATGATAGTTATGAGGGAGCTGCGTGGTGGGGTGAGCTTGTGGGTCAGAGAAGCTAGAGCAGGACTGGAGGGTGGAACCTACAGCATGTACTGACCATCGTGTGCAGCCGGAATCTTCAGAAGATATAGCATTGTGGCTCACCGATGAGTTCACTCAGGTTCGCGACCCAAGATTGAGTTTGGGTCTCAGTGAGCTGATTTATGGATGCAGAAGCAAGAAAATATCACGGTGCTGATCGATCTCCTACAAGATAGTGATTTCTACATCCGTCTGTACACGCTACAGCTTCTGGTCGCAATTCTTAATAATCGACCATCAAGAACTCAAGAATGTATCCTCACAGCTCCACTGGGGATTTCCCGCCTTGTCTCAATTCTTGACGATAAGCGGGATGCAGTCAGAAATGGTACCCCCCACTGCCTCGTATATAGATTATAGTCTCTAATATCTTATAGAGGGTATCTTGTTGATAATAAACCTTTCCTCTGGTCATACTGATATCCAGAAGCTCATTGCCTTTGAGAATGCTTTTGAAAAGGCCTTCTATATAATCGACTCTGAAGGTGGTATTGACGGTGGTATCGTAGCGCAAGACTGCCTACAGCTGCTCTCAAATTTACTGTCGTATAATGTGTCCAATCAGAGCTTTTTCAGAGAGACCGGCTGTGTTCCTAAGCTAGCAAAGCTGTTTGAGTTCGACCAAAGAGATGTAGCACCGTACGCAAAAGACCAGAGGGACACTAATGTTCAATATGCGACGAGGGTTGTGAGATTATTCGTTGTTCCAGGGGGGTTGGGGACTGCCGCAAACCAAATGGCGTTTTTCAATGCGGGGATCTTGCACTTGATGCTGATAATCGCATTTTCCGCTTTTAGCGATTATCCAACCCGGGCCGAGGTAATGGGAATCCTGAAAATAATTTTGGAGGATTCGTAGCACTGATCAGAATCGAATTCAGGCCTTGAAAGCAGTTGCCGATTTGATTCGCGAAAACGACGTCCTCCAAGAGAACTTTGCACAAATGAAGGTTACTTATCTTGATCCCACCGTTCCACCTGAGGTTCAGATACAGCAGTTCAAACCGGATGATATGTGCTATGTTATTGAGGGTCTACTGGACCTAGCATTATTGACTTCATCAATCAATGCGTTTGATGCAAGATTGGCTGCCTGCCGGTGTCTTGAATCCTACTTCGCTGGGAATCAACCAGTGCGATTGCATTTCCTGAATCACGCCATTAATCTACATATGAATGGAGACCCATCTGCGAATATCCTCACATGTCTGATAAACCTCGACTCGGATTCTCGCGGCGATCCGTATCGTGTCTGGCTTGCAAGTGTCATCTTTTTGCATCTTGTCTATGATGACGGGGAAGCTAAGGCACTTGCAACTTCTGTCACTGAAGGCGATGCTGAGGCTGGCGAAGAGGTTGTTTCGGCGATCCAGAGTATATCTGCCAATTTGGTTGCTGCTTTGGAACACAACTATGACCCGCGAATAATCGTTGGTTATCTGATGCTATTGTGCGTGTGGCTATATGAAGATTCGCCAGCAGTTGATGACTTCTTAACGGAAGGATCAAGTGTACAGTCGTTGGTCTCGGCGGTGAAGCAGAGTAGTAATTCGAATGTGTTGGTGCAAGGGTTGTGTGCATTCTTCTTGGGGATTTTGTATGAATTCAGTCATAAGGATTCGCCCATCCCCCGGTAAGAGCTCTAAATAATCAATGTTTTGGGAATGTTTATGTTGACTTGGATTTGTAGAGCCACACTACATCCTATATTAGCTAGTCGTATGGGGCGAGATCATTACCTTAATAAAGTCACAAAGCTGCGAGAAAATCCTCGTGTACGGGACTTTGAAGTTTTTATGGAAGTCCCCATGAGCAGAAGGGGAAGCGGGCTTCCAGATGTTTTTTTCGATCACACCTTTATCGATTTTCTAAAGGATAACTATAGTCGAATACTACGAGCCATTGACAAAGACCCATCGGAAGCACACACAGGCTCGAATGGCAAATCAAACGGAATTTCTGCAGAAATGCTGGAATCGCTCAAAACACAGCTTGAAGAGAAAGAGGAAGAGCTTTCACAACTGCAGACAACAATTTTGAGCCTCGAGCAGCGAGTAACGCAAGAACAACACGAGGTACAAAGAACAAAAGAGGTAGCTACAGCAGAACTGCATCGACAGAGGGAAGCAACAGAAGTGTTACGGCGGAAACATGAAGCCGACGCTACCGCTGCTGCTGAGCGAAATAGAGCTGCTGTTGCGGAAATCCAGCGTATCAGATGGGAGACAGAGCAAGCAGCACGGGAGAACATGGCATTGAAGAGGCGAGTAAGCGAGCTCGAAAATGAGTTGAAAAGAAGGGTGGCAGAGCTAGATGGCCAACTGAAGAGGAAAGTAGCGGAGATGGAGAGCCTGATGAAGAAGAAAACCGCGGAACTAGAGGCTGAGATTGATAAGACAAAGAGGGAGACGAATTTACAGCTTAGGATGGCGACCGAAGACCACCAAGCCGCAATTTCTGAAGTAGAGAATCGAGTTAAGAGAGCAGAGATGGCTCTTAATGAAGCACAGATTAAGGAGAGGGAAGCGGCGACCAGGGCACAGACAGCTGAAGCGGCAGTCGCGGCTGCAGAGAGTAGAACCAAAGAAGCTGTGGAAAACGTACATGCTGCGGACCAAGCGGTTAAGGCAGCCAACGACACAGCTAAGGCTGCCGAGGAAAGGGCTATGGCGGCAGAAGAGACGGCCAGATCGGCCGAAGAAAAAGTTAAGACAGCATCAGATGCATCCAGGGCAGCCAACGAGAAAGTGACAGCTGCAGAGGAGTACCTAAGACTCTCAGAAGAAAAGGTAAGGCTTTTAGAAGAGAGTAAGCAGGTATTGGAAGAGAAAGTGGCTGCGATGATGGAGAAAGTCAGAGCTGCAGAGGGGTTGGCGGAATCGTTGGAGGAAGGAATGAAGGAGAAATTCCGGATTGCAGAGGAGTCAGCGAAATCGTTGGAGGAAGAAATGAAGGAGAAGCTAAAGGCATCAGAAGAAGTCATAACCGCAGCCAACTCAAAGGCAGCTACTGCCGAGGAGCGCCTACAGACCGCAGAGGAGAATAAGAGGATTGCAGAAGAGGAGCTCAAGGCGGTAGAGGAGAAAACCAATATTGCACAGGAGAAAGCACAGGCCGCAGAAGAGGAAGCCAGAGTTGCAAAAGAAAAAGCAGTGGCTGCAGAAGAGAGAGCAATAGCTGCAGAAGAGAAGATTAAAGTCTTGGAAGAGAGCGCAAAGTCCGGCGACGGAAAGGCCCAGGAACGACTCCACGCCGCAGAAAACACGGCAAAAACGGTGACCGAGAAGATCAAAGCCATCGAGGACCAACTTAAGTCTTCGGAAGAGGAGAAGAAGAAGGCGGATGAAGAAGCCAAGAAGGCTCGGGCAAACGCGACAGAAGCGGAGCAGAGGATCAGCACGGCAGAGGAGCAGGCCAAGACTGCCAAAAAGGAGAAGGATGATGTCCAGACACAACTGGAGGACCTTCTCATGGTGCTAACAGATCTCGAGGAGAAGCGGAAGAATGATAAGGTATGTCTAAGGTACCGGGCGTCATAGGTCGTTTACTAATTATTTACTGCGCAGGAACGGTTGAAAGCCTTGGGACAGGAGGTTTCAGACGATGAAGATGATGACGATGAAGAAGGCGACGATGAGGATGAGTAGATTGGGAGACTGCAGTGGATAGTGGGGTGGGGCGGGTATGCTTTGTGAGACATGTAAAAACTGTAAATAATACCAGAAGAGTTATTCGGCGTTTGTGTCGAGTGATATTTCGTGTATATGTTGAAAATATGTAGGCGATCAGAATATGTTTCTGTTCCTTCCGGCCTACGGGGGGTTCCAGAGTGAACCCAGTGATCAATTCTCATCAAAGGTTGTCTGGTTAAGATTCACCGAGTGATAGTCTGTGTTGGAAACCCAATGACGCGGCCTCGGACCCCCGTAAAAGAAAAAAAATTATTCAGATCAGATACACGATTCCTTTTCTGATTTCAAAAACGCTTGAACTTTCGAACCACCATGATCCGCATCTAACTTTTCTTTAGAAGCAAAAAAGCAGTGGAACAAAACTATTCAAAGATGGTATATATATACATGACCCTATAACCTACGCCATAACCCTTCCATTCATCCTCAATTCTCATTTTAATTTTGATTCAATAAGAAATAGCGTACACACTCCCTACAAAAACAAGCTCCATCTATTTCCCAATCTTAAGGTCAATTTTGCTCACGATCCAGCTTAGCGTGAACATGGCCATCAATGCACTGAACATGACAAACGGCTTCCTCAAAGCTTCGCTCTGGGGTAGATGGTAGCTGACAACAAGCTCTTTGCGATGCTGCTCATCTACTACGTTGACAGCAGTGAGCTTCACGGCGGTGCGGCCGATTGTGTCCATAAATGTCTTGTGGAGATACCTTTCCTCCTTGACAAGAGGAATGGGAGAGACGTATTTCACATTACTGGACCTCTATTAGTTTATCTCTTTTGGATGAGTAATGAGCAGGGATAGCTTACGTGGCGCCTTCAGGCAACACAATAGTAACCTCAAGATCTTTGTAGGTGACAGCTTCCTTTGGACCCTCCAGGAAAGGAACCTTGAGAACAAAATCCTCGCCGTTCTTGTGTCCACGGACAAAGTCACGGAGATCGTGGTTCCATCCGGTGACGAAGGTATAGTTCCATCCACCGAAAACTGGGTAACGAGGCTTGAGCTCGAGGTTTGCTTCACGCATGTTTGAGCGGAAGCGGGAAGTAGACACATTGCCGATTTCGTCAGTGAAGTAAGGGTCCTTCGCGCCAACACTTAGAGGGAAAGTGAGCTGCTTGATGGCGGTAGTGGGGGGGTTGTAGTAGTTCGTTGCAGCCCATGCGACACGGGAGAATTGGTCTTTGAGCCTTTTTTTATTTGTTAGCATCTTTGGTGGCGGTTTAGCTGTTCGACAGGACTACATACTTAGCGCCGTTGTTTGTCATCCAGTAACGTTCCTCGATGGCGAGGTTACCACCCCAATGGGACACCTCGATGAGCCTCTCCATACGATCCATCTTAATCACCGGGTTGGTATACTCGAATCGAAGAGTGACTTCTTCACCAGCGTTACCAGCCTCAACAACAGAGTAGGGTCCGAAAGTAAACTGATTACCAGACTTGGTAGGGTCTTCGGTTCCATCAGCCTTGGGCTCGAGCTTGGTAAAGTCAGGAACTTCATTGCTAGCAAGTTTCAATTTGGTCTTCTGCTTCTCGGTCGTGTACGCGGACAAAGCGTATTGATTACCGGTCCATTGTAGGAACTGCTTCTCGACTTGGGTGACTTGCGCAGGAACTGGGACAAGTATATCCGTAGCTGCTAAACTGATTTGAAGAGTGATGGAGTGTCCAGCAGGGACATCAGGTTCGAAGAGAATACGGTAGTATTGTAAAGAACTATGTTATCGATAATTAGAGCTGTAACTCTCCCCACCATTACTATTTTGCTTCTCACTCACCTATCATCATTATACTTCACAGGAGTAACTACAAACTCCTCTCCCGAACCCTTCTTATTTCTAGCTTCCACATAACTCAGCTTCGGCAATGTGGCCTTATCCACCGGCAGATAGAACTCGTTCTGCGGCTGTTTCGAGATATTCTCGACGACCGCAGCAATGATCTCGCGCGCGTATGGCTTTGTGAGGTCAATTGTTCTCAACAGATTACTCTGTTTGAACACCCGTGGAGGCGTGAAGTCCGCCGGAAGAACAAGTTGTTCTGCAGCAGCTGCCAAAGTCGCAAATAGCGACACTAAAGCGCCCCAATTGTGAAGCGAGCGCATTGTGTGAACTGATATTTGCGGGGGATATGTTTTTGATTTAGCGTGAGTTTGTTGGGCTTTTTTTTCGTTAAACGGAATGCTCCAACGGATGGAAGCTGTCTGTGTGGAAGGCCAGTTTCACTTATTTAGGAGAGCTTTGTGAGGTTACGAGACGTGTTGCGAAGCGGAACGAGGCAAACCCCTGCACGGCGTATTATGGAGAACGCCAATACAAGACAAAAGAGGTGCGAGTGATGGCTGATGGTGCCGATATACCGACCAACCAAGTAGTTATCATGAGCTTCTTGATTTTTCGATATTATTCCGCATCTAGTCATGCTCTTCTACTTCTGTGAAAGTTACAACGTAACGAGTCGTAAATTCAACCTTGACCGCTCTTGGGAAATTTAAGTAATACATAAACTGTTGTGTTACACACAGTGGCCGTGGGATCGAAGGCCGAGGAAGATTTTTATCTCCAATTATTTTTGGATAGGAATGTGTAAAGGTGAGGGGCTTGAGAAGACTAGTAATATTTTTGGCCATGAGGGTTTAGGTTAAAGCACCTTGATATCACAAGGAATCCCGCTATTGGAAACTTTGAGTCCTCGTGAGAAAGCTCTGCCAGTCGCTATATCAATTCTCCAATAAATGGTCTACAATGACCGAGAAACATGACACTGTAATACTTTCGGGGCATCCACATTTACTTCCCCGAAAATGGCTCTGCTCCTCAACTCTTGAGTCTAGCCCGGCGGGGAGGTAGTTTGACGTGTGTGTTGTTGCATTGGGAGAACAAATTATAAGAGCTTGGCTCAGTTACTATACCTCTAGGCGCCGATTTACACTTACATGTATCTCTCCATCTACTAGACTAGGTTTAAGAGCTTAGAACCCTACTTCTTACCTTATCTAAGAATCAAGCTCGCCCGGTTGTATTTCAAAACCTGGGCCGCCATTTGTGGCCACTACAAGACCACCCACCCATCTTCTCAGATCGGCACAATAATGGCTCAGCAATACCGCAAAACACTACCCACCGGGGAATTGGTTCATCTAGGAGGGGATATCTCACCAGCTGATGTGCACCAGGCCGGCCCTTTGAGCTTCAGCTGGAATTCTTTTGTGACCCTCCTTCTCTTTACCTAAGGCTCTGTTATTTCTACGGTAGTTCCTGGATATTATTGGTAAACAGGGGGAAAGAACCAAATGGCGGAGACAGTACCTTTCATCCACTCGCATAGCTATGTCTACGAACTTAGGTTCTTCAGCATCACCGCCTCTTTAGCGGTATATTTACCCTGAACTGGTTAAATACAGTCTCATTGTACCAAGTCATAGCTTAGTGATAGGATTTGAAGTAGGCATGCTGGCTGGAGCAGCTGTTCAAGTGTACGAGCCATAAATATCATCTTATCAATGAAGGAGAGGGAGATGTACCCGCGACCAAAAGATTAGCCTTATAAGCTTGTGGGAAGCATACAAGCTCCGTGTCTGTTCATTTCACTACCGGTAGCATACGAAAGTCATATCTTTCACCACCGACACCACCCATAGTAGTTATAGTGGAGGTAAAAGTGAAGCTTACACGTGTATAGCCACTGTATGACAACCAAAGTGTCTACTAAAACTAGAGATGTGGAGAGCTCCTCACCTGGATCACCCGAGAAAGCGAGATTATGAGCTAGGCTGTCGGGGGAATAGAGAGTATTTATTAAGTGTCAAATCCGAGAATTGACACCTTGAAAATGACGGTTGCGGGAGGCAACATTGACAGTTCCCCTCACTCACACAAGGAGGTATGATGGGAGAAACTTTGTAGATAAATAATTCTTCACGCTTACTAGGAAATACGCTCGCAGGATGTGAACTATACGCAGTATAGAAAACATCTCCAGGCGTATGCTATATCCCCACCTCGAGAAATAGGTCAAAATTGACGGTTTCGGCAACCACCTTTTAATGTGGCGAAGTGTAAATTGCCGGTTTTGACACTTGATAAATACTCTCTAATAACGAGCTGTGAGTGATGGTTAGCGCCACGTCTTGGCATTTCCCGTAATGTTACATGATGGCCCCCGGGCCCCACACGCCCGCTCGGGCCAAACATTGAATGCGACACATCAATCGCTCGGACTCATCTCCTGTACCCGGAATCGGTGCTGTTAAATCGTATTGAGTGTTGCGTGCTTCATGAGCTAAGATTCGTAGAGCGAGTGATAGATTATGATCCATGATATCTATTACGATAGAGCTGCCGCGGTCATCTATATCTATCTACCAAACTAACTGACAACGTCCAGGGAGCCGCTGGCAGACAAAGAGTCTTTTCTCTGCGGCAGAGATAGACGGAAGATTGCTATTTTATAAAGTCTCCACTAAACCGTTGCCATCCATCAACCACTACACTGTAATACAACAAAACCAATCTAGTTAGCATCCTTTACTTTAGTAACGGCCTTTTTTCTCGTATGTTCCATCGCTGCTTCATTCCCGGGGAGTCCTAGGCCTCGATGATTCGTCTCTACAGTTTCCGGAACAGTTATTGTGAAGAAAGTCATGGAAAACCCACTTTTACAAAAAAAGATTCTACCGGAAACTGTAGTACATTGCGAAGACTAGCCGTAGGACAAGCTCTATAGTCCCGCTTTGAACGTTCCCCGGTACTCGCAGTGCGGGCTTACAATACCTACATGTACCTATCACCAACATTTGATAATCCAGTAATGTGTTGGGCGGGGTAGCCCCCCAGCCTCAGAGACAAGCACAGTCAAGGCCAGGTCCGCCAGCAGCAAACCCGCCCAGAGAGGTTAGTCCCGTAAACAGTGTTTTATGGTGAATTCGAATTAGGGATAAACGGTTCTTGGCACAAATTACACGCCTCCGCTTAATTTGGATGATGCCCCACCGTCCGAGTGACAGGGGATGACGGGGGTGGGGAAAAAAAGGCGACCAGCGATCCAATTCAACCGGCCGAACCTTTGGGGGATAGAACGAGTAGCCTGGCCTCTGGATGGACGGAAAACAAACACCGAAGTACATATTTACAGAAGTGGGTTACTAGGTTTTTTTTTTAAAAAAAATATATGTACTCATCGCATGGTATCATAAGAATATTTTTCAGCGAAAAGCAAAAGAACCAAACACTCATAACTCCCTTTTCAGAAAGAAAGAAAATAAAAATAAAAAAAGGAAAGGAAAAGGCCCCAATTCCAAACCCAAATCCTATTTCACTCCAATTCCATCTATAAAATAAGATATCCGTCCTCCCCCCCAAACCACCAACAGCTAGGGCAGTCAACCAAAAAGAAGAAAAAAAACACAATCAATATATATAAAATTCAAAGCCCCAACTTTTAGTTTAGTTCCAGAATTCTAAAAGTCGACCATGGTGGGTTGAAGATGCCTGCCACAAGGGGAAACGGTAAAAAAAAGGAAGAAAAAACACGCCCCCCTACTGGTTGCTTCCAAAGGAAGTTGAAGACGAAAGCTGAAAAAATAATTGCGTACGCAACCACATTACACACAAGGAAAAAAGGCGATAAATAAGTAAAAATATATGGAAAATCATTAATCCGGTCTTCCGCATTTCTTATCTGGTATTTCCACCAGATATCGTCACAAAAAACAAAAAAACTTGTACCTAGAAATACCCAAACCTAGATTTGACTAAAAGCCGAAACCTGGTGGGAAGCCCTGGGGACCACCCCTTCGCCTGCCGCCGCCTGGGAATCCTCCTGCGCCGCCTGGACCACCAAAAGAGAAGCCACCACCACCCCCGCCCATGTTATTCATCATGTTGAACAAAACATCTATTGAAATTGTCAGTTCATGCTCTCAACATGAAAACGGTGGAATTGAAGTGACACGTACTAGGATCAATGTTCATTCCTCCCATTCCTCCCCCCCCACCACCAAACATATCATCCTCCTGAAGATCTATGCCAGAGTCATATCGCTCCCGTTTTTGAGGGTCTGAGAGAGTTTCGTATGCCTCACCAACATCTACAATACAATTGTCAACTATTAAACCTAGAATATACGAGGGAAGGGCGAATCTAGCTTACCCTTGAATTTTTCGGCGGCATCCGGGTTATCAGGGTTCTTATCAGGATGGTGCAGGATCGCCATCTTTCTGTATGCCTTCTTAATATCTGCCTCGTTCGCATCCTTATCAACACCCAGAATCTTGTAGTAATCCTTTCTCTTGCTCTTCTTCAGTTCCAACTCTGCTTCGCGGATCTCCCGCTTAATGTTGTTATCTGTCGGGTTGGCTTCGGCAAAGTTCTTGAGCTCGCGGACAGCCTCTTCCCAGTTACCCAACTGACCAAATGCTTTGGCACGTGTTCGGCGGGCCTTGTGGTAGGTAGGGTCAAGCTTCAATGCGTCATCACAATCCGCAATGGCTTCTTTCCACATTCCGAGCTTGAGAAAAGTGTCAATAACTTCTCAAGATAAGAAAAAGATGCTCTATAAAAAGAATTACCTTGCTGTGAGTGAGGGCGCGATTCCCATACAACTTGGAATTGGTTCCCTTGTTGTCTGGATCCACTGCCAAAGCCTCTGAGTACAATTCCTTGGCGGCATTGAGGTCATTCTTCTTGAAAGCTTCGTTACCGAGCTCCTTCTTCTTCTCCAGTTCCCTCGCCCGCTTCAAGTATATCCTCGCCGTTTTCATATCAGGGTCGCACCTCAACGCCTCCTGGAAGTGTGCAGCCGCCTTCGGGTTCTCGCCCTGGGCGTACAGGATACGCCCCCTGAGCACAAGAGCATCTGGGTCCTGGGGATTCTGGCGAAGCAGCGACATAGCCACGTTCTGTGCTTCAAACAGAGAGCTCTGTGTGTTCATCCTCAAGTTTGCCTCCCCACGAAGCATCTTCCACTTCTTTGGTGGCTCCACGCCCATTCCCAGACCGGACTCTGCTCGGTCGAGGGCGAACAACGTCATGGAGCCGCCCGTGCCAGAGGCCACAGATTGCTCAGCACTAGTAAGGTGTTGTAGCATCTGTTGCGCAGGAGCCCTATCCTTTGTGCTCGCCGGGGGGTTCATTCTGTCGTATGTCTCCAGGGCGTCAGCCGGCCTACCCAGCGCGACCTGGATTCTTGCCATTCGCAGAAGAGTCTTTGGCTGGTCCGGCTGGTGGCGGTCGGCCATCGTGCAGTCGTCGAGAGCCTGCTTGAACTTCCCGGCCGACATGTAGGCCGCCGCCCTGTTTGACAGGAAGGTTGCATTCTCGGGTTCGCACTCGATTGCCTTTGTGTACTGCTCGATGGCCTTGATATACTCCTTCTGCTTGAAGAATTTGTTACCAGCCTGCTTGTAATTCTCGCCGTCTAGCTCAACCTTGGGTGGGTCCGGTGGGAGCGCGTGTGTGCCATTCACGCCGTTTGTGGTGGTGAGAGGCTTGGGGGTCTCTGCTGGGGCCGGTGGTGTTGCTGGTGCTTCCGCTGCAGGTGTCACGGGGGGTTCGGAATCAATGTCCATAGCAGACATATTGGCAAGTTTCTTTTCTTTTTCTTTTCTAGAAAAAGATTTTATATAGAGTTGATCTGTTGATTTATTTCTTTTTCTTCCCTTACTTGCTTTCTTTTTGGCTCCTGGTCACGGGACCGACGATGTCCGAGAGCGAATCGAGTAGAGCGAGCGAGTGAGTAGTGGCTCAAAGATAACACGGTTGTAGCAGAAAAGACAGTTTCAGAAACCACTTTCCACTACTAAAAAGAAACCGAGTGAGGGTGAGTATCGGATAAGGTATTTAAGGCAGGCCTAGGTAAGGATAGGAGCGATAACCAGGATGAGGAAGACGTAGTAGTGTGAGTGTGTATTTAAACTCAAGAAAAGAAAACGACTAAGAGACCACCCTGCAATAAAATTGTAGACCTTTCCTTCAGACGATAGCGAGACGGGGCGACACAATAGAAAGGGAAAAAAAGAGGAGGGGTACAGGTTGTGGTTGTGGTTAGTGGTAGTGGTTGTCGGCAATTGGCAAACAAACGCTGTTGAATAGAACAAACGTGATGGGGGTGAGGGGAGGCTCGGTCTTGTAGACGCGGGGAAAGGAAAGGAAAGATAGCTGAGGGGAAAGGAAAAAGAGGAGAGGGAAAGCGGGAGCGAGTGAGAAAGAGAAGAAAAGAGAAAGAAAAAAAGAAAGAGGAAAGTCGGACCCAGCAGCAGGCACCAAAGGGAAGTAGAAGGTAGGAGAAAAAAGTGAGCCTTTTGGTTGTTCCAGAGAAAAAAACGCCCGGGTCGTGGAATGTTCTAGCAACTTTTCTAAACCTACCCCCCTCTAAGCCTTACATTGAACAAGCCTCACTTTGACTTTCCCTTCCCCCAGCTAACAACCAGCAACCACCTCCGCGACTCTCCCTCAACCACAACTACAACCCCCCCTTGCCTCAGGGTTTTACATACAAAACTGCTTCAACTCCCCCGATTGAGGTACAATTGCATGCAGATCAACTAAATAAATCCTAATTGAACTCAATCCTTTTTAAACCAAGTCTTTCTCCTTTTATTTTTACTCTTGTCTAGAGCAGCTAGCCCCCAAAAAAATATTACTAGGAAAAAGTACAGCATCATTCATTGAAGTTGATCATGATCAAGAAAGCATGTGAGACGGAAGGAGAAAAAGATGTAAAAAAGTAAAAAAGTAGAAATTCCACTCAGAGATCAACTATTAATGAAATAACTAAGGAAGTAAGAAAAAGATACATAGAAATCCAGGTTAGTACTCTACAGAAAAGAAAAGAAAACGAAAGCCAAATAATCAAAACACCTTGAAACCCCGCCAATGAATGACCCTGACCCTGACCCTGAATGACCCTACCCGTCTTTTTTTTGTGAACCCAACAATCCCCAAATATCCCATGATAACCGTAACGAAAGAAGAAAAAGAAAAACAAAAAAGAAGAGCCAAATTCATTTTTCTACCCAGCAGACCTGACCAGACCAAACCTCAAAGGAAAACGACCGTTAAAATGCAAAAAAAGATGCAGAGCAATAAACAATAAGAAAACCGATGATAATCGGAAAGCCGGCTTTCGCTAAAAGAAACTCCGATAAAAAGAAAACCCCCCTTAATTCCATCTCGAATGGTTAAAATAGAAAAAAAAATCCGTAAATTGAAAAATCTAATAGTGGTGGTGATGGCGCTGGCGTTGCACCTCAACCTTGACATTCATCGTATCCTGTCTCGTTTTGGCTGCCGCTGCTGCAGCGGCTGCGGCAGCTTTCCCTTGACTGCTCTCCCTTCGTCGCTTTGGCGCATCCTTGATCTTTGGGTGTGTATGGCACTGGAAGAAACCCGAACCGTTAGCAAAAGGGGTCTCAGTGTTTCAATTGGACGGGAGATCAAAGCTTACCTTGTACGCATGTCTGAACCAAGTGGTCCCCTTCTTCTTATTGCTCACAAGCGCCACCCAGTCATTGCAGCTATGGCACAGGCCCTCCCAGACATCCATATTGCCCTCCATCCTCCTGACTGACTTTGGCTCCACGAAGCGCTGTCCCGTCGCCGCGCTGATGCCATGGGTGAATGACTTATCATACCAGAAGGCCGAGTTCTTGAGCACTAGCCACCTCTTACAGATACCACACCAGCCCTCACGCTTATTGCCATGCCCGCGGACCCAGCGTGGTGTGTAGAGGTCACCCTCGAACCTGAGGTCCTGCTCATGCGGCTTCATCTCCGGGTCCTCAGGGTTCATGTCCTCCGCCGGCGGTGGGATCTGCTCCTCCTGCAGCGAGGCATAGAGATCTGGGGGGTCGGTGAAGTCGGCGTAGTGGCTGCGGTAGTGCTCCGCTGCGTTGGACTGCAGCATCTTGACGAACAGGTGATTTGGCATCTGTGGCTGGCAGCCCAAATCATCTACATATGGGCCCTGCTGCTGTTGCTGCTGTTGCTGCTGGACATATCCACCGCCGCGCGAGAAGTTGTGGTTATGTGAGGCGAGGAGCATCTGCTGCGGGGGGTGGGGCGGGCATTGCGCGGATCCGCAAGTCGGCGATGAGTATGTGGGTGATGAGTATGTGGGCGACGAGTGGTGCGAATTGCTTGAGTGGAAGTTCTGGACCTGGCAGGGATCGAGCTGGGTGACAATGTATGGCGATGAGGTTTGCGAATTTGGCAGGAAGGAGCCTGTGGACCACCTCTTGTTTGCGTCTCGCCCTACTGTTGAGTATGGGGCTGCTCGCATGCTGGTCCTTGATGGTGAGGGCGAGGCACGCCCACGGCTTCCACTCCTAATCCTATTGCCGTTGGGTGACATTACGGGCGAGAGGGGGGTTGTGCTGGTGGACATTGTGAATGTTGATCTGTGGGTGTAGTCGGATATGATTGACTCTGGGTATGGCGAGGTCTCGTAGGGGGAGGTCTCATATGGCGAGTTGTCGAAAAACATGTCAGTGGCAGACAACAAGGCCGCCTGGTCTGCGCTGGACATTGAGATTGTGTCTGAGAAGCGGCGGGCAACGTTGGTATTCAAGCTCAGGGCATCACCGACTTGTTGTGGTGAGAAATGATAGTGAGGGTCGAGGAGGTTAGTGCTGTTACTGCCGCTACTTCCATAGCTGGACCCCATGCGATCCACATCAGTATCCAAGTTGTACTCGCCGACGACGCCTCTAGGACGGCTCCAATCGTTGCCTATTATTAATCGTTAGTATAAAAAACTTAAAGATGCTATGGGATTTTGAGTGCGACTTACTATTCATATCGTATTGAGACAGATCCACAGGACTGGTTCCAAGGCTATGACTCTCAGAGGGGATCAAGCAAGTTGGGTCCCAAGCAGGTACGGCAGTAGAACAGTCTTCTGGAAGTGAAGAATATGGAAAGCTAGTTTCATGAACTGTTGCAGGTCTGTTGCCATTTGTACGAGGTGTCGGCGGCCACAGAGCGAAAGAGTCAGGCAGAGGGGAAGCCATTGCTGGCTGAAATGATCTCGGATAGCTGTCACTCAGGTTCTGGGGTCTGAGGTGAGTGTGTTGTGCGAAAGCGTTCTTTGGCATATTGTGTTGTCTGTTCATGGTTTATCACCAACATCAGTCACCTGCGCTAGTATGTGAATATAGGATGGGGGGTGGGGTGTGTGTGTGCGAAGGGAATTCTTCGACTAAAAAAGAAAGGGAAAAACCAGTAGAGACATACTGCGCAAGAATTGAATCCATTTGAGTCAAGGCGTGCATCTAGTTACTCCTCGCCGTGTGAGAAAGTAGTACAAGGATATACAACTAAAGATGCGGATACCCGTCAGCGCCATTGTAATTTGGATGTTGAGGTTGTTTCCCAGGTCTCATTGTACGGGTCGCATCACCGCAACGAGTACCAAGGGCCGAGGAAGCAAGGGGAAAGGCGAACAACTCACTGTATAAAGTATACAAAAGGAACTAGTTATAAAGTAAAACAAGAAACCAGGACCGGCCAGGAGATTGTATGATGTGTATAAACCCGATAGCTCAGCGTCAAGTGAATTATTAAGTATTAGACGGATGTGGTACTAGGTTGTTGTAGTAGTGGTGGTGGTTGAATAGTAGTAGTAGTAGTTGAAATCGTAGTAGTCGTAGTCGTAGGAGTCGACGTCGTAGTAGTAGTAGAAATAGTAGTAGTAGTAGTAGTGAGTGAGTAGTAGTAGTGAGTGAGTAGTAGTTGTCAACAACCTATACTGCAGCTGAGAGACAAGGAATATCGCTGTAGAACAAGACTCCAGCAGCTCGGGATATTCGAATGATATATGAGAAATCCAGTTTCTCAATTGCGAGTGATCTTGGAACGGGAAGACCCGGGGCGAATTAAAGATTTAAGTCTAAAATATAAATCGTAAAACGTATATAAAGGAAAAACGAAGGAAAAAAGAGAGAAAAAGGAAAACAAATAAAAAATATATATCGAAACGAAACGGAGATGAGAGCCCTGACGAGTCAAAAAAATATATCGGATGGGATGGAGTGGGGGAGGGGGTCGGGAATTATATTGTAGGTTAGATGTAACGGTCCTTTTTTTTTCTGTTCCAGGGACACTTTCTTGTGTGGGGTGGGTGGGGGAGCGAGTGGTAGGGTAGGGGTCGAACGAGGGGACCAGAGACTCTCTTCTTGGATGGGCAGACCAGTAGTAAAGCACCCCGCCAGTACGCGCGCTGTCGCCTCTACATATGTACGACTTGCTTCAGGTTCTTCCATCGTTCTTCAAACACCCCTCCGGCGCACCACCACCAGCACCACCCCCCGGCCATGGCTTTCCCTCTGCCCTCTCTGTCTGGTTCCCCCTGCAACAACCTTACCTTGCAGTTTGCAAGGTCCCCCTCCGTCCCGATTGGTACGTGGGTTAAACTTGGTAGCAGGCGTCTATGCTCTCGCTATTTTTTTTCTGCTAACCGAACATTCTGGAGCCGCTGGAAAAGAAAAGAAAATAAAAAAACAATCGAGGCTCTTTTTCCTCCCCTCCCAACTCCATCCCAGCCGGATGTCCCCGGAGCCTCCATCAGGAACCAGGGTATGCTTCTGCTTCTTCTTCATCTACTGAGAAGGGATCATATTGAGCCGCGAGCGTGGCTGGGTCGATTTTTGCGCAGCATCTCTCACTCTCTCTGCTATTTTTTTATTTCGTGTTTGTAGTCAGTCTGCAGTCTGCAAGCTATCTTCAATCCCGGGACTTTGGGTAAAAAAAAAAAAAAAAAATCCCATCATCATTGCAATGACGAGGGTTCCTCAGATGCAAGGTACACGGTTACAGTGGTTGACTGACAGCTCTCTGCTGCGCTGCCCAATAATCATGATCCCAAAAAAGAATATCCCACATGTAGAACTCCACCAGCAAGCAATGCCCTTGTATTCTAAATGCTCCCCACTATTACCACAACTTCTGTAACAGATCGACTTTGTGGTCGTGAGTCTATAGAACATTTCGGAGAAATAATAAAGAATTCCGCAGTAAGTCAGTACTGACAGACAAAAAAAGAAAGAAAGAAGAAAAAAGCCCATGCAACGGCCTGACGTGAACAAAATTCCGCAGGCTTCTCCTCCTCCTCCTGCTGCCTAGTTAATTCTCCATCGTTTTTTTCTCACCTGCACTGTGGCTTGCTTGCAGCTAAGATTGAAATGGCAGCAACTTCTCACTCCACCCATGTCTACGCCTTACTGCCCAAAGCTACTAGTCACTCTTGAGATTCCCAGAAGCAGGCACCGTCTCACGGGCACCACCACCACCACCACGACAGGATATTTGGTGTTGCTGCTAAAGGTGTGCCATCGACGTACTGACTGACACCCACATGAAACGCTCACGGAGGCCCTGGAATAGGTAGGGCGGGTTTGAGACTATTTCAAAACAGCCGCGGAGTGAGGTGAGGTGCCTGCTTCGGTGAAAGTTGGGATGATGGTGGTGGGGTGTGTGTGTAAGTGCGTGTGTGTAAATGTGTGTGTAAGTGCGTGTGTGTAAGTGTCTGAGTGTGTGTGTGAAAAAAAGTATTTGCGGCCATGGAGGGATTCAAGGGAAGCCCGTCCATGGCCCCAAAAGAAGAAGAAGCATGTAAGAAAAGACAACAGCAACATAAACCTTCATGTTAGTGCTCATAAGTGTTGACTAGCTAGCTGCGCATGCATCTATGCTTGGGTTTTGGGGTGTAATGTAGAGGAGGTACATGATACGATTTTGATGTACCTACTCCGCTCCCAGTATCACATCTATGTAGCTACATGTAGGTACGTACTGTCATTATCCCAATGTTACTCTTGCAATTCGTCATTTACCAGATACATAATGAAACACGGCCCAGAGTATATACAATCCGGACCTGATAATTTTACTTTGAAGGTAAGTACCCGTCTCCAGTACGTAGGAATATGTATGTAGGAGTATCTAGGAGTACAGTATTCTTCACGATGATGAAAGACCGGGGGCTGGGGGGAGGGGGAAGTCCAGTTGCAAATTCGAGATCAGTACTTAGTGGATCAGTACATGTAGGTACAATGCAGTACCAGAAAAGTACTCCAGCTACATGTCTCTACTAAATGCCATGTAACCAAAAAAAGGCCCAAAGAGGCAGGCGCTCTCTTTAGCATTTCGCCAAGCACGGCCGCCCATTGGCTGCACAACGACCGACTTGTCACTTTTTACACACCACACACACTTCTTTCTCTCTCTTCCTCTGCCTCTACTGTATCCCAAATTTGGCGAAGTGGCACAACAGCAACAGCAACAAAAGATCCAATTCTGGATCTGTAATTAGCGGGATCCAGTCCCCCCATGCCCGATGCGGGTCTTTTCCGGCCGTGCATATCATCCCGCAGAGGTTTATTTGGAGAGGTGAGCTAGGGCCATCCACCAACTGCCTGCCATCCCATCCTATTCCTGTGTGTTCTGTTGTTACCATAAATAGATATATTTAGAACAACAGACAGATTTGGACATTTGGACAGACCACAAGTTAATTATGTGCCATTCTTGTTTCCTTTTCAACCGCAAAACCCTTCCTATCCAGCCATATTAATCAACCGCCGAGACACACACGCAAAAGCCACATGCTGCATCCACTCTATCAGCAAAAAAGAAAACCCCCCCTCCCTCCACTCCACCCCCCATCATCCTAGGCGGCAATCGTGCAGAAACGGGAAAACGTGCGGAAGAACAAGAGTTATTGTTCTATACATAGAGATAAACATAGATCACCCACCAACTCACCCATGGGCCATGTATGTCTTGTCTGTCCCACTCCGCACGCACCACCAGGAAATGGTCTCCCGGCCCCATGGTTATTTTTTTCTATTCTTTGTCCTGCCAGCCATGGCTGGCCCAACGCGCGGGGTAGGGTAAAGCTCAACCGACTGCCGAAGACCAAAGGACAGAAAACAGCCGCCCCCAGGCGCCTACCGTCAGTCAGTCAGTCAGCGTCACATATCACAGCCCAACTGGTTTCCCCAAATAACAACGTCGGGGGGGATTCTTGCAAAAAGTACCCTAATCTACATTAGACCGTACGTATCTTTTTTTTCAATATTCAGCCCTTTTGAAATGCAGGTAGCCGTCATAGTCACGCATCTCTCTCGATGAATGAGGATGTTCCTTTTTTTCCTTCTTTTCTTCTCGCTCGATTCTTCCGCATGAATGCGCCCAGCCTTTAGCACACCCGAGATATGAGATGTCTGGCTAGTGGACGATTGATGCACGCAACCTGAACCCCGTTCGGCGTTTTTATTTGCTTTACTTTCGCTAGAGGCAGGCAGGCAGGCAGGCAGGTACCTGGTTTTCGCCTAACATCCGAAGTGTCTCTGTTGTGGCTTCCGTCATCGTTTCAAGCGGAAGTGGTTGATCTTGATCAAAGTGCTCCCGCCAACTCTGGTTAGTGCTAGAGTAAGGTACTGTACCGGCCCGTACTTAGCTCCCGCAAGGGGGGACAGGCGTGAGCGAGGGTGGCTTGTCTGTCTATCGCTAGTGACTCCATCATATTCTACATCACACATCATACTCGTCCACAGCCAGCCAGGATATTAGTAGTATCATCGTATTAGTTACTAGAGGAGATCAGTAAATAGGATGCCAAATAGACAGACTTGGACAGTGCACTGTAGCAAGTAGAGTAGATGATGATTCTTAGCGTACATCATCCTACCCTGGATCCCACCGCAAGCCATGATACGGTGATCACTGAGCAGTGTCTACATGTATGTAGTTTCTCTGACCTTTGAGCCGCATACATGTACCTGCATCTCTTTCTCCACCACCACCACCCCACCACCCTGGCCCTGGTACTTTAACGATCTTTTTTTGGTTCCTCGTTTCTTAAGTTCTCTATCGTTTGTACCTTTTCGACCACATGCGTCTGACGCATTGCGGCCCCCCTCCTCAAGAGAGAGATCCCACTTCCCCGATAAGAAAATGTACGCAACCCAGGATCTCAACTAGAGTCCGCATTATCCCACCTGTCTTTCCGCGATCAATGCTACCCAGGTATACGTAGTATATCCCATCCCAATGCGGGCTTCATCCTCCGCTGCTCCACGATTGGGCAAAAAGCACACAAAACCCTAGTTAGTATACAGCCGTTTATCCAGTCGCCGCCCCGCCATCGATCCTAAACATATCCCAAATCCCAATCCCGTTTCTCGAGTCGTCCCCTCGCCGCACAAAAAAACGCTTTGACCACCTTGAATGGTAAACTAATCGAGTTAACGTCATTCGCTTCATGAGACACTGAGATCTGTTATTTTAAAACTCTGAAACTGGGACCCGTCCGATTCGGTTTCCGTGGGAATGGATGGTGGTGGCTGGCCGATTGATTAATACCTTGCTTGACATGATACTTTGATACTTACACACCCCTGGAGGGGTTTACCTAAGCCACACAGTGCTGATGAGGATGAGGATGATGAGAATGAAGATGAGGATGTAGAGGGAGCAGTATCTATGTCTCTAGCTCTGTGTGGTTTAGTAGTAGGTTTTGTATTGTACTGGATTTCGCTGCGCACGTTTGTGCCCACGCCCGCCGTGGCTCGGTCTGGTATTTACTGTAGGCACATATATACTTAGTCTGTAAGGCAGATCAAGTACCTCCATGTAAGTACATGTATTTACGTCCAACAGTAAACCAGAAACGAAACACCATGTACATACCAAACCAAACCCATACCGGCCGCGCCGGCCTCTCCATCTCCAAACCACTCCAGCCAACCCCAAAGCCCTCCGCCAGATCTCCCCCATAATCTCGTAAACCGCCCTATCATAAGCTACGGAGCCACTAACCCATCTCCATCTCTATCTCCGTCGTGCCATCTACAGGTATTGTAGCTTCATGTACCCACCCCATTCATTTCTCTGCAGCCCAGATTCTAACCAAAACATAAACTGTTATGCCATTTTACGTCCCCCCACCCCCCAAACCCTGGTCCCTATACTCTACTAACCCACATATCTACATACATATCTTCAGCCTCACTCACTCACTTCATCACCTTAACCCTATGCTACCTACCTACCCTAATCCACCATAATCCACCTTACCTACATGTACTCACCTACCCTGCAGTGCTCAATGCCATATGACTGCATCACCCACTGTCCCGCACGCCAGCGTCGACGGTTCTCGAGAAAGAAAGAACGAACTAAAAATTGCTATAATTATGGCCATGGCCAGGCCCCGTGATTGCTGATGGCTTTAACGGTGCCCTATACTTCTAACGTGCTACTCTATCCTGCTCTGCAGCGCATAACGCGGCGAGCGCATTGGAGAGGTTAGTTTTAGGGCACTAGAGGTATGTACCTATTGTACATGTATGTAGCTATCTAGAGCACATGGAGCTATCTAGAGCATCGACTTCTGGGCCTAGGTACTAGGCAGTTTATCCTCTAGCCAAGCGAGCAAAGTACCGTGATACCCACCACTACGAGATCGAGGGCGCATAACCATAGCGGCCCGAAAACAGCGAATAACCCCACCCGGCGCATACAGAGGGTCCTGTTCTAGACCCGGCCCTGCTATTTCCTGTATAGGCGCGATAAGCGGGTGCTGAAACACTGCTATGTCGTTCTTGAGCTCTCTCTCTCCCTCCCTCTCGCTCGCGCCTAGACCGGGTGGGGAGTGATTAGTTGCCGTGAGAACACGTTGGTTGAAACGAAGTGAAATAGCGCTCATTCGGTTTTTGGTTGTGTGGTTGTGGTTGTGGTTACGGTTGTAGGGGTTGTACGGGTTGGGTTGTGCGCCAGAAAAAGAGTGTGAGTGTAGATGGACAGGTACGCGCAATTGCGATGGCGACATACTCTGACAGCTGTCCACCCAGCGGTTGTTGAAATCGTGGGTTGTGCTTTTTGAAAACGCAAAAAAAAAAAAAAAAAAAAAAAAAAACAAACAACCGCACTATTGCAAATCGTAGTCAAAAATTGCACTCCCGAAAATATCAGGCGCTCCGCTCGTCACTGCGCTTGCAATTGAGTTGCCTGCCTGTGTGCATGCTCACCTACATGTACATACTGTACCTAGCGCAGTTCTCACCAGCAAGCGCCAAACTCGTGATGTTACTGTTATGTGTACTTCCTACTCTATCTCCCTACATAGAGTACTCGCGCGGCCGGTTTGAAGCAGCTGTGGCGAATGATCTGGCAACAACTAAGAGCTCATGTTTTTGCAGTATTCAGATCAATTACCTTTTTTTGTCTGAGCTTCAATCCGGCAGTTGTTAGCATCCAGGTCCATAGGGTTAGGTAAATAACATAACCACCGGCCCTCCAAGACCAGAAGCCAATGCCAAGCCCTTGCTAACCCGTTCCATCTAGCATCTACTAACCAGCGAGTGAGAGAACATGACGCACACAAGCCAAAGATGTTTATTGTCACCAACGCCCTTCCTTCCTTCCTTCCTTCCTTCCCCACCTTTCCTTTTTCCCCCATGATATAGTTAGATACAATCTATTATTACAACCCAGCAGGTTTAAACAAACACACATAGAAAAATGAAGAGAAAAAAAAACACAGGAAATCATGCTACACACGCACACATGCACAAGTGACAAAAGAACGAATGCAAGACCGCACACACACACCAACAAACAAACAAAACAAGATATCTCTCTCCCGCCCCCCGCCCCCCGCCCCCCGCCCCCCACTATCCCCCTATCAAATCAACGCCACCCTCCCCTCCTTCTCACAACTGCCACAATACTCCACCAGCCACGCCACCTCCTCGCCCTCCACCTCGCCCCCCAGCATCTCTCTCGCCTGCGCACACCTGCCCATCTCCTCCTTGACCCAGTTGCTCCACTCGCCCCAGAGCAGCTCGCGCTCCAGCGTATTCACGACGCGCATGGCGACGAGGAGGTCGTGGCGGTACGAGCCGAGGTGCTGGCGGCCCTGGCGCAGCCGGCGCGCGGTGGCGCGCGCCGACGGCGACGAGAAGTCGAGCGTGGCGGTGGCGGCGGGCGCGTCCATGTCGGTGCTTTCGGACAGGCTGCGGAAGGCTGCATGGCTGTTTGGGTTTGGGGGAAGAGTGTTAGTGTGGGTGCTTCGTTAGGGTTCATGCTGCCGCTCCCGCTGCTCCAATGCCGTGAGGAAGGGAGGGAGGGGATCAGGAATGATCTGGGAATGTCTCCCGGACCAACCCAACGGTGCGGGATGCGGCAGCAACCTCAAATGACGGGAAGGGGAAAGCAAAAACAAAACAAAAAAGCAAGAAAGGAAAGAATGTAATACTAACCATTGGCTCTCCCCCTCCACCACCCAGCTCATCGTCCCATTACTCACAACCTCCTCCAGATCCCTCAGATACACGGCCCTACTCATAATCCCATTCGGCGCGACACCAACCTCCTCCAGCCACCTCGCGGCCCTCTTCTCATTCCAGTAACTGACGACCGCGCCTCGGCCCACGACCGCATTCCACACCACGCTCACCAGCAGCACCAGCAGTATGACGCGCTGCGCCGACACCACCTCCCAGGCCTTTCCAACGCCCGCGGCCGTCCACATGATGACGCTGCTGGCCGCGCTCTCGAGGAACGAGAGCGCCGTCTCGGCCATCATGCGCGTGAGCCGCCGCTGCTGGATGGGCAGCTTGGGAGCTCTGGGGTCCAACTCCGATGCGAGAGGGCCCGAGCCTCCACCGGGTCGGATGAAGGGGTTGTTGTTGTTGCTGTTGGCCTCGTCGGTTGGCTGCTCCCCTCCTACGTCGCCAAATAGCCGCACGGCCGTCTTGGTGCGGCCCTCGTTGGTGCCGAGTTTCCGCACTTGGTCTGCGACAATGTCACCCAGGTCCAGTGCGTCGAGGTCGAGGTCGTCGAGGGCCTGGCGCTGGATAATGCCTGCACGAAAACGTTATTAAAACCCGTACCCGTACGTACGCCGATCTAAGACAAGAGGGGGGATGCTGCATGATCTTTTTTGTGGCCATGTAGAGGCGAGCTCCCCAATTTCCCCAGTACCCTGATTGGTGTCTAATCCCCGCCGCCGCCATCCACCAACCAGACTACGAGAGAAATCGAGCTTGCTCTACTCTACATACCCGCAGACAGGACAGACAGGGCCAACTCCATTTTCCAGTAAACCCGATTGGCACCCCCCCCCCCCCCCCAGCCAATCACGTTACTAGAAAATGGAGCTCGCAGAGCCTTCCCTTCCTTACCAACAACCTCCGAATAGGCATGTATACCGCTCACGTGCATGTGTGGGCAAAAAGTGGACTTTACCATCATTGGCCCCCCTCCCCCATCCCACGTGACCGATATACATATTCCGAACTTGCTCTAGGGACCAACAACAACGCACACACACACAAAAAAGACTTACCTTTCGAAATCGCCGGCGCATTCGACCACTCGACGCCCGTCCAGATGGAGAGCTTACACTTGCTCTTAGCCACATGCGCAATGACAATTTTGGTCACGAGCATGAAGCGCTCGCGGTGCGGGAGATGCCATGGTGTTTTGCGGTCCGCGACTACGTAGACCCTTTTTTTTTGTTAGTAAAAACTTGCCACATTGAAGAGAGGGTGGGGAAGAAGGGGGGGGGGGGGGGGCAAACAGGTGGTCGTCTTGCAGCTCGATGGTCTGGTAGTCGTTTACTTTGCTTTTCTTCCGCCCGCCTGTGGAGTAGAGTGGAGAGATTAGTTTATAAGTCAAGTCTGTATATGTAGTCGTAACCGTAAAAGAAGGAAGGAAGGAAGGAAGGAGGGAAGGAAGAAAGGAGGACTATACCAATTAGCCCATTGTAGTCAATCTCGTACCCAAACTCCCTGCGCGTCTGCCCCGTCTCTGAGGTTCTCCACGGGCTCTGCAGAATATCTACACCCAACCAAAACGTCAGCACCACATCCCAACCCCACGCCCACGCCCGCACTCAAGAAAAGAAAAGAAGAAGGAAAAAAACCCACGCTGCGCCCTCCTCTCAAAGTACAGCCTCTGCCACACCCAACTCCGGTCCCCAAACATAACATGAAACAGCGCCTTCGGCGACACCTCAAACTCCCTCTCAAACGCCACGCGCGCCATCCCCCTCGGCCTATAATCGATCGGCATCGCGGGCAACCTCACCCTCGTCACCTCCTTCACCCTGCCATCAATGCCCCTCTGCGTCACCATCACCTCCCCCTTCTCCTCGCCCAGATCCTCCCAACTCTCCGTATCCGCCCCGCGATGGTGCTCCTCCCCCGCCTCCTCCTCCCTCTCCAGCGCCACCAGCGCCGTCAGCGCCGCGCCATTCCCCATCCCCTCGCCGCCCCCCTCCACGGCCTCATGGCGCGCCTTGACGAGCAGCAGCAAGCGGCGCTGCAGCAGCCGCACGGGCTCCAGATACACCTTGACGAGCACGCGCTCGTCCTCGCCCGTGTCCTCGAGCACGCTCCCCGTGTCGTCGGGGTCCGGGTGCAGGTGCAGAAACAAATGGTCGCAGTCGCGCCCCGCCGCCGCCGTCACCCCCGTGATGTGCGTCAGCGACACCACGCTCGTAAACACCAGCCCGAGGTAGTGGCTGTAGAAGTAGACGCGCTTCGCAGTGACGTAGCAGCGGCCCGGCAGCTCCTGCGTGGCGCTGGCGGCCCAGGTCGCGCGGAACACGAGCAGCACGATCTCATCGCCGCCGCGCATCGGGAAGAGCGTGCGGAAGTGGGCGTCCTGCGCGACGAGCTCGGTCGGGTAGGAGGGCGGGTATGTGCCCTCTGCGGGGGCGGCGGAGGAGGCGCCGTGCGCGTGGGAGAGCCCGATGTCGGTGTCGAGGGACTGGGTCTTGCGGTGGCCCTTGAAGAGGTCGGCGGGGTGGGTGGGGTTCATTGCGGGGCCTGAGGTCACGGCGGCGGCCTTGGAGAGCATGACGGGTGCGGGGGTGTTTGCGAGGGTTGTTGGGGCGAGGGTTGTGGTTGTGTCGCCGAAGCGAGTTGTGTCGCCGGAGGGGTGGAAGGGGAGGGCGTTGTGGGATGCGGAGATGAGGGCGCTGAAGCCGGCGCCGGAGACGGTCTGGAGCGGGGTGGCGGGGCTGGGGGAGGGGCTGAGCGAGCGGTCGTTGGTGGGGGGCTTGCGCCCAATGTCGAGCTTCTGGGCGATCTTCTCGCGGGTGTTGGACGGGATGGGGGTGGCGTCCGAGCTGGAGATGTCGATTGAGGTTGCGCGGGTGGTGGTGTCGACGGGCATGGTGTTTGCCCCGACCAGGCGCATGTCGTCGTCGTCGTTGCGGCGGACATGCAGGTGCCGGGGGAGATGCAAGGCGCCGAGGGTGTGGCTGTCTTTGTTTGTCGATACTGCGGCCGATGCCATTGTCCCGTCGTGGCCCTTTGTGATATATGCTGGCTCCGCCGCCGGGATTGCTGCAGACGGGGGAATGATCGAGAAGGCCTGAGTGTTGCTCGTGCTCGTAGCATTCTCGACCGCCGTCCGCTTCGCCTGCTCAAACACCGCCAGCCACTGCATCAGCTCCACCTGCGTCTCTGCCTGCAGCAGCACAGTGGTATCCTTCGTCTTGACCTCGAAGCAGAACCGCCGCTCCTCCTGGAACGCCGGCTTGATATTGCACAAGAGGACGCCAATCTTCTCGCTCTCCTCCATCGCACCGTCCTTGAAGCCCTGCACAAGCCACCCAAACACGCCGTCCTTGACAAAGAACCACCGCCGGATCCACGACGTCCGCGCCCCCGGCTTCCCCGCCAGAACCCGCATAAACAGCCAGCCCTGCTTGACGCTGGGCGTCTTCTCGCCCTCCTTCTCCTCCGGCACGTTCGGCCGGCTCGTCAGGTACGGCACCGTGCTCACCGCATACTCCTCGAGATCGCGCGCGGGCTGCCAGTCGCGCTTCGCACGGTCCTCGAGCTCCTTGCGCGCGCTGACGAGCTCCTTGCGGAACATCTGCTCGGAGGCCTCCATGCCCTCCGACCATGCGCGCACGCGGTCGATCTCGGCCGCGTGGCGCTCCATGGTCGAGGTGCCGTCGCGGCGGATGCGTTGCTGCTCGCGCGACTGGTCAGAGAAGATCTTGACGAGGACTCTGTCGAGCGCCGCACGGAACGTTGGTGCGGCCACGCAGAAGTCGAGGCAGCTGCGGATGTAGAGCTTTCGGGCCTCGTAGACCTGGAATGCATCCTCACGGAGGGATGACGGTTCTTTCGTTTTGCTCTGGGTGGAGTAGCGGCTGAGAAGTAGGTCGTATCGGCTTTGTGTGGTTTCGAGGGTGCGTCGGATTTCCTATGGCATGTCAATGACTGTAGATACAACTTTCTGTATAGCTAGCCTGTAGTAGTGTAGTATGTAATAGTATTAGTGATGGGTAGGGTTAGGGGTGGCAAGTACCTTGAAACTCTTTAGATCCCGCTTCTGGAATGCCAGCAGCGGCTCCACGACGCTTGCCTCCGTCTTCTGTGCGCCCGCCATGACCGCGCCCCAGAAGCTCTTTGACCCCTCGGCGTACCGCGTGAGTGCCAAGAGGGTGTAGTCGTGGTCCATCATGCTCTCCGAGAGTCCGACAGGGTTTCCGGCGGTGATGTATGTATTAATTAGGCCCTCGAGTGCTATATATTTTTTTTGTAAGATTAGCTCTCCCGAAAAAAACAATCCCGGCACTCCCGGGGGGTAGGAAGCTGAAAATACCGCTGACACCGGCGCTGAGACGGGTGGTCGCCTTGATGTACTCCTCGAGCCAGGCCTCGACGAGTGTGACCTGCTCGGCATAGTGGACGACGGTGCCGCGGAAGGTGGGGGAGTCGAGGGCGGCTTCGCGGAGAGTGACGGGTCTGGTCTGCTGTTAGTAACGTACTGGCTGGATCCTTGACCGGGGTGGTGGTGGTGGTGGTGGTGGTGGGAGAGAGGAACATACATTAGTGAAATCGGCCTGTTTAGCATCGTAGGTGCTGGCTGGGCACCACGAGAGGTGTACTATGTATGTGTATGTATGTATTTGTGAAGATCTGTGGTGTTCAGGGGAGATCGTGGGAGGTAGAGAGCTGGGTACTCGGTTTGCTAGCTATAGTATTGTAGTGGGGGGGGGGGGGGGGTGTTGCAGACGTATGGGGCGAATAGGAGAGAGATGTCTCTTTCTGAAGCTCACAGGGTCTGCAGGTAGCACTCTAGTAGAAACCGAGGGTGTGAGGGAGTGAATAGAAGGTGGTGGGGGAGTAGCTGTTGTAGTCGATCCTTCTCGAGTATATTATCGTGAGAGAGAACTATTCAAGCAGAGCAGACAGACAGACAGACAGACAGACTGACAGACAGAGATATTCCGAGCAGTCTCGCTCCAGCGTTGTACAAACAGGAACAGGGCAGCTGCGTAGTCCCCAGGGATCAACCCTGCTTGAAGCGGGCCAGGATAGGACTAGCCCGTCAGACCCAAAGTGAGAGCTCTATTTGTGGCGGTCCTTCACCACATGCGCCACGTGGGGAGAGCCACACACCGGTGGGCGTGTGAGACGTGAGCGAGTGACGATACGCAGCACAGCAGGGAGGAACAAGAGAGCCAATAGACACACGACAGTCGTCTCACAACGGGAATAAGCAATCTGGGAGAGGATATGATACAATCAAGAGAGTGCAGACGAAGCAGAGGATAAAGCGGTAGAATCGCCTGCAGTGGGGGAAACCCGTCGGCCGTGAAAGATAACGGACGAGTGATAGATTGAGAGTGTGAGAGCGCTGGATCTCGGTATCTCTGTGTAGCCTGTGTTAACGTTCCATCGTCTGGATAGAATGCTCCTAACCTTCTCCTCCTCCTCCTCCTCCTCCTCCTCCTCTCGACAGGATTATAAAACCCACCATTACAGGGAAACACCTCTCCCTCTCTCTCCCTCTGGTTGACCTATCTCCATCTCCAATCTCTCTAGTCTCCCCAGTTTCAAGAATTCCGTTCCAGAGATCCAGTTCCACCCAAAACCAAGACCCAGACACTGACACACACACACACACGCTCTCTCTCTCTCTCACTCGCTCACACATCCCAGCCAGCCCGCTACCAAGAACGACTCCACCACTCAGACAGCTGATCTCATCTCGAGTAATCACACGAACCTCTCGCCCAACCAGCCATCTTTCCCAGATTTCCTTCCCCCAAACGTCGATCACTGCGGAATCCGCACGTAACTTCCTTCCTTCCTCCCTTCTTTCCTTCCTTCCATCATCCCTTCCCTCCTTCTCCACCCCCCTTCCTTCCTTCTATCCTCCCTATCTCGACATCATATCATCTACATAGATAGATAGATACAGCACAATAGAAATACAATACCTGGACTGGGGATAACAAAGACATTCACTTGCGCCTCTGTCATACGTCGGTCTACACCTACATCTACACCTACTTCTATAGCCCACGATACATACCCCCCAAGCATTCCCTCTCTGACAGGCCTGCCCTCGGTCTCACAGTCTCACCCACGCCTCACCACCCACCGCGTGCCTGAACCCCCCCCCCCCCCATCAAACACCACTCCCGCCTCACCTCACCTCACTCCAGACACACAATGTCTCCCTCCCTCCAGCTCTCGATCCCCACAACCTCCCTTGCCACCTCTCCCGGCAAGCCCCACACCCTCTACCACATCAACCTCCGCCTCCCCCTCCGCACGCTCACCGTCGCCAAGCGCTACAACGACTTCCTCACCCTACACTCCCAACTCACCTCCACCGTCGGGTCCCCCCCGCCCCTCAACCCGCCCCCAAAGTCCTACTTCACACGCACAATCTCCAACCCAGCCCTCACGGAGAACCGCCGCATTGAGCTCGAAGCCTACCTCAACGCCATCCTCACGAGCCCCGACGACCGCTGGCGCTCCTCCCCGCCATGGCGCACCTTCCTCACCCTCCCCAGCAACTGGTCCGCCAGCAGCAGCAGCAGCACCTCCCTCCCGCCCACCCCCACCATCGCCAACCACCCCATCACCGACCCCGCCCACTGGCTCGACACCCACCGCGAGGTCAAAACGCTCCTCCACGACGCCCGCATGTTCCTGGCCAAGCGCGACCAGGCCGCCAGCGCAAACGACCAATACGAGGCCTCGGCGGGCGCCAAGCGCTGCCTCGTGCGCTCATCGACGCTCATCGCCGCGCTCGACACGGCCCTCAGGGACGGGCGCATGGGCAGCAACAACAAGGAGGGGGGCGGCGGCGAGCTGCTCGACGGCGAGATCCGCCGCCGCCGGGACCTGGTTGCCGCGGCGCGCAAGGAGCGCGACGGGCTGGAGTCGCTCGCAAACTCGATGGCGAGTCGGCGGGTGCCGGCCGCGGCCGATAACGACCGTGGGGCGCTGTTCGTGGGCGCGACGACGACGGCAGGAGGGCGGCCGAGGGTGGGTGGCGGGAGGGTGCTGGGCGCGCCGCTGCCAGAGACGGATAAGACGCGCGAGCTGGATAATGGCGGGCTGGTGCTGCTGAATGAGCAGTACATGCGCGAGCAGGATAAGGCCGTCGAGGGCCTGCTGGGGAATGTGACGCGGATGAAGGAGATTGGGATGGCGATTGGGGGGGAGATTGAGGTGCAGAACCGCATGTTGGCGAGTCTGGACCAGGATGTGGATAAGGTGGATAAGAAGATGAGGATCGCGAAGAAGAGGGTTAATGGCATCTCGTAGGGGCTGTTTTTTTTTTTACTCTTCTTCTTGACTGTGTGAGGGGTGGTGCGTTGGGGGGGGGGGGGGGGACTTCTTCTGCTTCTTTCTTCTTCTTGTGGGCGGTTCTGTTTTTTTCTTCCCGCGGGGGCTTCCTGATGGCTGTGGGCCGAGCTAGGGACTCGAAGGGCTGTATGATTTAGCGGGCGCAAGTTTATTGTCGTTCCTTTTCCTCTTTCCTTTGCGCTTTTTGATGACTTCTTTTCCTCCTCTTGTCACGGTTTCATGGAGCGGTCTGTTTTTTTTAATGATCTTTATACTCTTCTCTTCTCTTTGGCTTTCTTCCTACTACTTCTACTACTACTTACTACTTACTACACTTTTGGCTTTCTTCTTCTAGCTAAACAGCTTCCTTTTAAAATCTTTGTACTATTAACGCATGCGCTGTATCTGTACTTACCTACCCTGCCATGATCATAACCAACGGCAAAAAATGATATATAACGACTTTCTCCATCATGAAGAACCTCCCTCTCCCCGCTCTCTCCTCCGTAACCCCAAAGCAGACAGACAAGCAGACAGACAGACAGACAGGTAGTAGGAGGTCTCGCATCCAATAACACACCTCCACACGCACGCGAGCGAGCAACGCAAAGAGACGTGGCATGAAACGTTACTCGGGGCCAATGATGCGGCTGTGGCTTGCCTTGCATGCGGTGCGGTGGTGATGTGATGTGGGTCATGGGGTGTCACTCGCGTTGTGGGTTTCGGCGGTTGTTAATTCGTTCATTGTATCGCGGTTTGCAGTGGGTGGAGTTGATCCATCGGCCTCCCCTCCCATCATAGCCCCACTGACTACTACTACCGCCTATGTATGTAGTTCCGATAGTATACTAGCCGCCGCCGGTTTGGTGTTTACTCGCCCGGCCGCGGGGGGGTCCTTCTTGCTATTAATTATATACATATACCACATCAACTGACGGGTTTTGACCAACAGCAGCTACTATGTATGTATATACTTGTAGCTAGCTATCAACCAAGATCAATGGCTAGCATGGCCCTAACATGTATCGTCCCGCACGACTCGTATTGTCTGTGATGTTGGTTATATGGAGGAGCGAGTGCGGCGTATCATGGGGGGTGCCACCCGTGGTGGGGTGGGGGGTGGTGGTGGGTCTGTAGGAAGGGGGTGTTGGTATTGGGGTCATGGGATGTCACTCGCTCTGCGGGTTGGGTTCGTGGGGTATAGAATGGGAGTTAGGGTTTTGGGGTTGGGTTTGGTGGGTGGGTGTGAAGGGCTGGGCGGTGGTAGGTGTAAGGAGTACCTTGTTGGGGAATGGCACCGGTTGCGGATAGGTTTGGGGGGGGGGGGGGGGGGGCGGGTTGATAAACACGGCGAAGCTCTCATATTATAGCTTGTAAAGCTACTGGTGCTTATGATCAGTGCTGAGAGTTCGTTCCGGTAGCAAGGTAAAGCGGAAGACGTATTAGTAACTTCATGGCTGCGAATAATCAGAATAGACAGAGTGTAAGAGGCGAGAGGATTTGGATTACTATGTGCTTTGAGGGACCCCGAAATACCTGTCTTTAGATTGATAGACCAGGCAGCGTGAGGTTTCTGATAGGTCCCACGCAGTTTGAGCAGGACTGTCTAGCCCCCCGAAGACGTCAAATCTACAAGTCGGGGAGGAAGTTGACGGTCGGTGATACCTACTCGTACTGGCGAGCATCATGGCAGCCATTGAATTCTACTGCTGTTCTTGCCCTCTCTGTACAAAACCACCAAAATTATTCTCTAGCTCTGTGTACCCTCGAAACAAGTCTAAGAAGCTACGTACAGTTCAAGACTATAGACACCGATGCTTCGTGATACTTACTTCTCTCAGGTCGCCAACACATCTAATCGGTTTCCATCTTGAGTTGTGCATTAATCTAGAGTAGATCTGCTCTTTGGAGGCTAGTTTCCAACACTCCTCCCCCTCCCCCTCCTCCTCCTCCTCCTCCTCCTCACTCGCTCCGTCACTAGCTACATGTAGTGCCACCCCTAAATCAAATGCCTTTCCAGACATCCATATAGCTATTTCACCCTGGCTGGTAGTTAGGCACTTACTGGTCAGACCCTGTCTGTACATGTGGTCAGCACCACTGCATTTGTCGTCTCCCCTACTGCTTCCTCCGGTCACGCTTCCCCCATTTCCAGCACAGGTTAAGACTATCATTGACCACCCAAACCCATGGTTCCCGGCACCGCACGCTGATCCTCCCTCCACCCCCGGCTAGACCAACCCAATCCGCACAGCTCACCCCAATCCTCTCCCACCCCACGGCACTTCCCGCCAACTCTAATCCGACCACATCTCACCCACCACCTACCCACCCACCTACCCACACCACCTCCACCTCCACCTCCACCCACAATGGCGACCAACAACAGCACCACCACCACAGCAGCACCACCACCGCCGCCGACAAAGAACCTCTACATCTGCATCGAATGCTCGTACCCCGTGCAGTCGCTCTACACCGCCTACTCCTCGGCCGACGACCGGTCGCTGGGCCGCGGCGTGCGCCTCACGCAGTGTCCGCGCTGCAAGCGCTTCGCCGACAAGTATGTGGAGCATGACTTTGTCGTGCTGTTTATTGATCTCGTGTTGATTAAGCCGCAGGTATGGGCCCATTCGTTATACTCGGAGGAGATTGAGGGGGGGGGGGGGGGCGCGGGATAAGGATAGGGATGGGGGATGGATAGGATAGGATAGGATAGGAGAGAGCTGATGGCGCGAGGGTGGTGGTGGTGGTGTATAGGTATATAGACATCTGCTGTTCAACCGTCTCGGCCGGCAGGACGACAAGTTTGAAGTATGTAGCGCAGCGGCTCTCCTCTCTACAAGTACAATGCAGCATAGAAAGATACACAAATGCTAAACTAACTACTCATAGCCGTCCATAATACGACTCGGGATACTACTGCTCCTCTTCGACGTATACCTGACATGGGCGCGCATCGAGAAGGAAATCCCCCAAGACCCATTCAACACCTTCGGCATCCTCACAAAGCAGCCAATCGTAGTCCAATACATGTTCTTCCGTACCACTCCCCCTCCCTCTCAACAAGTAACCCAGGCGGCACAACACAAGCTAACCCACCCACAGTCCTCCTCTGCCTCACCGAATCGCTCCTCTTCCACCTAACCATCCGCCTCCTCTCGCGCTTCCTCCTCGGCTTCACGCGCCCCAACTCGGTCTCGACCGCGCTGCTCGTCTCGTCGTGCACAAAGCTCTTCCCCATCCTCATGGTCATCTGGGAGTACGACGTGCCCGCCGCCGCCAAGTCCGTCGGCTGGGCCGTCGTCGTCAACAACGTCGAGGCGCTGCGCATCCTGCTCGGCGTCGACTATGTGAGGGCCGCGGGACTGGCGGGCGCGGGCGCGGTGGTCAGGGCCACGGCGAGTCAGGGCATACTGGCGTGGACGGGCTTGCTGGGGAGGGAGAGTAAGTGGGGTGTTATTGGCCTGGAGGAGTGGGTGGCGAGGTTGGGGTTGGGGAAGTAGGTTTGTGGAGTGTTGTAGGTGGCGATGGGTTGGTGGGGGGTTAATTATTTGGTAATGGATGGGTCGAGTTAGAGAACTTGATAATGACTTGCGGTTTGTGTGGCGTTTAATGCCATTAAATGATAAACTACTAGGGCGTTCAGTAAAAGGTCGTGGAAGCAACACCACGAACCCACGAACCCATCCAAATGTAGCAATGACAACAAGAATCTTTAGTGAAATAGCAAATAGATACGTGATAAATTAACCTTGAAATAGATTTCCTCCCTTCTGTTGAAACATTGATTTAGTTGGACCGCGTCACGTCAACTTTAGTGTTCGCCCCGTTGCTTCCTTGTTTTCACGACCTTTTACTGAACGCCCTAGTAGAGGTCCCTATTTTAATCAGGGGCAGAAATACATCCGAGAAAATAAGCCCGCTCATTGACTGGTAGCTATGAATTGAAAAGATAAGTGAGTCCACGGTAAATGAGAGCCCCATGCCTGTTTTTACGGCAGTTGTAAGGTCTGAAAAGTGGGCGAGATTGTTATATCTCCAGCTCTGTGCTGTACCGCTGGCCCGAATAAGTAGCCGAGTTGCACCGTATCACTCGGGGGGGGGGGGGGGGGGGGCCGCTAGACCTTATTGCAGAGCAACATTAGCTGCGCATACATACTCGTATACCAGGGTAAGAGCCAAAAAATGCAAGTGACGGAAACAGTAATGATTTGTATGAGAGATCACCGCCACCCTATACAAATAATCCTTGCCCTGAGCAACTGCATTTTCTGGTTCTTTTCGTGGTAAACGAGTACATACACTCACGTGTATGGAGGAGTGTCAAGTTCTCCCGGGCTATATTGTATGTACTAACCGGATGATTCCAGATATCGGCCGATAATCGGCCGATAAAAGGCCTTGTCCTATCCGGTGATACAGCTATCAATGTTGTCTTTACGGGTCTTCTGAATCGCTTGATCTAGTCGTAGTAGCCCGGGTATAGCACATGTAAACATATTAGCTAGTCTAGTTTAAAGGCTTGAGCAAGCTATTGAAGTGTTCAAAACCGGGAGTAAGAATGATTGCTTCTGGACCACCAGGTAAAAAGAATGTCCTGCACCCAGCTCCCGGTTTTAAACTGAGATTGTAATAAAACTATTATAGGAGTCTAGGCTTGACTTGACTTGATCAGATTAAGGTTAACGAACTCAACAGGTCTAGAAGTGTAATTAATGAATTAAACAACAACAACAAAAAAAAAAAAAACAGGTCTAGAAGCGGATGAGCATATCGAAGCGTTTGCCTAACTTTTTGGTTGCCGGCGTATTCCTCAAATCGAGGTTTATGTTAGTAGGTTATCTAAGTGTTTAGATTATCTGCATTGATTATGATGAATAAAGGGACTCCTTTCGACAAATCTAAATTTTCCCTTGAAAATTATATTCATGAGGTATCACTCGATGCTTAGACTAGGGGCTGTGACAGTGGTAAAGAATTTGTGTAGCCACAGATGAGCTAGGCGTAGGGGGAAATAGGGAACAAATCCCGTCTTTTGACACCCAACCTAGCTTCACAATGATATTGAAGGCCGTTTCCTTTTGTTTTTCGCTTGCTTTTCGTTTGGTTCGGTGTTGTCCAAGTTAAACTCATGGCTTGGCGACGTAGTAGTAACTATTCCACCAAGGTACTTTCATTCATTCTGTTGATTTATTCATCCCTGTTCGACCTTTTAGACGCGGCACCCACTTCTGCTCGTGGCACATGCCCGCACCTAGCTTCCGCTCCTCTGCTTCTGGTACTAGGATGTAGCCATTTGCTGTATGTATGCAGCCGGGGAATAGGATGAGCACGTGGCAAAAGCAGAACTACGCCTGAGGGCCATGCAGGGCATGCACAGGTATTGAGGGCTTCGGGGCCGGCCAAAGCAGAGATAGAGGTCGGGCTGGTCCTGTAGCCGCAGCGGTGCAGAAATGGCCGGATCAATTCAACAACCCCCGTCAACATACATACCCGCCGTATCACCGATCTGCCTGGCAACCCAGGTACATAGCTGACTTATGAAACCAGCAATATTACGCGTCTATTAGGGACTATGCCCGCACCCCCGAGATCAGCATTCTATTTCAGAAGAAGAAGAAGCTTTGACGAGATCTGAATCTATGTTTGTTGAATGGATATACGGCATTATATTATGCTATCTGAATAGCGTTAATGTTTGAGTGTAGCAAATTCCCGCGCGGCCTCACACATCCTCACGCCATCCTGAGTGTTTCAACAACATCCACACTAACCACATTCCAGGAATCTAATCCATAAGGAGCCGGGCAAGACTATTGGACAGTAGGATAATAGCGCATTCTAGAGCGATAAGCTCTGTTGTCGATTCATAAGCTGCCCAAGCGTCGTTATGAGGGGACGATGTTTGATATCAAGCCATGATAAATTATGTCGGCCGCCGCCTTCTTTATTCAAATGCGGCCTAAACCAGTACCTACATCTGTCAGGCCCAGTTTCTCGGAATCCGAGGCTTAAAGACAGGTCAGGGTCTGATAGTTTGTATGACCGAGTTCAAGGTCACAGCCTCGGCGCCTCGGGCCCAGAATTTTCTATTACTAACCAGATGGTCGGAAAGAAAGAAAGAGGTCCAACCTTAATATCCTCTCATTTCAGCTCTGCGGATGTGTATCAAACATCATTAAACCCCTTCCACGGCACTTCAACTTCAGTCCTTCAGTCACATCCTCACAGCCCCTCTTCACCCCCCCCCCCCCCCCAAATCGGTAGTATTCTTATCTACCCCTTTATCTAGATCTCATCGACCGATCGTACCTCACCTCAGGCTCGCCTATGTATTGTGGCTGCAGGCCGCGGGTTTTTTTCACATCCGAAATATCCGATTCATATTTCATCACTCGAACTCAGGTCAGATCCTAGGTCACGTCAAGCATAGTTATTAAAGTTATTACCCCGCGCCGTGGCGGCTGTTATCAGAGACCCCTGCTTGACAGACAGAAACGATATGGCCAAGACTTGGTGCCGAGATACCGAAGTGAGACTCATTCTCAAGATGCCCAACTGCTGGATCTGCGGAGATGCATGTCGGTCAGTTGTGTGCAGTGAGAAAAAGCTGTTTGAGGGCGGTATGCATGCAGTGCTACTATAACTTAAGGTTGGGGCTCATATTCGCCAGAGTACCGGCCTTCAGTCTGCCTAAAGTAGTTATCGCAACCAGAGCATTAACAGAAGCCTCGTGTTCGTATAGAATTTGAGGCTTTTCTTTAATTAATTTTTAACTCATGGTCCTCTAAGAGCTTCTTTGGCTAAAGTGCTCTCTTATACGAAAACTTATATGAGCGCCTAGAGTTACGATTTCATCGACTTGATCAAGCTTTTATGACAAGTGCCAGATACGGGAATCTAAGAATGGTTAGCTCGAAAGGCCATAAACTTAAGCTTAAACAGGAGCACAGGTGGGAGTCACGAGCCGCAAAATTACAAATCCTGTTTTCTTCTTTCCAGCTAGGACTGGGTACCAATATATGTCAGGGTGACGCATCGGCTTTCAATAGTAATAGTTTGAGACAGGGAAATCATCAAGCGAGACATACACTTCATCAGGCATGATTTTCGCTACTAATTATTATTGATTAGTAGTATTTTCCGAAAAGGTTTACCAAGCGATGCATGCGGGCTCTATCAACTGACTATGTCCGTGGGAGAAGTCAAGTACCGAGGGGGTATTCATCATTTTTGATGTCTATTATTGTACGATGTAGTCCATAGTCTACGCTATGACAGCTGTGGGGTATCACAACGTCGAATATACTTTAAAGCCGGTGCGGTTGAGAGCCTGGCCAGGCTTGGGATTAAGAACTCAAGATTTGCATGTAGAGAAAGTCGTGTAGGATATTGACGATTGAGCGGTGGTTTATTCAGAAGTTGAAGAGGGTCCAGGATCGAAAATAAGAGACGACTCACTATGTAACAGTGAGCGGATATTACATCCGGGCAAGATATACTACTCACTGGAAGGCCAGGTAACTACTCTAATAGGAGATCAGATATCAAATTTATGGCTCCAAGTGGCTCGAGAGCAGTAAACGTTAAACCGTGTGGCCGACAAAAGTAAATCGCTAATATTATCCACGAGGGGAGTCCCATGGGCGAATTACCCTTCACCACCATGAAGGGCCTATCCCTCCTTCATGCATTCTTCATTATCCCATGAACCGTAGAAGCCTGAGGTTCCAATTGGGTACTTTGCAACTCTAACCTCGATAAAAACACAAAAACGATATAATCCAGCCCTGTTCACTAATAACAAAGAAGCGGGAAAGTTTATCAACCGATCCCAATAAGAGCTCCTAATATAGTACTCACGAAGCTGGTGTTGCTGTGAATTTAAGAAAGGTCACTTTATTTCAAGTGGGACCCAATCGGGTCCTTAACTCGGTTGCTACGGTTGATGGGATAACAAGTCCCATATAGATATTTGCATGCGCTAATAAACATTCAAACAAAAACAAAACAAATGAAAATCAATGAAAGGTCTATAATTCATCGTGAACCCTCTCAACTTCAATGCCCGCCTCCTCCCGTAAACTATCCTCTACTACAGGGTCATACTCCATTATCCTCGATTTGGGGTTCCGTCCCTCCTCTTGTGATGGATTAGTGTGTTCAGGGTCGTAATCCATTCGCCGGGAGTTGGGGTTTTTGCCTTGAGATTCTTCGACCGCCTGTGCATTGGCACGGTTTTCTTCTTCTTGGTCATATTCCATTCTCCTCGATTTAGGGTTTTTGTCTCTGTGGGACGGTTCCTCGGCGGATTGCGCAACAACTGTTTCTTCTGGTTCGTAGTCCATTCTTCTTGACTTCATGTTCCGTGGCTCCGATTCTCTTTGAACACTTTCCGGGAGAGAATCCTCGTCATTAATTTCGCCCTTTTCTGATTCTGGTATATCATGCACATCTCCATCGCCATTACTAGCCGATGGAGCTTCTTCAAAATCTATGATCTTCTCGACCTTCTCTCTCATTGACTCTTCCCTCATCGACCCTTGCATGGCCTCAGAAGCTTCCGGCATGGATGATGCCGTTGACGATGGTACTCGTACCAGCAGGCTTTCCGGAATCCCCTTAACCTCCACAGTCGGTGTTGCGCCCACAAACCCGCTCTCATCAAGCCCGGCCCCCCGTCGTATCTCGGCAACCCCGCCATCACCGCCCGACCCAATAACCCATGCCACACATGATAGGCCCCACCACGCCAATCTCAATGGCATGCCAAAGAACAGATAGATCGGTCCCCATAGGAGCCGACGAATCAATATCCAAATAAGAATACTAACGAGAACATAGATAGCATGTTCAAAGTACCATCTATCACTTTTGTTCTTCTTGATTAAGTCTGAAATCAGCACTCTCGACGACGCAACAATATCGTCGAAAGCGCTGTACCGGGACGACAGATCTGTCAGTGCAGCGGTGGATGCATGCAGCGTTTCTGTCGCAAACGCCGAGCGCGAGAGCTCCGACTGTAACAACGTATGTGTACGCCGAAGCGCAACAGTGACATCGGTCGACGCACCGACCAGCAAGTCCGCCTGTGTCAGGCTTTTATTCCGCCGCTTGCCCTCTGGCGTTGAGCGGCCCGACCCACCGCCGCTAAGTAGCCGTTCCCGCTCACGCTGCGCGGTCATCTCAGCGAGCCGCTTCGATGCGAGCTGGGCCTTTCGGTATTGGAGGCGTGCACTATGATCACCTTGAATCAGGCCTGTTTATTCCCAGCGCTCACCCCACTGCTAAGTTAAGCTTACATTTTCATATCCTCCGTCAGCTTGTGAATCTTTGAGCTCAGCGCTGCTGCATTCGGCGAGTTGCCGTCGCCGATTTCATCGTCGACCTGTGTTGAGAGTAGCTCAAGCTCCTGGTCGGCGTCTTTCAGGGATTGATGGATCACGTTAGATAGTTCGAGGCGTGCAGCGTCGGTTCCGGCACCCCCGAGCTTTGAGAGTCGGGATATGAGGAGCATGCACTGTTTTTTGGGGGGCGACCTGTTGTTAGCTATTGCTACTAATGCCACGTTTCAATAATCCAAGATAGAAGACTGACTTCTCGGTGAGCATCGGTTAGGGAGGCTATTCGTTGGGAGATTTCAAGAATTGTCATTGTAGATATCCGGTGAAGAAGAAGCTACGGTGTAGAATGTAGAATTCTGATCGGAATGAAGATTAATTTACACGGTGGGATGGAGAGGTCCCAGAAAGACGTTGTGTTAGAGTTGTTTGCACGTGGCCTGTGCGCTAGCTAGCTCTTGGCTGGGGGTTGAGAAATGGGTTGGTGGTGACGTCGACACGACACACAACACAGCCAACAAAACAGCGAGTGCGAACCAGTGAACCCGGTGAGAGTGTCCCTGCCAATGGCGCACCTCTGCGTACAGCACACAGTACTCTACGGTAGGTACATGTGTGTAAATATTTGCAAGCAATCACATAAACCAACCACACCACATTCCAATGAGTAGAGCACATAGGCGAGCGTTACATGATTGAAATCAGATCTTTCATAATACTACATGTATTTCAATTGGAGAATCAAATACCCAAATCCTAAAACTTCCTCATTCCTCCTGGCCCTGTCGTCTGATCCTGTCCCATCTTTTTGATCTTCTCGCTACTCTCCACATAAGCGCCTCTTGCGTCCTGCCACACACCTCTTCCCATGGTGTTCAAACAATAGTCCACAATCCCCTTCAACTCCCGCTTACTCTCATTCTCAAGTCTTGTTTGTTCTTTCTCCACCCCTTCGCCCTTCTCTCCCTTTCTGAGCCTTTGGTCCAAGTCTTGCACCTCCGAAATGAACTTCTCCGCCTTTCCACCCTTGACACCTTCTCCCTTACCCCATACCTTCTCCATCACCTCAGTGTCGCTCACGTCTTTATACCATGCCCGGGCATTGTCATAATCACCCTCAATGCGATGCAACACCCGTGGAGGAACATCCCTTCGGCGGCAGGCAAGGACTGCATTTTACGCACGAGGAAGTGTGCAGATGGGAGGTCATAATTGAGGATATGAAGAGCAGCCTCGAGAGCAGGATGCACACGGAGAGAGGAAATTGGGTCAGCAAGCGAGGGTGTATGTGGTTTTGGCGGATGCAGAAGAGGAGGCCTGAAAGAGAGCGTCTTTGCGTAGAGTTCGTCGAAGGCTGAGCTTCGAGTCTGAGTTTCAGTAGAGGACATTTTGTGGAGTGTTTGGAATCTCAATGAGGAGAGGTTCGAAGCCGATGCATTTCGTGAGCTTTGGGGATTAGAGGCAGCGGAGGAGGAGTGATATATCAGACCACCTGAGTGGTGATGTCATTTTGTTGAAGTGGAAGCCGGACAGTGCTAAAGGTCTAGTATTCACCATGGCTCAGTTGCTCCGATCCAGATATTCCGGCCCTAATTGGTGGCGATAGTTAATGTTGCGGTCGAAGTAAGTAGTGTATAATTATTGCAATATCGATCATTGACCCAAAGGAACCCAAATTCTTGGAAGAGAAGCCAAGGCTAACACTAGCGCCGAAGCACCATGAGTATCAAAGCCATAATCGTCAAAAACCACGGATTCTGCAATACTATTGTTTAAAGTAATTATATCCGTAACTCTGTAATTAGTTTAAAGGGGGCTCGTGGGGCACGTTCGGGGGTCGGAGGCCGCTTCTCCGAGGTATGTCTTGGGATCAGTCCTGAATCAAACACTGAGGAACTGATCATGATTGGCTAATTGCTAAGATGAAAGTATAGCCAAAAAATGCGAGGATGACTCCTCCACTCGCAATTGCAAGACGTTTTCAGACCGGCCTGAGTCGGAGTATCTCCAAGGCCGGAGGCTTACGTAGGCTTGTAGATTAGCGAGCTTGCTCAGTGCCGAGAAATAGTGGCGCAAATACGAGCTGAATCCAGTCATTCGCAGAGTCAAATAGAGACTAGATCAGGGATTTCTTTTGAGGCTGTCTGTTGGATCGGCTATACCGATTAGTTTTTCAAATTGGTGTGTGTTCGTGTTCTTTAGAGTGTATGTGATGGGAAAGAAGGAGATATGACAGGTGACGGTTACCAAAGCTTGATATATACTGTACTCCCTCCCATAGGTCTCCATAACCTTAACAGGGTGTCTTTCGGTGTGTCACAAAGTCACATACTGCGCGGTAGCGTTTTCCTGGGTTTATATTCATCTTTACCTGTGCGGTAAATTGCAATTTAAAAGAGCGAGTGATATGCCATGAAACAGAACGATCCGCTGGCCAGGGTAAAATGACTCAGAAAACTCTGCAATGACTAAAACCAATTGGTCGGTCAAGCTGCAGTATTGCTCTAGATCTCTATCAAGCGCATGCAGATCTTAACTCCGTTGGCTGCTCAATGTCAATCGAGATGACACATTTTATTCTATATACCTAGTAGATATTCCCCCTCACCCTTACCTTAGCAGATTATCTGATCAGAGCTACCCAATACGAGTATATAATATATTTTCCAAAATGACCTGTCGCCGAACTATATAGATCAGATAAAAGGCAAGGCTTGAACACCAGATACTGTGGAGGTAAGTCGGGTGTTACAATATCTCCGGGATAGTACGGCGATTGAATCGGAAGTCCGTATTCATAAAAATCCGCATGAGTCATGCAAGCCAGTTTCTGCAGTAATGCAGGTCACACTGTACAGTGCGATACGCAAGGCAAACGGTGCCATGTTGTGACGGGCTATCATTGGTAGGGTACAGCGGGAAACGGAATAATTCAATATTACAGTACAGTGAAAGTAAGCTTAAGTTAATGTGGGTAGAAGCTGGCCTGAAAAGAAATACAAAAACCATGGCCATGAGGTGGGGATAGGCTGGTTGACGAATTGAAAGGAAAGAAAACTTGGACTTAACATTCCTGTAAATACCAAGTATGATTTACGCCTACAGACTGCGCTGGATTATGCAAGGCCGGCTAGACATTCATGCAGATACCTGGAAGAATAAATATTTTAGCCATATCTATACAATTATTCACCTAGTTTTAGGACTAGTAACATACCTTCTGGTGCCTCTCAACCGCGCGCTTCCAAAATTCTTCCAACATCTGATGATACTCGTTTACTGCTTCAAACTGCAGACAATGTCCCACACCATCAAAGACCCTTTTCTGGACGCCTCCCATGATACCCTGTACAATTACATCCGAATGTTTATGCTCAATTAATGCATCCTTGGTTCCCGTGGCCACTAATATATCGGGGATTTTTTCGCCGAGCACCTTCAGTCGTTCGGGGCCAAAGTAATGCCAGCTCACAGCAAGCCCTTGAAGAAGTGTTCCTGCGTAGACAGGAGCCTGCAGCTTCTCCATACGCCAGAGATCCTCGGCAACGAAGCGGTCACCGTTAGTGGGGAATTCACCAAGTTCGTCGGGTGCGAGGAGCCATTCGGGCGAGAAGATATTCGCTTTAGCAGCTTCGAGACGCTCAACAAGTGGTTTAGGTCGGATCATCTCGATACGGCGGGCAATATGTGTGAGCCATGGCTAGTGTGAGGAATTGAGGAATTAGTCCAGTATAGAGACTCAACGGAGAAGAGCTTCGTATTATTGCATCGTATGAGGAATATTCACGACCTACAAGTGTGGAGACTAGGCTTGAGGCTGTGCTCTGGAGAGTGAGAGAGGCGATACGTTGTGGTATAAGATACGCCCTAACCCCCACTGCTCGTTAAATTGCAAATACTTAAGCCAGTCCCGAGGATTTGGTCCCTGGGCACAATATACGAGGAGGCATACAATTCTTGGGAAATCATCCCTGTGAGAATAGTGGATAGAAATAAGCTTGCGTGTTCCATATAGATAGATAGCCCTAATTAATGAGAAAGTAATGTTTACTACTCACCTCCCATGGAGACACCGACCACATGGAGCTGGCGAGCCTTGGTCCAGCCTATGTGGTCCAAAATATCGATAACATCTTTGGCCATTTCACTGGTGGAGTATTTGACAAGTGGTTTGTCACTGTCGCCAACACCTGAGGGTTGCATTGACCATTTTAGATAATTGTTCCTCAGGTATCCCACCCCCTAACACAAGAAAACAGAGACAGCTGCAGTCTTTGTTTGGGAAAAAACTGCAGCATCGAGTCAAAGGGCTGATAGTAATATTACTTTACTGACCCCGATTATCAAATACCAATGATGTGTATTTGTCACCATGTTTATGTCCACTACATGTAGTAAGATATTAGTACTGTTACTCATAGTTTCACAAGGACACAAGCAAAAATAAGGCCCGAATAAGACCTACAAATATTTTATTTGCTGCAGTAGCGAGAAAAAGCAACCAGGAGGGGAAACAGTTAGAGAGTTCCGTTTCAATCTAAATAAGTTGGTTGCCCAATCAAGGAATCTCTTACACGATACCACGCAATTTTGGGAGCGTTTAGCCCCATTATCCACTACACAAGCAATCAGCAAAATTGATCTAAAGGACCCCAATCAACGACAATCGACAAGACAAACGAGGGCACAGCCCGCTAATCATTCCCGCTATCACATAAAAATGACAATAATTGCGAGGATGTACCACAAGATGAACGGGACCCGTCCCGTGGACTTCATACGCAATTGCCATCGGACCGCCAGCCCTGTCAATCGCAACTGGTGCATTCCCTTGACGATCTGGGGTGTGGAACTCCAAGACCGTGGGGAAGGCCGGATGAGCCAAAATCTCCTCGATAGTCAACGGTTTGCTCATCGTACTTAAACCTAGGTTCAGTTGTTCTGGTAGTGTTTCGATGCCACAAAGGGAAGGGGTGATTCAAGGTAGAGGCCCAGAGGGAACAGCAGCATTCAGGAACCAAAAAATGCTAGAAACCCGGGAAAGACAGCACCTATTTTTGATGGTTGATATCGAGAGGCTTGTCAGGGGTGAGAAGTGCAAACTCCAGAGGGGCTCAACCACCCGTCGGTGAGAACAGTCAATTCGGCGACGAAGCCGAAAACGAATACGAGACAGACAGCTTGCCTAGGAATATTTCACTGACTAAGCTACGTACAAATATTTATCTATTCTACATGTTCTCGTCCGACTAGATGATGCCTAATCGGCCGAAAGAAATCACTCGCTCGCGTATCGCAATCGACGTCCTGGGTTTTCTGCGCGGCCACTGCGGCGGGACCTACTCTGCTTTACTACATATGACCATGCTTACTATTATATAATACGAGAGTCATCACACACACAAATAGAGACATGTATGTACCTATAGTACGACTCAACTCCTTCAATCTATAAAGAGATGCTATTGTAGTAGTAGTGATGTGGGAGTAAAATGCTTAAAACAATGTCATATTAGATATCAAATGTGCATATGTGATGTTGATCGGGTTTTCCATCGCATTCCGTATAGATCTAGCGATAGTGACTAGGTACAGGATTCTATGCAGTAGGCATCTTGTGTGGGACAAGAACAGAAATGTGGTACCCAAATGTTAAAACATTGAAGGGGCCCGGGGGGGGGGGGGGGGCCAGTGTCTCTGTACTGAGACTATCCGCATGCGAGCAGCAGCTAATAGTAGGTTCCAAAGTACCTGAAAACGAGATTCTGAACGCGTAAGCTAATCTCGAGAACGTATTTATGAATTGAGGCTGAGGGCATGGCAGGAGGAAAGTGGAGAGTCTGTAACTTGTAGAGTGCCCAGTCTGGGGAAAGAGAAAGAGTTAAGTAACAATTGTAGTTTGCCCTAGGTCAAAGCTCAATCCATGGACTTGGCATGTTTCTGCCAGGAGCGGAGGTGTCAACTTCTTAAAGGACAAGCTTGAAAGGTGCAGAGTGAAAAGAGGAATAGGATTTATTTAACTCACCCTTTCTGAACATCCTCCCGAACTTTCTTTACCATTCAACCAGCATATTCGACTCAGTTTATTCCTTGCTAAGGTATCACAGGGTGTGGTAGAGTAAAAAAGGCGGGATTGTAGTTGTTCCGGCGCGCGCAGACAAGGGACTCCGAGGCTCCGGGGCCGGACTCACACGACAGGGCCTGCAAGTTGCAACAGCCTGCAACAGTCTGCTAGCCCACATACCATTAGTCAGGGCCGTACTTGCACTTTTTGCCTGTAAGTTGTGAGCCTGTGACTTCATTAGCTTTCAGCCAGCCAAAGAGCAAGCATTTACCTCGTTCGAGGAAACCTTCCGCTTTACAATCACTCCTTCCTGCATCACACTTGCAGGTACCCTTCCCTCTACCCCCAACGTAACTTAGAACTACCCTAAAAAAGCCCTCTTTGTGCTCTATTCTTCTATTTCTAATTATCTCCGAGTCGTCAAAAACCCTATACCTCCCACCCCCCACCCACTCACTTGTCTAATCTCCTCCCCGCAAACAGACTAGAACACCAAAGAAGCTCTATCGTCTTTTTCTTTTTCTTTTTCTTTTCCCTTTCCTTCTGTTGCTACGGTACTTGGTATCCGCTCACATGTGCCGCTGCCATTGCAGTACATATTAATCACACTCCTATTCGGATTAGTTACCAGTCTTCTTTACATACATATCATCATCGGATCAGATCCTTAACACTATCCGCCGCCACCCCATAGAACATTTTCTACTACTCTTACTTTACATCCGGACGGAAAGGGAAGCAAAAAAAAAATAATAATCTCATGGCTGCTCACAGCATTGTGAATCTCTCCCCGTCACCAACCACTTCTCCAACATTTCTCGGCAACGGAGGTGCGCCTATCCCCGCCGCTATGTTTAATCCCGGACACGCTTCGTCCGACGATGGAGGAACCGATCCGAAACGCAGGAGGATTGCAAGAGCTTGTGATATGTGTAGGAAGAAAAAAGTTCGCATGTTCTCTTGTCCTAGACTCCCACATCATCGGATAATGGTGGCAAACTTTAAATTACTCAAGCTTATTGTTATGTTCTGGAATAGATCAAATGTGATGGTAAACTACCGTCGTGTACACATTGTGTGAACTACAAAACAGAATGTGTCTTTACCTTGGTTGAGAAGAAAAGAAATCCCCCCAAAGGGTTGGTCAAGTCTTGAGTTCCTCATTCGAGCTCGACCGCTGACATATGACAGCGCAAAATATATTGAAGGATTAGAAAATCGGCTTGGAAGGATGGAGTCTCTCCTCAAGTTATCCGGTTTGTTGCCAGAGGGTGATGGGAAGACGGATCTGGGGGATTTGGAACGCCGTTTACAAGATCAGGTACAGCAACAACAGGCTGCTAGCCAGAATGGATCCGTATGTACACCCACTGTTGGAAGGTCGTCGTCAGAATCAATGCGGGAGACTCCGACCTCGTCCTCGATGCACTCAGTTACAAATTCCCCCGCAATCTCTAAAGAGGAGGATGAAGTGGAAGCCTTGTCGGATCAGATGTGTTCTTTAGTCACGAATAATTGTGGAGAGACACGATTCATTGGTATATACTACCGAAATGCTGCTATTTTTCGTGTTTAAGACGGCTGAATGGATTTTCTAACCAAGGTCTTGTTCAAGGTTCCTCATCGGGATTTTCGATATTTTCACCAAAGGGAATTCAATGGGTAAATGAAAAAACAGGTGACAAGAGTTTTCAGCAAATGATCATGGAGGCCACGTCGGCAGACTCAAAATGGTCTATGTGGAAGCAGGATATATTCGGCCCTCTGTTTGAACACCGAGGGGAGAATGAGTTGCCAACCAAAGAGGTAGCATCTGCGCTTGTACAAGGTGAGACCTTTTTTTATTTTATAATTCGTTCAAATGTATTTGCTTGTTTTGTTTTGGGAATTGCGTCCTCATTGCTTCTTCTGTCAACTAGACTTTTTCCGGTATTTCAATGTTTGCTTTCCGCTTTTTCATAAACCCACTTTCGATGCTTTATTTGAACGACACTATTCGGAGACCCCTCCACCGAAAGACTCCGGATGGTATGCGGCTTTCAATATGGTACTTGCGATTGCGTTGCGAATTCAGATTTCACATCCCGGACTACCGGACGAAGATACTGCTACCTCCCATGTACAAGAGTCATGGCAATTTTTTCAGAATGCAGCTTCTGTTCTTACTGAATTACTTTTGAAGAACACTGATTTAGTCAGCATACAAGCTATATTAGGGATGGTACTATTCAAACTCTTTCTTATCAGCGTGATGGGGGTATATCTTTTATAATATTGGCTGATCTGTTTCCTCTTTAGGCTCTTTACTTGCAGGGGACTGCTAATCCACAACCTTCCTATTTCCTCATTGCCGCGGCAGTGCGGATATCGAATAGCATTGGCATGCATCGAAGAGGTAACTCGTTTGGATTGAATTCCGTCGAGGTCGAGCAACGTCGGCGGGTTTTTTGGATCATGTATCTCCTGGATAAAGACATGGCACTCCGCTCTGGACGTCCCCCGTGTATCAATGACGATGACATCTCCGTTGAATTACCCGACGAAGACCCCGCCGATGATATTGGCAATATCATGCTCAAGAACGGCAAAGACAAGTGTAACCTCTTTAGACTCATGGCCACATTTTCGGTCATTGAGAGCAAAGTCTATATGCAGCTCTATTCCGCCAAGGCTGCTAGGCAATCTGATGGAGAGCTACTGAATACTATCGGAGATCTTGACAAGGAGCTTGAGGAATGGAAGGAGAGTGTGCCACTGGAGTATAGGCCGGATAGTGAAATTGATCTTAACCAGGGACCGTTGGTGCTTCATCTAGTCATGTTACACTTTGCGTACTACAACTGTCTCACAACAATTCATCGCATGTCGATACATCATGGCTACTGGTCCAGCAGGCTTTCAAATTACGCTATAGCTGGCCTAAGTGCACGTCCACTCAATCCGCGTGTCTTCTCGAGTGCAGCGCTCTGTGTGGCTGCGGCTAGGTCGTCGATTCACTTGATCAAGTATATTAACAGACGTGATTATCCTTGCATATGGTAAGTGTTTTCATTTTAGCTCGTCTTCATGCAAGAGAGTATATCGTTATAATTTTGATTCACTTATACATATAGGATGTTATGCAGGTTGATCATGTACTATCCCGTATCGGCACTCGTAACCCTCTTCGCCAATGTCCTTCAGAACCCACAGGATGCCCGCGCAAGGAGTGATCTGAGACTTATGAATGTAGTTGTGGAGTTTTTACAGACTGTGCAAAAGGAAGATGATAGCAACAAGCAAGACACTGCATCCGTACAGCGGATGCTTGCGGTCTGCGGCGAATTCCATCGAATTGCCAAACTAGTGTTAGACAAGGCGGAGAGTGAGAATGTTAGTAGGAGGAAGAGGAAGAATGATGACTCCAGGCATAGTGTCTCGTATCCACACAAGCGCGATGCATCGAGCTCCCCTAGAACAAATATACCGCAGGCTACATCACCAAGGACCGAGACTGCGTCGCCCCCTACTAGTGTATTGAACCCAGAGATAAATTCTCAGGTATTTTTACACTACCCTGATAATTACCTCCTTTTTAACATTCCACTAACTCAAAAATCAGCTCTTTGGAGATTATCCAACCGCCTTTTCCCCTTCGAACCCTCTCTCATGGCTCAACGAGATGAATACCCCCGCATCAACCTTTCCCGTTTCTCCAAACGCGGGTCATGTAGGTTTAGATACACAAGGCCTGCCGCAAATGTCAGGTAACTCGTTCCAACAGCCGTTCGTACCGCAGGATTTGTGGCAGATGCCGATGACATTTGAGTGGGACTGGGCGGACGTGAATACTCAAGTCCCCTGGGGACATGATGGTACTAGCGGATTGTAGTATATGTGGAGATCCGAGGGAGAGAAAGGTATTGCGTGGATAGAGCGATGCCGACCAAAAATTTCCATGTGTTTGTTTGATTTGCATCGGAGTATCGGGTTTGGGGCATTTTTTTCCAAACATCTTTTGGTTTTCTTTATTACATCTCCCTACCCCCCTTTCTTTTTCTACCCCACTCTTGTCGATAAGGCATGCTTGCACGCATGGGACAGCTTTACTCCACTCACTGGGAGCAAAAAACTCTACTCAGGTAATGTGCAAATAGTTAATCTTCTCTCCCCTGCGGCTGAGGGGTAAAGAGAATGGATGGAGGAAACGTATGTATTATGGGACGGGTGATATGTTTGGACGATTCTACATCAACAGCGATGATTCTTTTACAACGATCGATATTATTATATTAGGCAGGTTTGGTTTGGTTGGGTCGGGTACGGGTATTTTAGTTGTTTTTCTTCTTTCTTTAAATCCACTTTCTTTTGTTCTTTAATGGCATGTGGTACATATACGATCGCGATGTATTTATGTACGTTTTGTAGTGGTGTAAACTGTTCTGGAGTTTATCGGGGTCATCTTTTTTTAGGCATAAATACTCTGCTCTAGTGTAAACTATCATCAATTTTCTCTCATTTCCTGTTTCTCGGACGATACGGGCGATAGGGGGCCAGAAGGTTTGGGTGGTTCTCGGGCGATAGAGATTTGCAAGGGAGGTCAAATATAGCCATTGCCGCTCCCTCAGTGGGTCTGGGTACCCCAATCATTGGCTGTCACTCGACACATTTTAAAAGGAAGCGCTGAGGCCTAGTTTAATTCAACCCCCACTTGAATTCGGGAACTCCAAGATGTGAGACAAAAACGGTTCTGATTCACAGCGACATGGGTGGTCCCCGATGCCCAGTCACGATGGTATCTTTTAATGATGCCTTGATACCTACTAGTATGGAGATACGGTTCCTTTAACACCGCTTCGCACTAGGCCCTATCCGACTGCGGGGCGAGATCGCTTACTAATCCCGGCGTGGGGTGACGAAAAATGCCTTCTTACGCAACTCCCGACCGACACCGGATTTCCGCTGCAGCTTCCAACCACACCGCCACCCCACACAACAACCTCCATCATCCACATCTCATTCATCCATCTCATCTCATCCTCACAACCACCCCGCCTATACCCCGTATTACATCAATCCGCCCCTTGCAGGGCTCAGTTCGTCACAGCAATGCTTCCGCGATCCCGAATTCTCGCGAGGCATTCGGCGGCGCCGACTCGAGCGTTGCTTCAGCGGTCCTCAAAACTCTGTCTTCGTACGCCGGGGCTGGTAACTCCTCTAAGTGTTTACGGCGGTATTGCAGTGCGGAGGTCGTATGCTACTGTAAACAAGGGACCTGGGCAGGGTGGTGATAACAAGGACAAGAAGGCCCCCGGTTCCTCGAAAGTGCCCCCGATATCAGAATTCAAGCCGGAGCAGTGGGATAAACTTCACCCCGAGCATCAGAAGTTGGTGGCTTTAATTATTCGCGATCCCGAAGCGACGTGGAACAGCTGGCCCATAGATCAGAGGAAGGCGTTCATCTCAATGGTTGAGGATGCGAGCAAAAAGGCGGAGAAACTCTCCAACTTACCGTGGATGCCGAAGGTTGTTAAGGATATGGCATCTCTTTTCGGCTTGAGTGCGGGGCCCCAGAACATGCAGCAAAACAAGGAGGCAGGCCAGAAGCAAAGCAAGGAGGAATCAGAGAGTAAGGGGGAAGAAGAGAGCGGAAAAGAGAAACAGGAACACCGAGGGAAGGAGGGGGAAGCCGAAGGAAAGGGTGCTGACGGAAAAATGTCATTTGGGCTTCCTAATGATGGCAAAGGTGGGCCCCGAGAGTTCAAGCTCGATTTCACCAACCTCCTTGCCACAGCTGTTATTTCGTTATTTGTATATCAGTTTCTTGTTCCAGGCCAGGAAGCTAGGGAGATTACCTGGCAGGAATTCCGGAACACTTTCTTTGACAAGGGTCTTGTCGAGAAGTTAACTGTCGTGAACCGCAGCCGCGTGAAGGTCAATCTTAACAGGGCGGCTACTGCCCAGATGTACCCTGACTCACCCGCCGCTGGAAACCCACAATTCTACTATTACTTCAGCATTGGTTCCGTGGAAGCTTTCGAACGACGATTAGATGATGCGCAGAAGGAATTGGGTATTCCTAGCTCCGAACGAATACCCGTGGCTTACAAAGACGAAATCTCTTGGACAGGAACTGTTCTATCATTTGCCCCTACACTTCTTGTAATAGGATCTATCTTCTGGTTATCACGCCGTGCTTCTGGTGGTGCTGGTGGGCAGAGCGGTATCTTTGGAATCGGCAAGTCCAGAGCTAAACTTTTCAACCAAGAAACCGATATCAAGACAAAATTTAAGGATGTAGCTGGTATGGACGAGGCAAAGGTGGAGATTATGGAATTCGTTTCATTCCTCAAGCAACCCGAGCGCTTCCAGAAGCTTGGTGCCAAGATTCCCCGCGGTGCTATCTTATCGGGTCCTCCCGGTACCGGTAAGACCCTTCTTGCCAAGGCGACTGCTGGAGAGGCTCAGGTTCCTTTCTTCTCTGTGTCCGGCTCTGAGTTTGTTGAAATGTTTGTTGGTGTTGGTCCTTCTCGTGTCCGTGACCTGTTCGCGAAAGCAAGGAAGAACGCACCTTGCATTATCTTCGTCGACGAAATCGATGCTATTGGAAAATCCCGTGCAAAGTCTAATTTTGGCGGTGGTAATGATGAAAGGGAATCCACACTCAACCAGCTTCTTACAGAAATGGATGGGTTCAACACCACCGAACAAGTTGTTGTTTTGGCGGGCACTAACCGCGCCGATGTGTTGGACAAGGCATTGATGAGACCTGGACGATTTGATAGACACATTACCATCGATCGCCCGACAATGGATGGAAGAAAACAGATCTTCCTCGTCCATCTAAAGAAGATTGTGACCTCGGAGGACATGGATTATCTTAGCGGCCGACTGGCTGCTCTTACCCCCGGATTTTCTGGAGCCGATATTGCCAACTGTGTTAATGAAGCTGCGCTTATCGGTACGTTGTTCATCCTTATCCGAGGCAAGGGTTTCACGTGCTAATCTGATCCTAGCCGCTCGAGGAAACGCCGAAACTGTGGCCATGACGCACTTTGAACAGGCTATTGAACGTGTTATCGGTGGCCTTGAGAAGAAGTCACTTGTCCTCAACCCGGAGGAGAAGAAGACAGTTGCTTATCACGAGGTATGACCTTGTGGAAACCAAACCCTTTATTTTACATTGCATGACTCGCTGACTTGACTCAGGCCGGCCATGCTGTGTGTGGTTGGTTTTTAAAATATGCCGATCCGCTTCTCAAGGTCTCTATCATTCCTCGTGGTCAAGGTGCACTTGGTTACGCTCAATATCTTCCTCCGGGAGAACAATATCTCATGTCTATGTCGCAACTAATGGACCGCATGGCAATGACCCTGGGAGGCCGTGTTTCCGAGGAGATACATTTTGATACAGTAACTTCTGGGGCCTCTGACGATTTCAACAAGGTCAACCGTATGGCATCTGCCATGGTTACAAAATGGGGAATGAGCAAGGATATTGGTTTTGTCTACTATGATGATGATGAGGGTCAGAGACTTCAGAAGCCATTTTCAGAGGAGACAGCACGCCGGATCGACAAAGAAGTAAAGAAACTTATTGACGAAGCCTATGTCAAGTGTAAAACACTCTTGACAGAGAAGAAAGAACTTGTGGGGTTGATTGCGGAGGAACTTTTGAGGAAGGAAGTATTGGGGAGAGAAGATATGATCAGGATTTTGGGCAAGAGGCCGTTTGAAGAGAACAAAGATTTTGAGAAGTTTTTCAATAAAGCACATCAAGTCAGCTCACCACCGTAAGTAAAATACATAACTCCAGATCAAGTATCTTACTAGACCGTACTGACAGTAGGAATACAGCCCATTCCCAGAAGATCAGGCCCCACCTGTAGTCAACGACTCCGGCCAAGCTCCCACACCCCCATCATAAATAAACCCTACTCAAATATTATTTCATTGTACTTTTTACTCTTTTTTTCGACATTGACTGGCTGGTGATTTTTTGTATATAAATGTGACATAACCCTTTCTCAGCTGCTATCAAGTCAACTAAGCACCACTCAATTCTTCAATTTCTCGATTCCTTTTCTCGGTTTTTATTGCATCTTTTTCCCGGGAGAGAATCTATGGGCTTGATATATTATTGCATGTGCGTGTGTTTAGAGGGTTTACCGGGGGCGAAGGAGGAACTGTGGGCATGGAGTTGATAGAAAAAAAAAATGTGTCGTGAGCTTCAACAATGATTAATGGATTTATGCGTTTGATTGAGAGATATCCTAGAACAAGTTAAAAAGCAAGTTGAAGAAACTCTTCTGAAGACTCATGTTCCAAATCCCCGGGGAAGTGTGTCAACTTCGGAAAGTGTTTTGGTATGGAGACCAGTGCATTCGGCAGTCTCAGACCTTGGGTGGGGTATTAATTCCCATTTGTTGGATAAGCCTTGGGGTCGACACACCGGCTCCCCCCAAGGTGTTTCGAGCCTTGAAACCTTGTTGGCATTATCTAGATACAGTCATTTCTTAGCTGATGCATTACTATCCGCGGAGGCAGTCAATGCCAGCCAGCCAAAAAATTCAAATCTGCATTAACGACCCAGCAAAAGACCCAGCAAAAGACCCAATCATCGTTGCAGCAAACTTACAAATTATTACGTGTTTTAGTGCTTATGAATCTACACATTTGATAAAGATTCTTATCTTATTATATAATTATATGTAATTGTGTCTTAAATAACCTGCGGAGAAATATGTTTTAGTCATGCAGGCCAGCGCCCACAGAGGTCTTATAGGACCAGATATTACCCCTAATCCTCTGGATAAGGTTAAAACATTAAAAGATAATATGGTGTGAGAGGCCTGGGGGGGGGGGGGGGGGGGGCGACCTTGTCATCCCTGTTCACACCAGTTTGGTATTGTAGCCCTTACAGTCATAAAGTCGAGTTAAAGCTAGGTGAGGCTCTCCAACGCTCGTCTCTCGGAGCTAATGAAGGAATTGACTGAAGTGGTGTGTACAGGGTTGGCGGGGTCCCTCTTGCACCATACCTTAAACTTTTATTTATGCTCCGATATGGGGGGGCATTGGATGAGGTGGGAGGATCCTGAAAATCAATATAGGTGTCTATTCGATCACGTAAATTTGTTTTACTGACTGGTCTAGATCTACGAATATGTACATGTATGTATATATACACTTCTATGACTAACACTGGGCTGGCCTCTCGCTGCAGCTGATACCGTTAGGAACACTTCGGTTATCTACTTATTGCATGGAAAGATGAGTCGATATCAATGTTTCAAATTAATGGTCAGCTAGTAGTCAGAAAGTGATATCAGATAATCAGATCGGGTGCGAGAGCTAGAGACCTCAACCCCACATTTAGCCCCGGTCACTCTCCTACATGAAGAGTAAGAAACATTCTTTCCAGTTTAGTAATATGGTATGAATATGAGTCAGAAGATTAAGCTGCTAGCTTGACTGACTCTAAGAACAGAAGCATGATTTGTAATAGGGTCGTGGGGACGTTGATTTAATTTAAGTCAATAGATTAATGATCGATATTACATGATGATATTCTTTTATTCATTGAATGAAGCGAAAATTTTATGGACAAGTTATATTTGAGGCTTCTCTATTAAAACTATAAACAGCCCAAGTCCCTTCTACGCGGACCAGTCTATCTCACTCCAAGAGACTTGATTCTTTAGTTTATAAACTTCCCGATGCGTGAAGAAGCTCGTGTGGTATATATTAGGACAAGGTCTTGTTACCTATAGCTGCAGCCAGCTATAGTGTGTGTCTTTCTTTTCCTTATTTCCCTATTTCTAGTGGTGGGTATAAATATGAGTACTTCACTGGTGCTAATTAGATATCGTCATAAAACATATGCGCAGTTCCAGAAAGCAGTCGAATATGCTTTATTCGCATATTGAAACATCATCATATTATTTAATTTGAGGCTTACAAGTGATTCATTACGAAGTGCTAGTTAGATCAAATAACTTGGCCCCCTGAATGTTGTTGCTTCCCTTTATATTATATATATTCATGTCTTTTGACAACCCTTGATTAATACAATACTAGTGTAAACATATTAAATATCTTCGATAACTCAAGCGATGATATCTTATGATACACTGATCACGATAACGATGGGGCCCGGGGGAGAAGGTAGAATTAAAACGGAAACTATATATTCAAGCTATGGGTACGGTATATACTATATATATATAACCCTTGCCTGTTTGCTATACGTTTCTTAAGTTTCTATATATCGTCGTGTATGTATTGCTGCAACAAAACTAAAACCATATGTGCCTCAAACCACCTGCAAGATCCTTATAAAAAACAAAAATCATTTGAAGGTGGAGTTAAGGTTGGCATGGGAATTCGATTTTTTTTTGGTGGATAAGAGATAATTAATTGTATTATGCCGGTAGTGAACCACATTGTTGGCCGATATGATATATTTATATTTATATACAATACATGTATCTATTATATAGAGACTGTATATACTGAGCATGATGTCCTGCTGTCTAGACTGCAAGTGGGCCGGACCAAGCCCGTATTTCAACTAATCTGAGGTGACTGTTAACGTTACAGTCGTCTCTAGGTCAACGACGAAACCAGTTCGATGGCGAATAGGCCAATCGAAGCCAACAAAAGCCAACAAAAGCGCCCCGACCCTTTTTGCTTTGACTAACTATCAGCCCAAAAAGTAGCCACTCGTCATCGAGCCGGGTTTGTCGTTGACCCAGAAACGACTGTAGAATTGATTTTTCGTGAGACTGGTAGTAGTAGTCATGACCTACATGTAGTGATTCACCATGGTACTACCGACGGTGTGCAGCTGTTGTAGGGTTATAAAAATAACCGATCACCCCACGACAACGCGTTAACGTCAAAATCCACTTCAGGTCAGAATAACTCAACAACCAGGAGAGCAATTGAATAATTTTAAGTCCCCTAAACGGAGTTACCCCTCTGACCTCGAATGTCTTGATCTGGGGTTTCTTCGCTGGTTGCTATGAGTCTCACATATGTTTCACAACCCGCAAATAGGCGACATCCGAACCGCCACCCCTTTGTATGGCGTAAGAGGTGTGAATAGGATACTTGTTTACCATAAAAAGAACTAGTTGCTTAGGATTATTTGTATGGAGTGGCTAGCTTCTAGAGATCAAAATTACTTGTGTGGGAAACTTCTGATGTAGATCGATGCCATTCAACCAATCACTCGAGCGATAATCCCTGGCCGGAGATAGCCAATTTTTCGAGTTTTGGCGGTATCCCTGTTTCCGTCACTTGCATTTTCTAGTTCTTTTCGTAGTAAACGGGTATATATTGATCCTGAGTGCTCCCGTCTTGACGACACAACAGACCTCACTTTAGGTTGTTTCCGGGTTACCTCGACGACGTACCTGCTGATCAAAGTAGCCAACCAACATCCCAGTATCCTGCTGCAGGCAGCTGTGGTATATAACAGATATATATGTTGGTGTAACAGCTAGAAATGGCAGAAGTACTTGCACTAACCTCTGCGATCATCGCAATAATCAAAATCACTGCGGACGTAACGAAGCTAGCGTATCAGTATATAAACGACATCCAGAAGGCGCCCGAATCTATTAGGATATTCTTGAGTGAAATTCAATCGCTCACTCAAGTTCTGAATCTCTTAGAGGAACATTGTAAGAAAAACCCCCATCTAAGCGCAATCCAGATGCTCGAGGGGCCATTGAATGAATGCGTAACGGAAATGAAAATGCTTGCAAAAAATCTCGAACCGAAGAATAGTGCTAGCTGGTGGAAAAGAAGCATTGTTAGATTGAAGTGGCCGCTGAAAGACGGAGAGATGTCGGAGTATTTGTCGAGGATCGAGCGGTTCAAAACTACAATTATATTGGCAATAGGGACAGCAAACCAGTAAGTTTTTAACACTATAGTTATTCCGATCTGTGTTATATTGGGCCAAGGACGCATGAAAATTAATAATATCTTTACCCAAAAAGATCTCAACAGGCGGCTATTATGCACGGTATGCGATATGTGATCGAGAATAATAGCCCCATAGAGGCGAAAGCCCTGATTGGTAAGAGTAATTTTCATATTTTTAACCAATCCCAATCTATAAGTCCTCGAAGATTTTGGGCTTTACTTTTATCAATCACGAATGGGGGGTCAGCTAAACAATCGCTAACGCGCTACATTGGCATGTACTATTTATCAGAACTAGAAAAGCGAGAACTGATCCTCCGATGGTTATTCTCGAAAGCATTTGACCAGAGACATACCGAAATCAGTAAGAGAAGGCAAGAAAACATTGGCCAGTGGCTACTAGAGTCACAGGAATTCGAGAATTGGACCAATGATACGGATTCACGACTGCTGTGGGTTCATGGCCTGGGTGAGTGCTTCTATGTACAAAAGTCTTCTGAATATCTACAAGTATTAACTCAACACAGCTGGATCAGGCAAAACTTTTATGACGTGTGTTATTGACTGAGACCCGTAGATAACTCCCAAGCTAATTATACATATATATATGGACTTTAGATCTTTCATAATCGACCGCCTTCAAACTTCACAAGAAGTCTATGGAGTAGCCTATGTTTATTTCGATTACAAAGACCAAGACCAACAGAAAATTACGTCCGTGCTTGAAAGCCTAGGGAAGCAGTTGGCCCATCAAACGCACCAATATTTACCTAAAGAGCTTGAGTATCTATACGACGAACTTTCGTACCAGCAGCAGCGACCCTCTCTCGAGCAACTATACCAGATCCTCCTTAAACTTACAAGCTGTTTTGATAAAACTTTCATTATCTGTGATTCCTTGGATGAATATCAAGGCCGGCGAAAGGAACTCTTGCTGCTATTCCATCGAATGGAAGGGAACGGTATCAGGTTGTTCTTAACTAGCCGCGAGAATTGCAATGATGTAAAAGAGTCCTTTCAAAATTCGGCGAAGATCAAGTTTTGCGCAAGTGATAAGGATTTAGCGAGCTATATTGAACTAGAAGTAAGAGGTCTTGACGTGCCCGCGGTATATAAACCTCGGGTTGTCTCCGAGCTTACCACTTGTTCCAACGGAATGTGCGTAATCCTCTAAAGAAAAACAATTTCTTACGCATATATATACATGTACTTATAATCTCATTAGGTTCCTGCTTGCCCACTTCCACATAAAACACCTATATGAGCAGAACGGAAAAGATCAAATTCTCAAACAACTCGAATACCTCAAAACTACCAGTATAGACAACCCCCTCGACTTCACCTATAACCGTCTAGCGACTGCTCTCCGTCACCAAGCTCCGAAATCTGTCGATTTGGGACTCAACGTTCTCATATGGCTTGTTAAAGCCCGACGAACACTCAAAGTGCGAGAGCTACAATTGGCAGTCTCCATGCATATGAGACATCGAAGAGGCAAACACTTTTACGAAAAAGACCTGCCTGATAGGAATACAATAGTCGGTGCCTGCGCCAATCTCGTGACGATTGATAAGAATGATACCATCAAGCTTGTTCACTACACCGTCCAGGAATTTCTAATTAACAATTCGATACTCCCCACGGATGCGGACTGGAGGATTGTTCTTGCCTGTACTTCTTATCTCTCACTCGACGTATTTGCGCAGGGTCCATGTGTTACCAACGGTGCTTTAGATTCACGACGAGAACTATATCCCTTTCACAAATATGCTTCGGAGAATCTATCACATCACCTGAAGCACTACGATGAAGTTCGGACAACAGATATCGTTCTCAGTTTCTTCAAAGAGTCGGGGTGTGTAAATTCATACCTCCAGGCGCTTCATTGCAGCGCGCCGCCATCTAGCACTGAAAAAGCACCATATTATCATACTCAATACCCTAAGCAGCAAACATCGCTCCACATTGCAGCTACTCTCGGACATCTCTTTGTGACCCAGAAGTTACTACAGAAAAACAGCACTAAAATTAACGCTCCCAATGACGACGGAAAAACACCGACGCTAATAGCCGCGATAGAAGGTCATGATAAAATAGTAGATCTTCTGCTCAAAAGGGGAGCTGACCCCTCGATCCCAGATAAACATGGTATTACCCCGCTGCATGCATCGATATTTCACGACCAAAAATCTATGTTTATGCTATTACTCGATAAAGGTGTCGATCCAACTATTGCAGACCGTAGAGGTTGTACGCCACTTTATTGGGCAGCTTCTCGGGGGCTGGAAAGGGAAAGTCGTATTCTGATCGAGAAGGGTGCAGACGTTAAGGATGGAGACGACAAAGGAAGGATGGCGCTACACGTTGCCGCTTTACATGGGCACGGATCAGTAGTGCAGTTATTACTCGAGAATGGGGCCAAAACATCAGTTGTTGATAAAGCTGGGAATACGCCACTTCACATGGCGGCAGAGTGTGGTCATTTGGATATAATCCAGTTACTCTTGGATAAGGGTGCTGATATCACTGCTGTAACGAATGAGGGGAATACTGTGCTACACAGCGCAGCAGCTGGAGGGGAGGAGAAGGCGATATTAGCTATACTCCAGATGCGTAATATTCGCATTTCTGATGTGAATAATAAAGGACGCACACCATTGCACCTAGCAGCGTCCACAGGACGTGAAAAGATAGTAAAATTACTTCTTGAACGTGGTGGCAATGTCTCAAGTGTAGACAAGGCGGGGTGGACAGCCCTTCATCATGCAGCCGAAAAGGGACACGACGCAGTGGTTCGGATCCTGCTTGAAAATCACGGCAATCCATCCTCTGCAGGTAAAGATGGGGCCACTGTACTTCATCGAGCAGTTATATATAAATCAACTGTTAAACTATTGCTAGAGAAAGGCGCCGATATCACAAAGGCGGACAATCGTGGACGGACGGTGCTACACTGGGCATGTTCTTTAGAAGCGTTAGGTCTAGATCATGTAGTCGCGTTACTCTTGGAGAGAAATGCGAGCTTGTCACACGCAGATGATGAGGGACGTACAGCACTGCATTTTGCAGCGTTTTTGGGCCATAAAACTATAGTTCAATTGTTGAGAAAAGCGGGTGCCGATATCTCGGCTGAGGATAATAGGGGGCAGACAGCATATCAGGTAGCTGTGGCAAAAAAACATGATGTGTCAATCATTGAACTTTTGAAGCCCTCAGTAGGCCGTAACGACCGAGAAATCTATGCGACTAGATGAGTCCTCACTTGGAGGATAGTGTAGTTAGTAGGTATCCTGGTTTTAACGCATTAGGTCATGATATAGGGAGTAATAGAATGTAAGAGGGACTTGGCGGATGGTGATTCAAATTGTTTGTAGTTTATGTGGATATATCAGGTTCAATTGGTTGAGTTTATGAGTATTTGTTTGGATATCCGGCTCATATTCTATTCTATACTCTACGCTCATTCTCATGCGTAATGGATGATTTCAAGGAAAGAATTTGTAGTTGAAAGCAAAGAAATGGGAGGAGAAGGCTGAAATTGTGTTTGAACCGATTAATAAGTACAATTTTAAAGAGATAGAGCTACTAGAATCAGCCGTGTAAACTGGTTTATTCTCATTGTTGACACAGTGGTGCAAGCCACAAATCATGCATTTGAGCCGACGCGGTATTCGATGGACGGTGCCAGTTTGAAGCCCGTTTTGTCTCGAGCTTAATTATACAATAGACTTCATTAGCATGCAATTTAGTCCCATGAGCCCCAGAACCTATATGGTCAATTCAAAACTCCACATCAATAATACGTGTGTCTATTGAGCACAACCCCACTCATTTCTGGTTGTATAGAGAAAAGGGGCGTCTCATACAGATGGAAAACGATCGCTCTCTATATCTAAAAAGCTTACTTACCGGCGCCGGTTGTTGCAGAACCGATCAACTTCCCTAAAATCCCGCGGATTCGGATCTCGGAACCCGTCCTGCTGGTAACAATTCACGAAGGTCACAGCCAACCAAGCTCCTGCATAGACTGTGGGTCACCCAAGGTCCGCCCCCCAATGCTTGTTCTTACCCCACAAGATCATCACTGTAACTCCGGTGATTGGTCTCCGACCTCCAGTCCCGGTGGCTTCGGCGATCTCGGGGTCCGAGGGATCACAGTACATCACTCGGATAAGTGCTTTCAGGGCTGTGCGCTGCTGGGCCGGATTATTCGGGGTTAGGTGGAAGCCGAGTTTATAGCATCAATGAGCAGGTGATAACTCTCCTATTCCTTGATGTACGATGATGTGAGGCTTCAATGAGCGCTTACGTTGTGGGTCGATAGATATCGGATAGGACCGGGACACTGATCCTCTTAGGGAATTGGTCGAGGCGGTTTAGGGACATGAGAAGGTGACAAGTTGCAGTCATGGCTGCCAGCAAGTGGCGTGATCCCTAAACAGCAGAGAAATTTATCGTTCGATCATGATCAATTAACGTCAGGGTGTAGATTCACTTATTTGCTTCACCTGCTTGCATTGAGAATCCAGAACCTCTCAATAGAGAATATTCCAATAATACGGGATTTCCCATATACTGGGGCTTCTTTGAGCTCATACGATTCTCGAATGGTTCAAGGGTCTAGAATCGGGCCATGAGCTGGGTCAGCACGTACTCTATATACACGCGCTACGGCTGAACAAATCCGTAAATAAGGGCCGAGTCAGGCTCAGCACTGACCCTTACCTGTCGGTTCATATGCAGGTGGCGATGAGCTTAGGCCGAGTAAGTACTCGTAAATTCATGACGTTTCCGGACGCGACTGCTATTGCATACCATACAAAAAAGCGCCAAATCCACCTTTTTGTATGTCATGCAATATTGGTCGTGTTCGGAAACGCTATGAAGCTACGAATACATGTACTTACCAGACTTGATAATCCCTGAAAGAACTAGTATACAATTAAGAGAAGAGACCATCATCCGTTCCTGTATCCTGAAGCTATTGGGCAGATAATTGAGGAGGATACTGCCATGTTGATAGGTTAGTTGACGTACGAAAGCTACAGAATATTTGTAACTGATACTTCTGCTGCTGATAATGGTGACGAGGACGATAGTAGCCACTAGTGCAATTATCTATAGACAGGCGCTGCAGGCTACGATATAGCCATAAACCGACAGGAGAGAGAGCAGTAGAATGAGTTGATGAGGATGAGGATGTTGATATTGACGTTAACGTACAGAGAAAAAGAGAGGTCGCCCACAGCGAAGACTGTGATTTCGCGAGGCTAAGTTTCACTAGGTGAGGTTTTAGTCTAAGGTAAAGTTTAAGTCCAAAGTACAATTGTGTAGTGCAAGCCCAAGATTACGTACAGTCAAAAGTTTTATGTGAATTACGTACAGACATTTAACTAAACGACTTTAAAAAATCGATCTCATTCTCGGTTTTCCATGAACTTCTTATAGGTCAGGGTCACCTACTCCTGTGTAAAACTCAGACCTTTCAAGTTGAAGAAGTGGCTAAGTAATAACCCGATCTGCTATAGGCTACATATATGTACTGCACGATTCACCTCTGTAGAACGTACATCACTAAAAAAAAGGGGGGGGGGGGGGTGTAATAGGTACTGTATCATGTATATCAATTATACGGGATTTTGCAAAACCGAATTAAATCGGGACCCCAACCACCACACCGCAGCAATACCGTAAGCTTGCAGTATTCTACTAGGTGTAATATTAGATCCACCCGCTTTTAATACTGTACTATATATACTAAGAATCTCATCAACATACATCTACATATCTCATCCATTACTCTATTGCATATATATTGCTTTAACTCGACTACATGTATATGATAGCTAGCAATCTTTTAGACCAGTGTAACACCGATACTTTGGTCCAATAAATGAATTATCAATCAATCAATCGATAGTCTGGTTCACGTGCATAGGGTGATCTACCGGCCCGGCCCCCCGAGTGATATTTCATGAGTTTTTTATTTTTTTTATTTTTTTATCTCACTAATTGTATGACTAAATATTCATTGGTTCATAAAACTTGGATCTAAACAAAGGTCATTATAATATCATACCTCTTGTTGAACGAGCTAATATATATCTAGTCGTAGAAGTGGGTGTGCTTTTGTACTACGAGTTAGAAGTCCTCAGGTGTTAAGTTATGATCATTGATTCCGGTTATAACATCCTTGAGCTGGTATATACCAGAAGTAATTTATGAGTTCATAACGACAACAATGTTAATCGGTAGGTATTAGTAGTCTTTCCGGGCAGCACATTAATCTCTGAGTGGTCCAGACTTAAATCTCGGATCAAGAAGTATAGAGCGTTGACATTCGGTATCATTTCCTATATCATCATGAGCCCGGCCAGGTGGGGTTAATTTATGTTTCCCTAGTTCCTTGGTCTCTATTGTTTTCGCTGCAATTAAGCTTCTTACCATTAATAGAAAGTTTTTGACGATTTGATAAACTTGGTAAGGCAAGTGAAAGAAATAAAAGACGCTATAATCGTCGAGGCGAGTTACAGCGCTATGCGCTTCACCTATGCGTCTGCAGTCCTTATCAGCTTACATATTGACGAAGGAGAGCTTCTACATATATCTAATGTATATCTCCCAATAATATACTTTTTTTGTATGAAATTCGCCGGGTGGGTATGGTAGTTGGGTATGTACAAGCAATCAACCCTTACCATGATGTTTCTACAGGATATAGAAGCGTTTCACGGCTCAAAGAACGTGTACACAACTGAATAAGCTGCTAATTGGGGAATGGGACACCTCACATCGGGCTTTATAAGAATGGCTTGGTACGTTTAAAAACATCCAGTAGGGGTGTTCTGTGGTTTCAGTTGCTACAGTACAATCGTTTAATTACAAATCCCACCAGTTGATAAATAGGGGGACATACATGTAATTATGGCAAAGAACAGGCAAGACATAGTAAAATTGCGAGATATCCGGATTCTTTTGGTTTGTATTGGCCCAGAATTCTCTGTTTATCAACTGAGAGTATATACTATTCGTCAAACGACGGCAAACGACTGTATATATATACGTATACATGTGGAGGAGGGTTTGGGTATTAATCATTACCACCCCCCCCCCCCCAGTATGGCTTCCCAAACTCAACCCACAAAGGTAGGTACATCAAGATCGAGTTTGGCCCCAATGAATTTGATTCAATACTGTTTCCGGTTATGTCCGGCCATATGAGGTAAACCACGAATATGTTTACTTGTTCCCTTATGCATATGCGTATTCCCAAACACGGAATTCACCGCCGGTCAGTCCAGATCTAGATCTTCAAACTATCTAGCCCTGGTTCAATTAGCTAACTTAGTCATGATAGATGGCATATTTCGCACCTAACTATTCACGAATTTTCGCCGCTCGGTGAGCGTTCCGGTAGCGCAATAAGTATACCGGCGGTGAAAGGTGATATTCTTGTACTATGAGGGGACAATGGCAATATAGTATCCCATCGATACGTCCACCTAGGCCGGTTGGCCAATTCGGCGAGTAAAACGTAATTCTTGAAACCCGTGATATTGCCCCATGAGCGCCTACATGTTCGTTTTTCAGCACGTGGACAGGATCGATCACGAAAAATCGATTACATTATACTTGATTACACAAGAAATTTTGAATATCCGGAGTGTCGATGTATCTTACACAGTCAATCATAAGATAAATGTGTACACTCATGGGCCTAGCTTGAGAAACAGAAATCCCTTTATATTTGCTGGGAAACAGACGTTTTGCAAAATTGATCTACTCTTACAGATTCCTATTAGTCCAAGTTCCCCGCCCACTAAAAGCTCTTTTTCATGAAACACGATCGATTTGTGTGATGTGCAGTTAAATAAGTTCTGTGAAACAAGACCAGGTTTCGGGTTTCTGTTCGGTTGGATGTCGAGTGATACATCATGTCACTAACAAACATATGTGTCGATCTGGTGGAATCGAAGTTTTGGGTTTCTGCCTATTATTCCTTCTTCACCTAGCCCGAGACCAGAAGTAGGCGGATTCATCAAGCAAGCGAGGTTCCGGGTCGCTTAAGTCAAAAAAACGGTAAACACGCAGATGTATACGTTTCGGGGTATAAATCTTTGCGTTTGTAGAATGACACGTTTGAACCTCTCAACACACCCCGGCCAGCGCTATCAACTTCATACCCATGACACCACATGTGTATCTACCCTACACTAGAGTATTATACATTTACTCTACCTAGTAGCATCTCCAATGAATGCCGAGGGTGCCTAAGCCCACCGCCAGGGGTTCCACTCTCTATGGAGGGCGTTTATCATGGATACCCTAACCGTTCATGGAGAGACATACGTCCTGCAATTTCTATTCATTCCAGCAGCTTCCATCCCGAATCCCTATTGATCAATGCAAGGTTTATTTATGGCTTACCGTTTAGAATTATGACACTCTCATTATGTCATTTTTTGAACCTTCGTCGATCAAAAAAATCAATTATACATATCGTTGTACAATATGTATCGACGAGTCGCGCCGGAGATTCAGCCATATCAGGAGAAGCCCCACATACATTGACGAAACCCGCCATAGAAAGTTTTTCCAGGTTTCATTGCGCTGTCAAATCGGAATCCTGGAGAGCTTCATTGGTGTTTCAGGAGCTAACTATGTTTACAGCATTATTCGAGTATGTACTCTCACATATACATAATATCCTTTACGGGACGTGACTGCGCACTGTTCATACAGAGCCCCTAATATTCTACACTAGGACGTTGAATTAAGGTGTAAGACACAAGCCTTCTCTCGCATGTGCAAGCAAGTTGGCTCGAGCTTCCTCCCCCAACTAGGAGCTCGTCCTGGCCTGGTTAGAAATACAGCTGGGTTACTTACTCAGCTTTGATGGTGAAATTCTTCAAGTCAACGACAACTTGGTCTGATATACAATTCTTTATTTCAACGTCTAATCATGAGCTTCGTGGTATCATCTCAAATCAACCTTCCCTTCCGACTACCGAAGGACCGACCGACCCGAGCAATGCTGATGTGTCCCCATCCTGAGAAAAAAGAAAAGGAGAATGTGTAGTTGAACTGGTCACATAAGTAACTAGATGGTTTCACGATAACTGCCGGCCTCCTGAGAAGACGGCATTCATTTGAGGCCTATGGAATTATGAGACGCTTCGTATAATGATCGGTCAGCTGCCTCCTGGGGAGAAGCCTCATGTAGAGCACTCTACAATCTCTCGGTTCAGCTCATATTCGAATCTTGAAACGCTATGTCGGTCAAAATCTTAAAGAAAGAAGGGTCCTGTCGAGGTACGGACAGGCACCTCACTCAGGAAAGCCATAAATTTCAACCATTGGCCTAGAGGGTTTTCAAGATTTTGATTAGGTCGATGGCCCTGTTGAGATGTCGTGTTACTTCTGTGGTGACGACTGGATGCATGGAAATATATGTATCGAGACCTAGGAATCTTTGCAAGAAGCTACAATCGAGTTAATGCACTTCTACCATGCATTAATTATACATGTACACTTTTTTTCTTGGCTGGCGACTCAGTCACGAGATTAGTGGCTAGAGGTTCGTTGGATTCTATCTGCAGGAGGTAGGAACCAAAGGTACATTGCTTCGGAGTGGACATCGGGGTGGGGGAGATTAACTAAGGGAGTGAGGATGGGGGGGATGGGAAGGATGGGCACACAAGATGCTGTTTTCCAAACTGCTGTCAACGTCTCGTTGGCTACGAATCAGAGGTGAGTGGTGAAAGGAAAGGTGAGACCTATGTAGAGTACTGACTAATCGACATGGCTTAGTACTCAATTGGGAACGACGGAGCGGCAAGAGCCACAAGAGGCTTCGTTCATTGTTCGTTCATTACGTTTTTCATCCTTTTCTTGGGATGTACGTACTCTAGCTCTAAGCCTAGATTTCTTCAACGTTAACGGGAATTAGAAAGTATCACCACCCAGTATGCACTATGCATATACAATACTGTATGTACCCCGCAAGAAAATTTGCCCTATGAGGTTGACTCTGGAAAATATCCAGCATTTTTGAGTGGGAGGCATGGGTGGGTAACTTTTGCGGTATTTTATTTCCCTCGTCTGTGGTTTGCTAGTGCAATTTTATCAAGCCAGGGACGGTTATGACATGGCCGGTAAGACGTCCGTGAGCTAACTAAGGAAGCCTTATGGAATTTATGCAAGCTACCAATATTTTTGGCTGTGGTAAAGTAAAGTGAAGTTGGGGAAAGAAGGGTCTGGATGAACCCGCTCCGAACAGCCGCTGTATGCCCGGGTGCCAAGACTTTACGGTTCTCCAAATCAAGCGAGGGACAGAACATGCAAGAGCCATAAGTAAAACCGGTACATATACAAGTATTGTGCAGACCAAAAGAACACAGTCTTCGCCACCAACGAGTTTTCCATGATTGCGTTGCCATGGAGAGGCCTGGCTACTCACGAAGGATGCTACTCGAAAAACTTGGCCACTACTTAACCACTTATGGAGCTTGCAACTACTGACTGGATTGGACAAGACAAGGATTTGTAGATTTGTAGGTAAGTCCTTGTTGGTCGAGCTCCCTTCAAGTTTTTTCGCGTTAAACTTACGCTGATTCGTTGTCAGTCATGGATGGGCACTCGGCAACGATCCCGCTGCGCTACTCAACTGGCCGTTCTCCAAAACCTACATATGTAACTAAATTCTAGACAGCCTACCTTTTACGGCAGGAGTAGCCTTGCTTATGAGTGCTGATATCCGAGCGTTGTGCCAAAGGACCACCACTGATTTAGGATGGAACCAATACAAGAATTGAGGTGGAAACTGCTCTGGTTGTGTTCATGATAAGGCCTGACGTGGTGCGGATAAAGGAACGCCAAATCAGCGTCAAAGCAGTCGTGATAGAAAGAAATTTTTATGTCTTGCTGCATCAAAAGCTGAAGAGGAGGGAAAGTTTGAACATAATGAGTAAGTCCGGCATATGATGCAGACGAAAGGATAAACACAAACAGGGTTGCAAACATTATTTCATGAGTGAATTGGGACGGTGAGTAGGAATTATACAAAGCTTATTATTATCGAGAGCTATTCTAGTTCATTTTAGTTAATCTTAAATGTAGAAACGCGCATAATACGCTAGAAGAGCAATGCCCATTAAGGCGTGCGGGGAATTTCTGTTGTTTTTAATATAGCATAAGGAGGACTGATTCGCAGCTCGCTGATCATGAGCCGCTTCGCGAGGACGACGACGACGTTTGATAAAGTACGCCGGTTGACTTTATCCGTACCACGTCAATAAGCTAAGTACGACATTGGCGGTTTACGAAAAAAGCAAATCAAAAAGTCACTCTTCTTCTCTTCCTCATCTCAAATCATTGGCCTCGAAAAGATACTGGGGCCAATTAAACGCCAATAGCCAACCAATGCATACGAAAAAAAATAAAACTTCTTCCCATAGATATAGGTACTAGCGGGTAGTCTATATGATACATATCTATACCTCCATAGGTTTCTTCACGAGCGAGCATCCAGGGTGCAAACAAAAACGCCCTATTGCTCTCAGTTCCACTCTCTAGGTGGCCTCGCTCACGCTCCTGAACATCAATTACAAATCGGACCCGACCCTGCTGCGCTGGCTTGACGGGCCTCCAAGTCTCAATCAAAACCTTCGAGAAAGAGAATCAATTGCATGAAAGAAAAAAAAAACTCCAGGGAAAGGTCTTTGAGGCTTGCAGTATGTGCGTATGAAAATCCCACACCTGCCGTGCATGCGCTGTACAAGTATGTGTGGAATTTCCGACCAAGCTCCCAGGCGGCCCTGCTTAGCTTGTATGCACGGAAATCAATGCTGCATATATGCACATAAACAGATGACTCGTTTGCAAGATTCTTTGAAATAGAATATTTTTTGCAATACTAATTTTAACAAAGAAAGAAAAGAAGCGAAAGTACCGTGAAGACCTAAAGCCGAAAATAGCATATGGAAGCAAGAAAAGAGAAGCAGAAACATAATGAACATGAAATTCAGAAAACCTCTTTAAAAAATTGAAATCTTTCCCCAAACCCAAGTATAGAAAACCAAAGAATATATTTGAAAGAAAAAAATACTAGAAACTATACCCCTGTAACATTTATCGCTCGCAAATCGTCCGTAGAAAAGTCGTAAACCGTAAACCGTCCGTATCGTAGATAGCCTTCTTATCGGACTGAGACAGTCTGACCCAGGGTCCTCGATCGCATTCTCGGGAACAGCCTCCGTAGACTAATCGTCCGCTTTTCCTTTGGCAGAGGTACCAATGTCAGCATCTCCAGATCCATTGTTTTGAGCTTTCTCTCTATGAAGAACAAATGCCACCTTCGACTCTGGGGATTTATTTAGAACTGTCTCTTCGAGAATCTCCCTCGACTTATTGTCGTTGACCTTCTTTGCTACCACTGCTGGAACTTCAACTTTGGCGACAGGCGCTGGGGCCTCGGCCTTCTTGGCGACAGGTGCTGGAGCGGGTTGCAACGTCATAGCCGGCATCTCCTGGGTTGGTGTCTGCGGTTGGGTCGATGACGGTGATGGCGCTACTGTCTCTTCGTCCCAATCCTCGTTCTCCCACTGTGTACCGGAATCTCTCATCTGGGGAGCCTCAGTTTGCGCCTGTGTAGTGCTATAAATGACAGTTGGCTCGGGTTCTGTCTGTGCTGTCGTGGTGCTGTAGGCGACAACGGGTGCCACAGGCGCCGCGGGTGTTGCTACAGGAGCTATCACAAGTGCTGCTTGGCGCTCAATTGGCTTTGTCTCGATCCTATTGACATCAACCGCTGCTGAGTTACCATTATCCGTTTGCGTTTCATTAGTACTGGTGCCCTTTGCAAGAATGTTCGCAATGAAAGCTGGTGGAAGGCCTCTGAGTTCTTCTAACTTTGCGTGTGGATCCTTGTAAATAGTCAGTATACCGCGCAAAGCTGTTTGCAATGTCAGCTCAAGAATCCGCGCAACATACCCAATCTTCCTGCGATGGAATTCCAGCGGCGCTAGGGAACTTCTCATCGCTAGCAGACAACCAATGTGGCCCAGTCCTCCTGATGGGGGCTGGTGTAATTGGCAAAGGTGGACGCTCGTTCACAACAATATCTGAATCATACTTGGTTGCAACACGGGGAGCCGTTTCTGATGGCTGGAAATCTTTACGGTGACGCTTCAAATCAGAGACATAATCCTGAATCCCTGGGACTGAGTCCCACTGGTTCTTCCTGGTGTAGTCTTTCCAATCTTCGTGGTCGTCGACAATCTCCTCCACAGCTTCTTCCTCCTCTTCCGGTGCCTCCTCATCCTCATCCAAGTCCGGGATTTCGTCAGCAAAAACACGGCTGGTCCGCCTTGGCTTCTTCTCCCAAGGGAAGATTGGCTTTATGTCATCCTCCGGGGCCTTAACCTCGACTTGTGGTCGTGCACGTTCCTTGAAGACTGGGGGTGGAGTTGGAGCAGATACAGTCCTGCGTTGCTCAGGCTGCTTGTCCCATTCATTCATATAGTTCATGAAAGGCAAATGACGGGCCTCTGGTGCAGAACGAGCTGGAGGCGCAGACCTATAGAAAAATCAGTATCACTCATCATTATGTAATAAATGTATCACCCACTTAGCGGGGTCCCAACTATGTGCGGGCTCGCTATAAACAACTGATCCTTGTTGAGATCCTTCCATACGTCCATCATATTTGTGGGGTAGGCGTTCAGAGATTGGTGCCCCAGAATCTGTGAATTCCTGGACCAAGAAGCTTTGGGGACCGGTCTCAAAGTATTTCGCTTGTGGTACTGGTCCGTGTGGTGTCATGACAGAGTCCGGGAAAGCTCCATAAAATGGCTTCTGTTGAGGTTGGGGTTGAGCATTGACCAGAGGGGCTTCCGCACGCTGAACTTTGGAAGACGGAACAATAGACCTAACAGGGACAAACTTTGACTTTGGTGGAGCAGCGGCATATCTAGAATCATTACGTGGGGTGAAGAGGGAACCCTGGTCGTAATCACTCTCACCAGGCCACACACGGGTGGCAACCTTTGTGGACTTGGGAATAGGAGCAGTCATTACTGGTTCAGCGTGCTTTTGCGGCTGCGGCGGGTGGAAAGGCTCGGTCTTGTGCTGCTGTTGCTTTTGTTGCTGCTGCTGCTGCTGTTGTTGTTGCTGCCAGGGCTGCTGTTGCTGATGCTGCTGCTGCTGTGGTTGGTGGAAATGCTGGACGTGCTGCTGCTCCTGGTGCTTGTGTTCGTGTTCCTGGTGTTGTTGTTGCTGTTGTTGGAAAGGTTGGGCACTGTATTGCTGCTGATGCTGATGCTGGAAACCTTCAGGGCCAGATGCGATCTCTGGATGCTTCCCTATTTCCTCTTGCTGTCCTCCAGAAACAAATGGCGCTCCAGAGTACACTTGCTGGAAGTGGTTATAATTTCCATTCGCAGTTCCATGTGGTCTTCCGGTCTTAGCATCTTCCAGGACTGGCCTGAAATGCTTGTCCCAGACCGCCCACCATTGTCCCAAAAGTTGGTCGTACGGTGTACCGGTTTGCTGAGACGATGAAGACCTTCCTATCGTCCATGGCTTTCCTGCTCCGATGAAATGGGCCAGGCTGACCTGAGAGCCATAGTGGCGGAACGCAGGGACATATCTGCCAATATTGGTTAGTGAATGAATTTATTGGTGGGGTAATGAAGAGGACAAGTACTGATAAGATGCCGAAGGCGTGCAGTTGTACGTGAACGAAAGGCGATGAAAGTTTCTGAAGTATGTGTTGAATAGTCCCTGGTCGGCACCTTTGAAAAGGGTCAGCTGTGGGGCAGTAAGCTGCAGGTTCAAAGCATACCATCAAAAGAAACACCACGCCCGGCCAACTGCAGGAGAGAAAAGTAAGTTCCAGCATCGGGTTTGAGGAGCATAACACCCTAATTTATAATGAGCTATAATATCCGAGACATTGATTAAAACAAAACATACGCTATTAAAACAGTCTGGCCAGCCGATATCAGGAGCAGCCTAAGAAAGTGTTAGCGTATTGACACCTTAAGCCTTTGAATTAGGGCCAGGGCGTACAGCGAAATCTGTTTCTATGTCGAATAGCTCATCCGGAGCTCTCAAAGCAACGACATCAGCGTCAACGAACACACACTTCCTGAATTGAGTCTGTTTCCAAACATTGATCTTTGTGAAAGCTGCATTGAGGTCCAGACGATCCATGAGATCGAGATTTGCCGGAGTCTCGTTGAAAATAGGGTCTACAGGTATTACATATTCATAAAGACGCTGTTGTAAGGGATTAGATTAGTATTGGTGAGACGGAGAGGCTCGAGGGCGAGATTTGATTTGCTATTCACCTTCAGCTCTGTAACTGTAGCAGGTGTCACACCTGACAAAGTGACCATTACGGCCAGCTTCTTTTTAGTGCCGCCATCACGAAGGGAGTGTGCTAGTACTTGAGCACCTATGATAAAAAAGAGAAAGTGAGCTATCAGACAGGATTGGATAGGAATGAGAAATGCCTACCTGGGAGGTAGTTGTCGTTCAGAAGCAACTGGAAACAAAATACGTCACAGTCAGCCACTTGAACTCAACGATACGAGAGGAATGCAATCTCTATGGGAAGAATTGAATAGTTGATGATAGTAAATAAAATAGGAAAAAACAGAATAGAATTCTCACAGTGCAGTAGACGTCCTCTGTAGCCATGGTGAGTAATTTGATTTTTGATGATGCTCACTGATGGACACTGATGGACACTTGCTTGCTGAATGAATGGAAAAAAAACGATGA